ATAATATTTTCAATTTTTCAATTTTGTAAAAGGTAGATATGTAGTGTATTACATATAATAAACGTGGCACGCTAACTGGTGGGGGAGCTGAGTGGTGGGGAGTGCGGCTAGGGAGTCGCTGGCCGCTCTGTCACTGTGGAGCCGCCGGGCAGTTAGGTGCATTACAATTCAATCCGCTGTTTTATTCCTGTGTACATACCCAGTAAACCCTTACACTCACAATGACGACAATCGGGCGTTTAGGAACCTACCCAAGCTGTCGTGCCCGGTAATCACTAGCGTCAGGCGGAAGGTGAGAACGCTATGGCATCTCTCAAGTAATTCCTCAAAGAGCAGTCTTACTGCTGCTATAATAGCGTGTCCGTTCTCATAAGGGGTGCCGTGCCGCTGTCATTTTTATTCCACGGTGCAGGGCACAACAACACTGTATTTTATAAAAACTAAAAGCTTGTAACATTCGGCCCAGTTGGAATAGCGCATGAGGAGTCCCATTCCCAGTTCATTTAGATTAAAGCTCTGTAAGGGCGTCTACACAGTTTTCTTTGGCCCACCATAATGCCTTTACTTATATCGCATGCAAGTAAAGTATACTTCACATCATCAACACAAGGCTACAAATTGCACCTGAACAAACTGGATTCGTGAAGGGGAGAGGCACACGCGAACGGATTCTCATACTGCGCTAAATTATTGAAAAAGCCCGAGAGTTTAAATCACGGCTCTTATTCGACACTGTCGTATGGGAATGTCTCTGGAAAGTCCTATTAGAGAAGGCGACTTTATGAAGGTGGTTCAGCTACAGTACGGGTTGATGAAGTGCTCTCTGATGCTTTCAAGACGGAACCCGGTATTCGTCAGGGATGTATTCTTTCGAATCTTCTGTTTAACACATATATCAAATACCTACATCATGCGAATTGTTTTGGATGGCTGTTTCAGTTGGTGGTCGCATGATAAATAACCTTCGATACGCTGCTGATAACACGCTTCTTGCAAATTCTAAATAAGATTTAGGGAATTTGTTGACTCGTCTAGAAACCACTTGTCTCTAATTCGGCCTTAGTCTAAAGAATAGAGATAAGACGAAGGTTATGGTCGAGCTGAACTCGCTACTCAAGGAGAACAACAGGTAGCCAACTGCGAAGTAGTCCAACGCTATATTTACCTCGGATCTATTATCTCAAACTATGGAGGATGCAAAAACGAGATCAAGCGTCGTTGCGCCATCACTGTCTCGAGAGAGCGAGAGATCGGCAGTTGAAAGGCTCGGAAAGGTATGGAAAGACAGGAGAATAACCAAAACTACAAAGGTTCGCCTAAAGAAGTCCTTATTGTATTTCCAATATTTCTACATGGAGCCGAGACCTGGTCACTGGAGACTACAGGATCGCCTTAGTATCGATGTTCTGGAGATGTGGTGTTGTCGGCGTTTTTTGCGGACCTTGGACGGCGTTCCGCACCAACATTTCGATCCTCAAGGAACTTCACATACGAGATCGTCGATTGTGCAGTTGCGAATACTGAAGTTCTTTGAGCATATATCTAGAAGTGTGGACTATATGGACCGGCTTATGGTTTAAGGCCACACAGAAGGCATGAGACCACGAGGGCGGTCTCCCGACTCGCTGGATCGACCTGATTAAGAAAACTACGAAGTCGACAGCAGAACAGTGTACTCGCAACGCTCAAAGTCGACAAAAGTGGAGAGACATCGCTCAATGTGCTGCTCTAGAAAAGAAGAATGACGGTATGGCGCTAACCATCCATCGATAGCCACAGCCACTCTGCCAAAAGTGTAATGACTAAGAAGAAATGCCTTAACTTATTAAAATATTTTTTTAGTATGTATTTTATTGTTGTAGTTTTTATCAACTTTTTAATTTACTGCAGAGAATCTAAATTAATACTTAATATTTTAGGTAATTATGGTATAATATACTATTTTGAGATTGCAACTCTTAAATATAACTTCACACAAAAACGCAAAGAAAATATTGAAGTTAGGATGACCTATTAGTAAATTAAAATAAGTCAAAAAGGAATGAAGTAAAAAAATTAAAATTGATTAAAATTTATAATTAAAGTAAAACTTATTCTATTTAAACATTAAGGAGCTTATAGTACAGGTTCGGGTTGCTGTGTTAAAAGGAGGCCAAATCTCTTCTTTATGATTATTCTCTGCCTGGAGTACTTGTCTTCGGGAGAAAAGCGGGCTGCAAAAAAATCACACATATAGTTATTTGAAAGGCCACTGATTATCAATCTCCTAAAAAGGCTGTTATGTTATATCTTAATTTGTTCACAACACTATGTTTAATAAGAATAATAAATAAACATGGATTCATTATGAAATTCAAATTAAAAGTTTCAATTGCTATCTCGGCCATGTGCAATTGTGGTGTTTAGTGGCCTTTTCTGTGTGAGAAGAACCTTCGCTTAGCAGTAGGCTCCTTTAGGCAAACAATGAAAATAAACTACGCAAAAAACAACATCTAGTCTGCTAAATAAATAAGAAGACAGATTTTTATTTGTATACATTATATATACTCCATAGCTGGTGCCTGGTTCAAAAAATTGTTTCTGTACAAACCTCATTATTTAGGAAGTTAACTTACAGGACAGACTAAATCAAATGACTTTAAGGTACCCACCCTAGTGGACAGTGCAAAGCTTATGTATGTAAACCTTTGAGAAGTCTTATCTCCATGTTACTAAAACTAGCTAAATATATAGATTTTTACTTAGACTCTGCATTTGTCACAAGTTAAATTTGCATTATGTATAAGTTTTGCTTACTATTTTTCATAACTACAATATATTACTTTATGAAGACTTTGATGACTTATGCCTTTTAAATAGGATAGGTACCCAACAAGTACTTTATAGGTAATTTTTACAATAGCTACAACTTAGGACATCTATTTTAATGGATTATATTTACCTGGGTGAGCTGATATCGTCGGTTTGCCATAAGGATCAATCGTCTGAAATAAAAAGATGTAAAATAAAAAAAATACCACGCATAAGGTAAAGTCTGGTAAATCCTAGAGAGAACTGCTCAAAATGTTAGCGAATTGCTTTGAAATTAAATTGAATTGTAAATAAAATATAGTACAATTTACAATGTGATGTTTTGTAAACAAACACGTGAGTTAATAGGTTATACAGATATTGTAATGATGCAAATTACCGATAGTGTGTACTGCCTTTCACCCTTCTCGTTTAAATAATATCGGAGATACATGATGAAATCCTTGTTTTCCCAAAATAAACAAAGTTTGCAATATTTTTTAGCGAACTCACTCACAAAAACACCAACGCGATGCGCATAGACAGTGTTACCAACTCTCAAAAATATTTATCCCTAAAATTGGTGACAAAATCCCCTAAAATCGCCCTAATTCTTATGTTTTCCCCCTAAAAATAAAAAATACACAAATATAAATTCATAACGATTTAGAAATAATAGTATATTGTAATAGGTATGTTGTGAAATGTTTTTATTGAAAGTAATTTAACACATTAAAATTTAATCTTCATCTGAAGATTCAGATTTTTTAAAATTATACATGTTAACATTAATTAAGTTTAACATTTTATTGGATGAATTAAAAGTTACACAAGATTCATCATTTCGATTTAATGTATCATCATCAGGATGCTTTCCAACATTTTAATAGATTGTCTATTCCGTACTTCGATCACTAATGTTCTTTATTAGTGATCGATGATTCCGTAACATATTTTGAACGATACTTATTATAGATAGAGAATGCACTGGCGTTTGAAATTGGAACAGTGACAAATGCTAATCCGAATTTTGAAATATTTTAAAAACGTTTATAGCCAGCTGCGTCACAATCATTATAAACCTCAAAGTAAAAATCAGCTGAAGAAGAGGTAGTGCTCCATATTTTTTATTACTCAATTGGTGCCACTCAGATTCAATGTCATTTTTCACATAGAAAGAAATAAATATTAATATTATAAATTCAAAAATAATAAAGAAATAAAAACTCCCTGAAAATAACCCTAAAAATTTCAGACCCCTAAAAAAATCCCATCTCACTTATTTACCCCCTAAATCTGGGGGGAAAACCCCTAAGTTGGGAACACTGCGCATAGAGTATGTAAACCTTTCTACGATGGCGATGCGTACTTATGTACTATAAGTGCAAGAATATTATATAGAACACTGGATGTTGCCCCTAGAAGAAATTATTGAATCCGAGTTTATTCACCTTTCGTATGTTTTTTATCTCGCTCACACTTGAATAAAATGTTGCCATAATAAAATGACTTTTTACCTTGGTAACTGATCATAAATATATTACCAAAAGAGAGGCACACATATTTTATGTTTATTTCGAAATCCAAATATCAGCCTTAAAAATTTAAACAATTTAAAAGTTATTCATAGTTAATTCAGGCTATTTTAAAGTTGTTTTTTTATTAAAATTATTTTTAAGTTTACCCACTTTTAAACTTTTAACGTGGAGTTCAAAACTTGTAACACTGTTGGGGTAGTATTATCCAAAATGGCTACTCTGTCACAAGGCTCGGAACCGGTTTAAAAAATACCGGTTAATACCGGTTTATTTCGGTTTATCTCCGAACTTTTCTTAAGAACGTAAACGTTTTAAGAACTTTATTTTAATCTAAATAAACCGGTTTATAGACGTACGACGTCGCTAAACGCGTTGCAACTTGTACGAATACCGCGCTGCCGCGCATAGCGGCGAGGTATGAAGACGTAGGTACTAGCGATATTTCTTTTCATTCGAAATATTTTGTTTACCGATTAGTTTGGTCATTATCAGCTTAACTTCACGAAAAAAAAATTAGATACTTACTCATTTTTTAATGTTTTTGCTGCGGAGCTTATTGATGCAATGACACAAACGTCCGATCCGAAACAAAAAACTCTTACTATTGAATAAAATCTAAACAGTACGCGGCATTTCTTTACAGTGCGTCCGTATTAACCGGTTTTTATTGCTCTTAACCGTTTAATTCGAAAAAACCTTTATATTAATGCTCTTCCAAATAACGGTTTAAAAAAACCGGTATATAAGAACGAAACCAAAATGTAAAGGTTTTGCGTCAAGTACATAATAACGGTTAGAAAATTTAACCGGTATCCGAGCCTTGCTCTGTCAATTACTTTTCGACTACTCGAAGTGTTTGACTAAAGTATTTCGAGGATTTGTGAATTAATTTAAAGTGCCTTATTATGTATTGCGTAGTCAAAGATTGTACAAGTGTATGGAACCCAACATCAAATGTCATCTTTCACAGGTAAGTCCAGAAATACCATATTTTAAGTTATACATTATCGTTACGTATTTTATGCCAATATTTAAAAAATCTGTAAATATTTACGTTCGAAACGGTGTCACAAATATTTTTCTAGTAATCTTTGTCATCGTTTAGAAATTTATATGCGTAAATCGCATTTAATTATTAAAAAACAGGTACGTTTAGTCTTAGACGTCAAAATTATGTGTTTGTAAACAAAGAGCTAAAGAGTGACCATATTTTTTAAGTTAGGTAGATACTTTTTGATTTGTGGAATGGTTGAATTTTATGTAGGCCTCGTTGCTCTTATAATGAGACTAACGTATTATATCTGAGGGTAAAACAGAAAGGTCTTCAAATTTTAATAATTAAAAGAGTGTCAAAACTAAGTTTAGAGCTGTCCTGCTATTTTGGTCTAATTACAGTAAATTAAATCAGTCAACTCGGTTAATATACAATTAATTTTATGTTTCAGTTTTCCCAAGGACTCGGAAAAAAGGCAGAAATGGTTGTCTGCTATTAAAAGGGAAGTTTTATGAATCAGCAAAGATTTGTAGCTTACACTTTAAGCCGGAGAATTATGATCCATTAAGACCAAAAAGGCTTTTAAATAGTGCTGTTCTGGTTGATTCTGTACAATTATGCTCCTGTGGTAATAACGTTATGGTAAGCATTTTTTACATTTCACAATGTGCTGCTTACCCATCCAACAACCATGTTGAGAATAATATTTCAAATTACAGGCATGTAAAACGCCATTCAAATGCTTGGTTTCACCTAATGCAATGATACCGACAGAAACTGATACTTGTTCCACAATGTCAGGAAAAGAACACAGCTATTGCGAAAAGGACATACACATCATACAAAATGAAAATATTGTAAGTATTTAACTTATTGTCTAGTATTAAGGTATCTTTTTATCCTTTTCAAAATTTGCTGCTTACATACCTAGCAATCATGTTAACAATAATATTTCAAATTACAGGAAAGTACAACGCCATTCAAGTGCTCGGCTTCATCAAATGAAACAATACCAACGCACAACACACACACTGAAAATATTGTAAGTATTTAATTTATTGTGTAGTATTAGCTTGTACTTATGGCATAGAAGTCAAACCAAACCTTTAACATCCAGGTTAGGTGTTTTTTGGTTTTTTCACGATGTAGTAAGCTCATGATAGACATTGAGACCTTTTGATCATCTTAGTTGTTACTGATTATAATCTTTGTTCCACAGGTAGTTAATGAAAATGAACCGCCAGCGAAACGACGCCGCTTAAAAGATTTTAATGTTCAATGTAAAATTAAATTCACTGCGGGAAAAGTGTTTGGAAAAAAAGAAAAAAAATTACAACAAAAAGTTGCGCGAAATGAACAAAAAATAAAAGATTTGAAGTCGTTAGTAATCATTGTTCGTTTTTTTTGTAAAATTTTATGAACTCATACATAGTTCATAAAATTTTACAAAAAAAAATTCGTGACTTTTGTCATCAATTATTAACTACCGAAAATGAAAAAAAAATGATCATGATTATTTGTTAATATTAATAGACATTCTGCGTTTACGACCTTTGTAAATAGGGGTAAATTATGTTTCGCATCTGATGCAGCGTTCAAGGTAGTCCGCTACTCAGATAGTTTGTTTAAGCACTCGGTATCCAAAGGTATACTGCTTCACAGCAAAACTAATAATTTGCAATCAAAATTAGTGTTAGCGGTCCTGGAAAAATGTTATCCATTGTTGCAGGAATTATTTGTGCCTAAACATCCCATCACTGATACTTGTATGGATTTACACGAAACTTTTTATTTTTTTTATGTAATCGGTCGGCAAACGAGCAGACGGATTACCTGATGGTAAGCAATCAGCGCAGCCCATGGACAACCGCACCGGAGGAGTTACGAGTGCGTTGCCGACCTTTTAGGGATTTGGGATTTGAAGATTTAGGGATTGAGGAGGGATTGAGCGAGGGGAAGGATTGGGCCTCCGGTAACCTCACTCACACGGCGAAACACAACGGTGTGGTTGTTTCACGCTGGTTTTCTGCGAGGCCGTGGTATCACTCCGGTCGAGCCGACCCATTCGTGCCGAAGCATGGCTCTCCCACACTTAAAAATAATAAAATATGTTTCGAAACTGAAATAATAAAATATATTTCGAATAGTTTTTTAAAATAAGAATTCATTCTTATCTGAAAACTTATACTCAAAGGCTTTTGGGTGAGATTCGCACTAAAAGGCAAAAATTGCATAAAACTGTTTTATTTTCACACGTGTGATATAAACTTGTGATTTTTATTAATAAAAATGATTTTGCACTGTACTGACTTTTTTTAAATATCCCCGGTACGGTCTGACGGCAACCTACCAACTATTCACCATCCGCTAGCCCGCGCCTATGGTGGCTGAAAAACGAGATCGGGATCCTATCGTCAACACACATGATCTTACATTCGCCCTCTGTCAATATGTATAGACATTTGTTATTACCTATTTAAATAAAAAGGACTTGATACTAGACTTTAAAACGAGGACTTGAAACTGTTTAAGGAAATTTATTGAATGGTTGATATCGTGTGAGAAGTGATATGGAAGACAGAGGAGTTAGCGATAGCGTGACGAGTGACAGGACAGAATGGAAGAAAAAAACGCATTGCGCCGACCCCAAATAAAACGGGACAAGGGCAGGAAGATGATGATGGTTGATATCGTGGACTGGTAAGGACTTATAAAATCAAATAGGTATTGGCTTTTAGCTGCAAGTAATTTTTAAGCTTAAATGGGAACTTATCAGCTTGACTTGTTTTCAAGGGGTGTTTTTGAAAGAATACCTATCATTATAATTCTTATTGTTTACATACGTAGTATATCTTTTTAATTTGTGTTGCTTACCTGACAATTTTAATATCTTTTCATTTGTATCAAGTTTAATATCTAAAGAAATGATATCTAGATATAGCAGTATTACTGTTAAGTGTTAACAGTTGTGTGTATACGTAAGTACTCTTAAGGGTGTATTAAGATAACATGCGCTGCACACGCACAGCATCCGCGCACGCTTTGTGCTCGCCTTAGACCTAAAACATACACAAGCGACGTAAAGCGAAGGCACGGGGCCGGCGCAGCGCAGGCGTTGGACAATTCACAAACATGCGGTAAAAACTCATTAAAACATCTGTTATTCCAAAATCAAAATCGATCTTCGAGGCACCAACCGTTGTTTCCTTATCAGCACAAGAACATAGTTCAAAGCAAAAACCAACAGTTTCTACATTTAAAAAACGTTTCTGGCCATGAAATGTTGACAAATATTTTTTATAATTTTTATGTAATGCCAATAAACATCCTAAGGTACCCTCAACGCATACGGTATGTTGGTGGCATGACGTAGTTTTCTCCATCAACGCAAATGGTGCGTTGGTAGCAACGAATGGGATAAGGAATACATACGACAGACAGACAAACATTTTAGCCATTGTAGTTATCGATTACCAACCCCTGATAGTTATTTTGAAAATATATTTAATGTACAGAATTGACTTCTCTACAGATTTACAATTATATGTATGTATAGATTACTAAACCAAAACTAATACGATCGAAAACCACACTAAAATAGAAATGTTGAATTTAAACAATCATAAATATGTACAAAATATCCTAAAGCTAGTAAAAATAGTTGTCACCCTGATGAAAGAGATGCAAAACATAAATGACGTGTTTCAAGGTCATTTTATTAGTCCTCAGTTCTTTTTTCTTGGTGCAACATCCAGTGTACTTTATAATATTCTTGTATAAGTGAGAGACCACACAGGACCACGCTGTTTGACTTTGACGTTGACGTTTCGTTATACATCTAATGATGTTTCGTTATCTTCCCCTAAGAAATAATAGTCTTATAGAACGATAATGCAATTTTTGCATTCTTTTGTAGTATTTTTTTCTATCCATTTTATACAGAATTTGAGGCGTTATGTGTTCTAAAGTTAATAATATTTAACAAAAGTTAAGTAGAAAGAAACGAACCCTCATCAATGAGGACGTCAAATCAATTGTATTGTTATTTGACAGTCATGTGACAGCAAAAACTTGACACTTGACACTATTTTTGCTAATGTTTGTTTGATGGCGATTTCACTTTTCATGTATTGTTTTTATGCGGCGAGTTTGGTGTAATTCACTGAGTCAAATATTTAAAATGGCAAATCTTCCTCCACGTAAAGTGTCTTCCTCGAGTAAAGCGAAACAAGATGCGTCACCCCTTCAAATTCTTTTGCAAATGGGATTTCCGAGGCACCGGGCGTAAGAAAAAAATAATTTTAATTTAATTTTCTATCATTATTCAAGAAATAGGAGTTCGCATGATTAATTATAATAAATCATTTCAAATAAATTATGTCTGTTGCTTAGCAGATTAGGGGAACAGCTGGTATCGGCTAATTTTTAATATTTTCTTATACATACCTGTAACAAAATTGCAAAAAATATTTTGCAGATTGAAAGCGTTGTCTGCGACAGGAAATCGTAGTGTCCAATTAGCATCTGACTGGCTTCTGACCCATGTGAATGATGCTTATATTGATTCTGATGAGCCAAGGGAATATATATTTTATGCCAGTCCCACGGGACCACTACTTAGCCAGTTGCTGGAATTCTGGGACAAATCTAAAGAAATTTCCGGTTGGAATGGGGCACACAATTTTCCACCTCATATTACTCTTGTTTCATTCTTTAAGGTAAGTAAAAGTAATTAAACAATCCTTTTGTTCCAGTTTGGGACTTTTATAAGTACTTATTCTTTATTTTAACTTCTGCCACATGAATATAATATTTCTTTCCCCTAAAAGGACAGATTTTGGTGGTACTTATTTAATAATGTTTCCATATTTTTTTCTAAAATGAATAAATAAGATGATTTTCTTTCCTCATATAAAAGAGTAGTAGAGAAAAATTAACATGTACTCAAATGTTGCTTTTGAGTCAACAGGGAGCACCACAAATTAAAAACCAATCTGCTTATGAACATTAAGGACTCCCTACACCCCTTTTACCCTCTCGGTATATATAGCTTTTCTGGTGTCCCAATCATTGTCATTTATATTTTTTTTTTTGGTAATATTTCATTATGCACAACCATTAGTGAGGGGATCATAACTGAGAAAAATGAACTAAAAGAAAGTAATAAATAATGAAATATCATATTGCTCTAGGCTCCAGATGAAACTTCCCTGCAACTAGGAAAGGCAGTAAAACATGTGGTAGAGAAAGTAGGGGATCCTCCAAACTGTCCTTTGAAATTGGAGCCCTATGTGTCTCATAACTTCATGGCACTATTTGTCTCCGAAGAACATGCAGACTACTTGAAAAGAATAGCTGTACAGTATGTTAAACAGGTCTCTTCAGTGCGTAAGTAATACCAACATAACTCTTATAAATACTTATCTATTAAACAACTCTACAAATATTTCATAACATCATAAACAAGCAAAAAGTAGTAAAAGGTTTCGGCAAATAGTATTTATCAACATTAACTGATTAACATTTAGATTAAATCTCATTATTTATTATTATAATTATTCCTGTATATTTATGTCTTCATGTTTGTGATATTCAAGTGCTTTGATAAAACTGTAAATGGTATTGAGTTAGATTGAAATATGTAATGCAATTCATAGCTAAATGGCTTTCCCTTTAGTATCCTTTCCATTTCATGAGGTAAGGGCTGGAAATAACGATGTAGGAATCTAATAATCACCTGTATAACTCCTGTACTTGTGTAGTGTAAAATTCTGCCTAAAATTGTTTTTAGTGGGTGTTATGGTGGATACATATGAGCATCTGGATGCATTGGGAACATGTTTCCCATGGTGTACCATGCCTCAAGAGAAGCCTATCAAATGTAAGAGTGTCCATAAGGACTTGCTTTCCAAAAATGTAGTTTATTTATTTGCTCTTGAAGCTTTAAGTGTGTAAAGAAGTTAACAACTATAAGTTAACATTAGTTTTTGTTGCAAAGGTACTACAAATTTTCAAAGAATTTATTTTTGCAGAATTTTCATTTCACTCAATCTTATCCTTATAGCTTTAGCTTATTTAGTCCAGTATTATTTTATTGCTCTATTTTATTTTGTTTATCAGCAATTTTATAGGCTAATGCAGCGGCAGACTCCTTGAGCATGTCCAACGCGCATTTTCAGGTAAATATTGGTACTTAATATATGATTCACATCTTATGCAACTATCAACTTCAACTTTTTAAATTATTTATTTTGAAAGCATGTTTGTAGATTTAGTTGAAAAGGAGTCGGTATTAATTAACTAATTGGTGTTAGTTTCGTCATGTCGAGAACAAAAGGAACAAAATTTTCGCGTATATTTTGTACAGTATTCTTATATTATCCAAAATGTTACATCTACAGTTCTTATCAAAATAGAACTGTCTAACATATTTTTTAATTTTAGTAACGATATCATTCATACGCTTAGAATTTGTTCTTCATGAAAAAGTAATGAATTTCTAATAGTTTTGCGTAAAACTCTTGCAATGGAGCTGTGCAAGGGCGCAAAGTCACGCATTAAACGTAATCTGCTGACTAGGTTAATCTGTACTTACTAAGGGTTCCTGACATACCACTGCGGGTTAACACCTTTGTTAGAAATAAAAATAAATAAACAAATGAAATGTGCGACGAGAAAAAATCTTTCTAAAGATCTAAAACATAATAAGCAGCTTAAAATTCTCTACAAACGACCGAAAAATACTTATTTTTAAAGAATAATTACTTAGGTACTAATGAATTTGTTTGGAAATTGGAAAATATTTGTCATATTTTAATAACGCACAATTTTGTCTTAACAGCGATAAATTTGGAGGCGCATGTAAAGTCTTTGCATATAACGTTGGCTTACCACTTCGATGTCGCCTCGTATGATGCTCTGAAGGCCTTGGTAGATGACATGCAACCTTCAGACCACTCCAGCTGGGAACTGAGGCTGTACTCCAGGGACCCAAGATTTGCTAACCACCAGGTGAATGTTACAACTGTTTTATACAGCCTCCTTATTAACCACCTCTTGTTAAATTGCGGATAGTCTATTTGACTAAAAAAATTAGAAAATCGAACTAACTTCGAGTCGAGGATGTTTGAGTTTGAGGTGGTGGTCCACCTCGTCCACCATCTCAAACTTTGGATGGTCAGCCGGGGTTGCGGGTGCGACTGTGGCCGGAGCAGGAGGAGTAACGGGGTGGTTTTTAAACACTCCTTCTTGTCATACCCACAGCGGAAGAAGTCATAAGTTTTTCCGTCCATAACAAATGAGATATAGAGAATGATGTACATTCTGATTCATGATGACGATAGGTGCAATTAAGAAAAACAATTGGAGCAATAAAGTTTGATTGTCTCAATCAATAAAATAGAAATTTAGTTAGGTAGTTATAAAACGGAAAAATGTCTAATGCCCCCCTAATAACTGGGGTAAGGATAAGAACAACGACCCTAAGAAGTAAAAGAACAAAAATATAAAGTTGCTACTCACTTATGATATTCGAATTAAATATGAAATAATAAGGTACGTCTATCTGTAAAAAACCGAATTGCAATAATTTTAATTTCTTTAATAAGGTTTTTGTAGCATAATCGTTTCTATTAGGAACACGGTAGAGTTAAAGTATGAGTATTAGTAGGAATAATTTAGATAGCAACACCTACTTAAGCTTATGTAATACATTTGAATGATTACTAAACATTAGAATTTGTTGTCGTCAGGTTCATAAAGTGACTCAAGGTTACGCGCCTAAAGCGAGCGATGAGCTTGAACTAGTACTTGGCGACTATATTTATATCGAAGAGAAGGAATTTGCGAATACGTCCGACGGCTGGGTGCATGGTACATCCTGGCTTACAGGTAGGTTCTAAAATATTCTAAACATCTAAATTACCATAACAAAGTAATTCTACGACAATAGTATTCATATTTGCATTGTAGGTAGGTACAGTCTTGACCCCATGTAGTGTCACAAAAAAGATTTGCTGAATGAGATTATGAATTCTAGATATTAGTGCTGTCTCTTTTCTGCTTTTACTAGTAGTCATCGACGTCTTTCGCAATAGACACCTCTTTGTTGGATTTCTGCAAAAGAAAAGTTAGTAAAAATTTCGATAAACTTTCTGGTCGCAAACCAGAAAGTTTATCTCATCGGCGAGGGATAGTGATGGGAAATGTAATGTAAACAAAGTGACAATATTTGTTTAAAAATAATAATGTCGGCGCACTAGACAGATATTATTCGGCTAATTCAAGGTGAAAGGTAAGACAGACTCAAAAAACAAGAAAAATACATTTATTTAAACTTATTTTATTATCTTACTTCATTGTTATTTTATTAATACCAATAATAAAAAGACATTTTATTTCATTCATGATAATCTATCGACTTTTCAATCGTCTACGGCAAATCACCCGCCGCGTTACTAGGCAACGCCATCTTGACTTGCTTTGGTTTGCCTTCATGAAAGAAAAGGAAAGCAATAATTATTTGCCCATGAAAGTAAGAGATGCTAACTGCTTTCTTCACGGACAACGAGCTACATAGGCCTGTCAACGATTTAATTTCAGTAATTACGATTAGAGTATTATTTGTTTCTGAAACAAAGTCCAATAAATTTTCTGATTTCAATGCTTTAGGTATTTTTCAACATTATTTACATTGAAAAGAAGCCACATACATTCTAAAATAAAACCGTGGTTACAGAAAGCGCTCGAGGGTCAAGGACGTAGTCGGTCGATAAATTGAGTTTTTGGGGTGACTAATGTGTTGTCGAAAAGTCTCCCTTAATGCGATGTCTATGGGGTAAGAAAAATGTCGATGCTAGTTATAAATAAACTCGCACATATAGCGTGAATATAACGCTCTCAACTCTGAACAGTTTACGCATAGCTCCATGGTACATTTCGGTTATCAATAGCTCACGCATTACATCATACAAATAGTGCTCTAATTGGAAACGCGCGAAATAACGTTTAAAATAACTATGTGTATCAGTTATTATTAAATAACCGTTTTTAAGATACGGCTTACAATTGGCGCTTTGTATATTCGGCCTATGTTGAGCACCCTTGAGATTAACGAGCCAACCACGGCGCAGTATTATATCTGCTGTCAGCTGTTTTTCAAACAGAGATAGCGATTGTTGTTCGGTCTTTGGCTGGGCTTCGATTTTAACTAAATGTGTTTAGTATTGAGTTTGGATTAGTAATATAACAGTGACTTGCGATATTGTTTTTAATCACGTGACGTTTACGATGACGCGTTTCATCAAGAGTTTTGCCGTGTTGAACTTGAAAATTGGAGGTTAGTGTTGTTGTGTAATGTGAACTGTCAATGTTGGTCGCTAACCTTGTTTGTGGTCAAATTCGTATGGACCGTAAACAAGGACGATGATCATTTAATTTCCATATTTGTGTAAGTAATGATAGTGCCTGGTTATTTAAGCTTATTATCAAATCAAGTTTTCATTACCGTATGACTCAACTTGATGTGTAGGCAATGAATGACATTAACTTCTTTTTGAAAGAAATTCATCTAATCAGCTACGTCAGTCAACTTAATCATTGAGTTTTTAATAAAAACGTATGCTAGTATCTTATCTCTTTGATATTGAATAGATATGAAATTGCGAATCTTCCTACTTTCATATAAGAATCGATACTCAATCAGATTTTGTTATTCGCTGTCTAACAGTTCTAAAGGTTGGTTGTTTCATAACAACAAACCATACAATTACGTTAAAAAATTCGAGGTATGTTTTTATAAATGAAAATTTATTTCTATTTTAATTTTGACTGTCTATTTTTGTTAATTCGCGTTGAAGTTATTTTTTTTCTTTTTTATTTTTAATTGTCATGTGCATTACATTGTTCGTCTATTTATAAAAAAGCGCAAATAATGTAGTTTTTTACCTAATTTATTAATTCTTTTATTTTAATATTTTTTTACTGAACTATGTAAAAAAAAACAAGCGTTCTTTGAATAAATTTGAAAATGGAATCTTATTGTTAAATCGAATTCGATTGGTGTTCTATATTCGTTGACATGTCAATTTAAACATGTTATCCGCGATAAATTGTGGCGTCATATCCTAACTCTATTCTCTGTTTTTTTGCATTGCTTTTGTAGGCGTCAGTGGTTATTTACCGGCTGTATTCACCCGACGCACAGCGGAGTCTGACGCTTGGACTCTTCACCGAGCAATATCACTTGGCAACAACAGTAAGTACATACCTTATTTACATTGTATTCATATTATATTATTTTATGTGTGAATAGAAACATAACTAAGTAACTACTGCAATAACAATTTTATTCTAAAGACGACCGGTTTTTTTGTTTTGTTTTGCTAAATTACGTACTTGATAGAGTTTGATTGAACAAATTCTCGTGTCGAATCATTTGAGTCTTTATGTTGTTTAAATTGTGTCATTGTCTTGCAAAAAAAAACAATGTGTCTACAAAGGAATACAAATTGTCCAGAGAAAGAAAACCGGTGTATTTATTATCTATTTATTATTTTTCACGTGCTGTTTTGAACGGTTTTAGGCGTCCGACACGTGTAAATGTGTTGTTTACAAGTGAAGTGTGCGATTACACCTAACGTAATAAGTTTTTGCGTTAAAGTGATAGTGTGGCGGACTGTGATAGCGATTATTTATATACAGACTTCAACTAGCTCCTAATGCAAGTTAGTGTAATTTAAACCTTAATCCTTATAAATTTAAGTGCGGTTTTTGTCCGGATTCAGTTCTTTACCGGTACCCCGGTTTGTTTTTTGTCGGTAACGTTCTTTTTTGCGCCCCAAAGTTTTGGTTGTTTTTTTTTTTTATAATGCGAGCGTTGGTAGGGTTCGCCGCGTATTAGAATAGTTTAGGGTGGTTTTACAGACTTGTTTTACCGGATACCACGGATTTGTTGTTGGACGAGGAACATTTTTTTTTTAATTTGGTGTTCTATACGTATATATGACTTTGTTTCGAACGAGTTTATTTCTGCCGAGTGTGTTATTTTAGTCTAGTTTTCTATAAGTCTAGGTATAATTAGATTAGTAGGAATGTTTTAGGTGATTAAAAAAATAATATCTTCATTATTCATTTCATTCTTTCATAATTTAGTGGGAAAGTTCTTAATGCTTTAGATATATTAATTCTTTTATTCTCATTTTGTTTCAGAACAAAAATAAGTTTTTGAAAATGACTTGATAATGTGTTTATTAATAACCATATTTTTTGTGAGGGAAAAAAGCGCAGGGAAGCTTCTTATGACCCTGGTGTCAGACTCTTACCGACTAACCCCCCCCCCTACTCCAGGCCGAAGCCGCGATGCTTCATTGTGCTTTCCCCGAAACCTTGACCAAACAGCCCTAACGGCCCCGTCTGTGGCGGTCTATTGGCTCTTTGAGTCGCGCGCGGAACGCTACTTATGAAGAGCTTATTTCTTCCAAAAAGTATCTATTATTAAGACAGGTATAAATAAGGTTAGTTCTTTTTTTTAAACTAAACAGTCACTGACACTATCCTCGATTCCCTAGATATACCTATAAGTATCCGTAAGCACGGAAACAATGCCTTATAAAAGAAATTAAAATACTTATATAAAGGATTCGTGTTTGTTGGCTGTAAATTAAATGTTTTTTATACGATTAATGCAAAAATAAAATACTAAATTACAATGGGTATTTAGATACGAATGCATAATAGGTACAGTTTGTAAATCAGAATTAGATTAATATAAATATAGAATAAGCTAATCTAGAAGATAGGGACAAGGCCGCGTTCTAACGATAAAGTGCAATATTACTAATTGTTTTTTTAGTGGTAGGCACTGGTTGTTTGCGCTGGTCTATTGATGGCGGGTAAGGGTAGCTCGGCGCCCGACCAGAACCAGACCCGAACGTACCTCAAAGAGCCAATAGACCACCACAGACGTCGCCCTACAGGGCTGATGTTCAGGCAAAGTTGCGGGGTTAGCACAATTAGGCACCGTGGCCTAAATCAGGAGAAGGAACTTAGGGGTTTTTTAGTCAGTAAATGTCTGACACTCTCTCTCGCCTTACCTTAGGCGGGAGAAGTCATTTGATGATTTTCCCCTGACAAAAAAGCCAAACGTCTTATGTACCTAGAGGTGCCTTATAAGTCCAGTTTGTGCGGTCGTCAACTGTTGTTGGTGAGGAAAATGAACCATGTTACCTAAATCTCAGCTCTCGTACAACAATTGTGTATGAGGGTTTCCTGAAATGTTCCTGATGGTAGCTCTGTATTGTTAGGTCCAACAACCTGTCAAAAAACATGCACGATTGATATTTTTCTTTATTTATTTATTCTTAAACTAAGCTAAACACGGAATATGGTTTTCAGTGTAGTGCAGTGCCTATGTGTGCAATTAAACACACATAGAGACATTTTCTGCGCTCAATCTGCCGTTCGGCAGTCAGTGGGTCGTCTTAGGGGCGAATTTTCGGCATCGTTTCTTTGGCCGTAATCCATAGTAAATAATAAAATTAATATAATTTACAAAATACACAATTTTTACAAAAAATACACGTTCGGTAAGAATCTGTGCTATCTGACAGTTAGGAGCTGACGCATACGAAGTGTCAATCGAAAAACCCTAATTTGAAACTGATTTATGATGTAGACATTTCAGTCTGATATCGAATTTACATCGTCACTCTTCGTCAGCACTAGTGACTAACGCGAATAATTATCTTTTTTACTTACCCTTTACATCGTTAGTAAGTTTAGGTAAAATACCTACCTACCCAGCGCATTATTTTGATATCAAAAGTAAAGGACGCTTAATTTATAAAAAAATATTTTTTATAATAACGTAAAAAAAACCTTTCTGAAAAAAATAATTAAAAAAAAAAACGCAGAGTTATTAATACATAGTTCTCGCGTGATATATTTTTTTAAGTTTTTAATTAAACTAATTTGTAGGTAAGTGTATACGTATGACTCAAAATGTTGATAGTGTATGCTAATCTACAAGATGAGCCCAAGATCAAGTCATTAAACTTTATCATTGCAGTTATTTATTTTGCGTATTCACGCCATGATAAAAGTTATTTTTATTATTGTTGGTTTAACTTGTCAGACTGGTCAGAAAACCTGCTATTTAAATAAAAAAAAAAATAACTTAACCACACAAAGAACTTGAGTCATGCAAATTTATAAGTTGTTATAAGTATGTTTTCTTAGCGTAGATATATGTACGTTGAGTAGGTATGCACTCAAATAACTGTGATCATTCAAATTACAAATGAACTGAATTAGTAATGTTATGACCAATAAAACAGCAATTCCTTTTAAATAAATCATTATTTTATGAACTGTCAAAATCAATTGTAGAGGGCGCTCGAGGCAAAAAAGTCAACTTCGATCGAAATATTTTATTAAGGACCTGCGTCAAATGTACACCTAGGAACTTGATATTACAATCTAAGAACACTTACGAATAGCTTCTAGAGGATGTTTAACAAATTAAATAAACTATACCTTAAGGAACAAAGACTTTTTTAGCCGTAGTTTGCTGTATTGTTAGGTTATTCTAATGAAAGCTTTACTTGGAATTGACTTGTTGTCAATTTTAATATAATTAAGTAATAACTACGGGCATTCTCAATTAAAGTTATTGAGATATGACTGCAATTTTGATAGTTATTAGAAATTTGAATATTTATAGGTATATATTTGGACCTTTAATATTTGTTGTTAGAGGTACCTTTATGTTTGCGCAATGAAAGATATGTCTATCACGTGTTTAAATAAACACCAAATTAATTGGACATAATAACTATCTGTTACGTGTCCGAGATAATGGAACGAATATTGTTTCAAAGCAAACTTTGCCGTGTCGACTGATGTCTGAGGTACAGTCGCGTGAATAACGTTCAGTGACCTTTCGTCTGTTTTGTTCTCCATAGTTACAATTTCAAAACAATTTTTGCCCCTTCCCTTAATTAGTAATTTCACTTAAGATCTTCCGATTCGATCAAGGTTTTTAAAAGAAATCAAAACTCATGTCTAAAGTCGGTAATTTGTTAGTATGCTTTCACATGTTGCTGTGGCCCTTAGGAAAGCGCTTCGCTTCTCATGCATGAGGGTGCGAATATGAACCTGTAAAGTTGGTTTGTGAAGCAGCATTGAGGTTACCGGAGGCCCAATTCCCGCCCCCATCCTCAATCCTCAAATCCTTTACCCTTTAAATTCCTAATAAGTAATAACCCACAAGAGGCCGATAACGTACTAGTAGTAACCAGATTGTCCATAGGTGGCGCTGATTGTTTACCACCAAATAATCCGTCCGCTCGTTTGGCGATCTATGAGATAAAAAAACATAACCTAACAACGAATGTAGAAAATTTTAGTTGAGAACAAAAAAAGTCACATTTGTACACGACTGTACTAGTACGATCAAAATTAAATATTGTCGTAGGTCCTCCAATTTCATGATAATAAGGTAGCGATTAAGGATTCAATAAACATAGTTGGCTTCTAATAACATTCTTCTCGATAGACCAGTTGTTCGGAGTAGACAGTGCAATGAAAGCGTTTGACGGGAAGTTTAATATCTTTCTATTGCTTTTATATATTCTAGGTTCAGATTGTAAATCGGAATCTGATTCGAATACGGACGGAGAAATGGCGAGTTACCCACACGAAGACGCCGCCCAGTTGGGTCATGAGAAGTCTGAACAGACCTATGAAGAGTGGGGCAAGTACTGGACTGCTGTCCAGACCGATAATAGTAACGGAATCATGGACGTGACGCAAGGTGAGTACATTTCATGAGTTGAGATGTTCTTTTTTTTTTTTGGAGACAATCTATCTGTTTCAGAGCAGTTTGGATTCTCAGATCTGTTCAATCTACCATTGAATATTATGTTTGCAATAAGCTCGCCCCTTATACGTAAATTGAAAACAATTCAAAATTTAATTTAAAAATTTTACAGTCTACCTATGACTTATGTAGAGCCAATATAGTAGAGGATGAAGTGTATATCATAAATCATTTTTCAGTAATGATTTCTTAAGCTTACTAAAATATTAAAAGAAAATGGAGGTTTTGTGTCAACGAGGATAAGTAAATTATTTTAAAATATTTTTGTTGTTTCAGGAATTTCAATTGACTGGAAGAGTAACGCCAACAAGTTCTCGACAGATCCGATTGTGAGTATTACTTAAAATCAATTCTTATGTTATTCAGCTGTAAAGTTTGGTTGCTTGAACGCGCAAATGTCTGGAACTACACTGGTTCGAATTGAGCAATTGTTTTTGTGTTCGTGAGTCCATTTATCGAAGCTTTGAGGATTAATAAGAAGATTAAGATATTATTTTGAAATTACACTTATCTAGTTTCTATCAAAAATCTTCATCGATTCACACATTTTGTATTAAATTCGGCCCTAACTCTTCGCTCGAAATTGCATCAGAAAATAATCTTGCTTAAGCATACTTATTACACAGGGGTATGGATTATAATCTATCAATGTCTGAGGAATATATGAACTAGCCTAACTACTCAGATCTTTGCATCATCTACTCATACCTTATATTCAAAGAAATTTAACTTCTATGTTCCTTATTTTATGTGTATCGTTATACGATGACGCAATGTAAAGTTATTTACAGTCACTCAAATAGCAGTGATGTGGTATTTGCAACGTGGCAATAGATACATTATCATGTGCGATGCATATCAAAATATTGGATGTGTATATGATTCGATGGATTATATTATAAAGATAAAACGAGGTGTCTTCATAAAGTGCGTGGGGTACTTACTTGAAGATTTTATTTTATTTTTCTTCGCTTAATGAGATGTAATATAGGCCGAGGTCAACATTTTGGGAGGATTTGCTTAAGTTTTTTTTATTTTATATGGGGTAGCAGGAAATTTGGTGGGTTTTAGCCAATTTTAGAAACATATCAGGCCATTTCTATTATGTTCAGAAACTATTGAAATAAGCCAGAGACAGAATTATATAGAAGCAGTAACTTTAATAGTCTAACAGTCCTTAAAAGTTTTTGTTGTGGAAAAATATCGAAAGTCTTATAATGTGTGTTAAAATAATTATCAGGTTCGCTGTAGAGGAATTTTAATAAGTACCTACTATATTTTTTTAAAGATTGAAACTGGAAATTTTAATTTTTGTCTTCACCAATATAACGGCAAATGTTTTTTTTTTATTTTACAAAAACCCAAACTACATTGTTTTGCCCGAGAATCGATTCCGAAACCTCTTGCAGTTCCGCTTGCGATCACTCGATCAACTAGGTAGTCTATCAGCAGCAAAGTCGGCAAACACTGGTGATACCTATTGTTAAAGAAATAACTATATATCCGTAACCCCATTTTCTATTATCATTATTATGTCAGACCGTACCGACCGTAGACGCAGCTGTTATAGAAGCCCTCCGTTTTCTAGATAGGTCAAGGTTAATAAAAAATAAAGCCCACTTAGGAACAGGGTTTGCAACCCGAATAATCGGAAATGCTTTGTAGGGCTTTTTTTGTGAGGGGAAAATCATCAAATCACTTCTCCCGCCCAGGGCCGGCCGGGAGGGAGTGTCAGACTCTTACTGACTAAAAACCCCCCTGTTCCTTCTCCTGCTCTGGGCCGAGGTCGCGGTGCCTCATAGCGCTTACCCCGCAACCACGGCTGATGCTTTATAGGGCTGCAAGTACTACTTACTTATTACTTAGGACTGCAATCCATAATATCATTAATTTGATATATTGTGTAAATGTTTCGATGTTAATTACTCAAAATGTTTTCATGGATTTTTTGGTCACGATTTGGGATACTTTTCATTCCAAATATAATATCGAACAATATAGAGAGAGAAACATGTGTTCCAAGTCGTGGACATTCGTATTAGTTCATTTATATAAAAGTATTTGCCATTACTTCAACGAAACGTTTAATGTGATTTTAATTTTCAAATTGTGTACTTTTCGTATGAGTTGGAGGCCGGAACATATCCTTTCCATACATTCTAAAACAGTTCGTAATATTTAAACAAACTTCTTAAAATTTTGCACCAAATAACTAGTCACAGGTATATGAAATATCTAAGACTCGTCAATCATATGTTAATGTAAAACGTCGCTAAATGAGACCCATTTTGGAGTCAATAAACTACTGGGTACATAAACACACTACACTGCATGTAGTACGTATGGTGAAACGGGGTAAATAGAATTCGAAGGGTAAATAGACGAAGAGGGGGTGAATCAATGGTATTATATTAACATAGATATGTTATACCCTCACAAACGCACTAAAAATGTGTGCCGCCCCAAACGTCAGCACACTTACATGTCTTTCATTAATTGTACATGTCACTATAAGTTAAAATTGTAGAAAAAGGATAGTATGATAAATAAAACAAAAAAAAAACTAATTAGCTATTGTTACCAATTACGTACCCAACGTGAACAAACATTATTCTAAGAGAGACTAATTGCACTTGCATACAATTGTACCCTTTTCGAGTCTTCACTTTTGCGCGCTTGTAACATATCTGTTAATAAGTAGGTAATATCATTGGGGTGAATAGATTCTAGGAAAATTCGCCAACATCTATTTTTTTGTGTAGCTATTCACCCCGTTTTACGGTAAGTACGTAGGTTACAAATCATCATGAATTGGTACTTACGGAAAGTTTGACAGATGCTTTTTGCTGGATGTATGACAAGAATGATAAGTCCTAACACAAGATTGATAACGCTTTCAAAGTGCATTGATTTAACGCTACCGTGCCAATATCGAAAGATAATAAATAGCTTTGTTTTGACTGCTAAATGTTCAAAAGATTGATAGCTGAAAGTCGAGCAAAAACAACGTGGTTGTGATGTGATTATGTCATGTCGATAACAAGGACGCTAAAACATCCTTGTGGTGTATTGATGCAATAATATCTTATCAATGTAATAAATAATTTCTTAGATATTTTTTTTATAGTGAATTTTATATTTCATGTATAGAATTGCGATTCGGTTAGCTCATTAGTGTGTCGTTTCGGCCTTTTCAAAACTTGATGAAAAGACTATGGTTTAGTGTGAAGTTATATGGCAAAAAACTGCCTTTACTCTCGGTTGAAATTTTGAGATGTACCAATCGTCGTAATACGTTGAATAGTCCCCATCCACAGACTTTATAAACTCTATGCGTCCATAGGAACTGCTCATATTGGTATTGTGAAACGGGGTTAATAGATGTAGAACAGGGGTGTATAGATACAAGAAAAATTCGCACTTTTTTATTTTTTACACCCCTTTCTGTATCCATTCACTCCTCAAATTCTATTCACCCCGTTTTTCGGTACTAGAAGTAAACGTCTCCTACTACTTAGACAGTCTGTTTTTGTCTGAGTTCCTGTAATGTTATTTGAGACTTACATCATAATTATTAGTCATCAGACACAGAATGCGCAATACCACTGACCACATTAGTGTAGAATTGCTAGCCATATTCAGCAAGCTTAATTATTTAACGTGAATTTATTTGACACGTTTTACAAGCTCATTTTAAATAACAGTCGTGGTAGATTTGTGAAGGAGACTACTTTGGCTCTTTGGTTCAACGACTTAAAGCGTATTTTAGCCTGCGATAGAAGATTTTGCGTATTTTGGGCATATCCTCGAAAATTGCCAGCACTTTGATAATGGTAATCGTCCAAAAGTTTTTTTAGCTTAAGCCGTGGTTTGCAGGAACGTGTATATAAGCGAAAGACAATGTATTTTCTATTTTGTCTTATATACTGGTAGATAAAAGATTAATGTTAAAGTTTGTTCTTCCTTTCAGGCTAAAAATGACGAAAAACATCGTCGCTGGATCTTCGCGATGCGTCACGGCGAGAGAGTAGATCTTACGTACGGACAATGGGTGCCTTTCTGTTTCGACAAAAACGGCACTTACACTAGGAAGGATTTGAACTTACCCCTGAAACTGGGTGAGAGGTAAGTGTTTCATACAATCTCTGACATTTGAATAAGGCAAATAATTGACTTTGATTCAAATTTTATAGCATAGCTTTATTCGTATATTACAAATTCCGGTCATAGATATGCATACTCATTAGCATTTTTAGGCTTGACTGATCTTGTGTTAGATTTATACTTGATGAACAACACTTTAAATAATATATGATATTAACCAATAGTCATCATCATCAGCCGGAAGACGTCTAATGTTGAACAAAGGTCTCCCCCTTTGTTTTCCACGTCGAACGACAGCTCGCCACCTCCATCCATTGGCTCCCCGTGACTGATAATTCGATTCAAGTAGTGGGCACCTTATCATTAATATATTAATGATATTCATAATTCCAGGACTGGTGGGGCGGATTCTTACATGAAAGATACCCCTTTAACGCGAGTGGGTCGTCTGCAAGCTCAGCTCGTGGGCGAAGGCCTGCGATTGGCTGGCGTATCCGTCAAGCACGTGTACGCATCGGCTGCGTTGCGCTGCGTCGAAACTGCTCACGCTTTCCTTGAAGGTACGATTTGTCTTTTGTATTTTGAGACAGTCATATAAAATGTGTGTTTGGGCAAAACTTATAGACTCACACCCAGTTTCCGAAAGGCCGATCAATGTTAAAATCAATTTAATCGCTTGTCAAGTCATCTGATTGGTTGACTGAATTATCAACAACCAATGAGATGACTTGACAAGAGATTTAACAGGAGATTAGTTAATTTTAGCGTTGACAAGCCTTTCAGAAACCGGTTGTTATTCGTTGATTGATACAGAGTTACATTCTGGATCAATTCCCAACCTAACTAAGAAGTATTTAGAGTTTCGAAAAACATCTTGGTACTACCAAAATATTTTCGGTATTTGGAATAGTGGCTGATATATTTTAATACGTAGATTTGCCCCTTATTTTATTAGTACCGAAAAGTGGTTGTTACATTTTAATATACCTTTGCCTTACCCTTCAAGTAACAAAGGTATAGCGTATAAAAGTAATATATCCCAGGATTTTAAAACCAGCAGCGCCTTAGCGATATCATCACATACGCAAATCAAGTATAGTTTATAGCTTATGGCACCCAGGAACATTGTAACTATCTATAAATAAAAGAAAACAAAGCAAACAAGCAATAAAAGAATACAAAGCTTACTCCCTCCATACAAACTTACAAATTTTCGCTCTTTATAATAATACAGTATAGATATGAAATTAACGTTATTGATATCTGACAGCAAAGTTTGTCAAATAAACAAATCAATAAGGCATATTACAATCTTATGTGTGTATCTATAATATAAAAATGAATCGCAAAATGTGTTGGTAAGCGCATAAGTCAAAAACGCTTGGACCAATTTTGACAAATCCTTTTGTTTTGTATTTATTATTGTCAGGAGAAGGTTCTTATGAAATAAAATATTAGAAAAGTAGAGGGGAAAATTGGGGAAAAGGGACCGTTTCGTTGTTAGCGAGATAGTAGGACCCGTGCGAAGCGGGGGTGGGCCGCTAGTTTACAATGAAAATAAAATAGAAGTATTAATTAAATTAACAAAATCTCACTATACAATACCATTATCGGTACAGAATAATACAAACAAGAAACACGACAATTAAAGGCTATACAAAGTCCGAACAAATTAATTATATTATTTGCGTACACTCATGATTGTGATATCAGTTGATACTTTCATTTTGTTATCACTATCAAGTGAGTGATAGGTCTAATTCAAGTCGGTCTCTTCTTGTTTGGAAATTATCCGATTATGCAGTTCAGTAAAATCAGTTATTATAAGAGTGATAAACAATTTCCAATCTTATTTCGTTTTAATAACACATTTTTTGGTTTGTAGCGTAGTAGTGTATGCTGTCGTGACACAACATATATTACTATACTGGCTTTGATTTAGCTGTTTACTTAACTTTCATATTTATGACTTTGCAATAGAGTTTAGAATGTGTTATAGTGAGTTATAGAATCTAAAGTTTACTTCACTTTACTTATACTTTTTCTCATCGGAGAAAGATATACCTATGTAGTATTAAATTTATATTGCTGTATGGATTACAGGTCTCCAAGCTGATCCTTCGGTGAAAATTAGGGTAGACCCTGGTCTCTTTGAGTACAAGATGTGGCACATGGCCAAGGGGATGGCGCCCTTCATGACCCCCATGGAGTTGTACAAGGCTGGCCTTAACGTCGACCTGAAGTAAGTGATAAGTTAAAAAGGTTTATTCCTACTATTAGCATTTACAAATATATAAAAAAAAATACGGTATAGTATCGAAGTCACGACTTATTTCAAACCATTATTAGATTACCTGATAGTAAGCGATCAGCGTCGGTAATGGACGTAACAATGAAGGAATTACGAGTGCGTTGCCGATCTTCGGGAATTAGGGTTTTAGAGATTTAAGTATCGGGAGAGGGAAAAAGGGCCTTCGGTAACTTCACTCACACGGCTAAACACAACGCTCTGGTAGTTTCACGCCTGTTGTTTGTGAGGCCGTGGCATCATTTGGGTCGAGCAAGCCCATTCGTGCCGAAGCATGGCACACACAACACACAATAAATTCCTGTAGTTTATCTCTCAGCTTTTTTCTACAACAAGTATTGACATAATAATAATAATTTCAGCTACAAACCGTACGTTGAAGTGGATGTGAACACAACTGAGACAATCGACGAATTCTACAAACGAAATGAAAAGGTCATGCAGTCTGCTGTCAAAGATACCGAGAAAGAAGGTAAGGGGGTGTTTGATTCAAACTTTTTAGAGAGATGTTGTTTGTGTTGTTTCTGATGACGAGACGGGTGATGAGTGAAAAACTATTAGTTTCTAATGAAAACGGGGCTCTTTGTTAAGTTTCGTTTTATTTTTCATTGTAATTAATAATCTAGTCGCAAGAAGGAACGTGATTACAATGCTTCTGCTACTGCTGTGCACTGTGAAAGGCCCTACTCAACCCAATTAATATTGTAGTCATTACACACTAAAGTCTTATGTACTAGTACCTAGCAGCTTATTCATTACAACCAACTCCGTTTATATTTCTCAGGTGGCAACGTTATTTTCGTGGGCCACGCAGCTACCCTTGATATGATGGCCGTGTCACTGAAGCTCCTCGATGAAACCAGAACCGACCACAAACCCTACAAGATCCACGAGAATCTCCTCAGAGTACCGTACTGCGCCCTCGGTGCCATGAAGGACAACCCTTGGGAGGTTGTCTGCCCTCCCTGCCCTCCTTCAATCAACTCTAGCTCGGGCAGATTCAACTGGAAGATGCTTTTAGACGTGTAAGGATCCAACATAAACCTTGTGATACATTTTTATCGATATTATTCAGATTTAGGAATTGCATTTTGTCTTTATCTAGTTAATATGTTTGCTTTGGAAATTCTAAGGTAACAATAAAACGGGGTAAATAGATATCGGGGGGTAAATAGACGCAGCATAGGAGTGAATAGACACTAAGAATATTCGAAAACATCTATTCACCCCTTTTGTGTCATTCATCCGTCAAATTCAAAATAATGTACTTTAATGTGTACTGCATACTTTTAAACCATTTGCATCTATATCTTCTCCGTGTGAGAAGAGGCCTTTGCTCAGTAGTGGACACTGACGGGCTGATGATGATGATACTTTTAATTTTCCAAAGCGAACATGTTAATTTTTATTTGAAATATGCCTTTGGGAATATTATAGCTTTTTATTGAAAGTATAACTTATTGTTCCGATATTGGCGGTTAGAAAAATCATGGTTTTATCTTAGTTAGAATTTGATTTAAAAGCCATCGTTTTGATTGAATGTTACTTTTTTTTAGAATTTAAATTAAATACCAATATTTTTCTGGTATTGTTTAAAATTATTACGCCATTAGTACAATCAACAAATGTCCCGTAGGTATATTTTGACAGATTTATTTTCTAAGATTTTCTTAATGTTTTAATTCATGTTGTTTAAGTATACTTAGTTACTAGTAACGTTTTATTATTTACCTTAGGTACAATTAATTGTATGTACTTACATACATACATATACATAAACCTAAATAATCCACTACAATGTATAGATTTATATTAATAAGATATTTAAAAAGTAAGTGAATGTGATTCCTCTTCAGATAAATGATAGACAGTTAATTACCTATCTTATATTTCAAACTGCCGTAGCAAACTCGACCTTAATTCTAACGAAATAACGTGGTTATTGATACCACAACATACATGTATGCTTCCTTAAACTTTACATAGGTTCATATACTCCAACTAGAGGGTTGTGACAATGAAGAAGCTTCGAGAAAGAAAAAAAAAAGAAAAAAGTAATGTCTTTCATATAAGTGAGATAGTATTTAATGCTTCATTTGTGTATTAAAATATAAATTTAAATCAAAATAATCAAATCAAAACAATTATGTGAGTAAAAGGCATATCTAGTGTAATTATAAATACGGGTAATATAGTTTGTTCCCGTTGCTTTCTGCAGTCGATGGCATAGACGGCGATATAAAGTAACTTTTTGTTATCTAGACTTTTTTACTTTTCGAACTCTATCGTTACAAAATAATTTATCTATATCGCCAATTTTTCATATGACAATTTTTTAAATTGTGGCAATTGCCAATCGAGATTAATCATAAATTTATTCATACTATATCTATTGTTCTTTTTGTAAACTTTTTATATAGTCGTGTATGTCATCGTCTATACATACATATTATTATTCCGTGTACTTATGTACTTCGTTGGTACCTGTGTATTTTAGTGAACTTTACTTTGTATGCCTTATTAGACTGATTAGATATATGTTCATTACACTTGTATTAATGTTGGTAATATTTGTACCTGCGTCAAAATGGGTAAAATAAAACGTCTATACAAATTATTTTTGAGTTTTCATTTTGTTGCTTTCGACTAAATGCGTAAAAGGAAATCTGGAGGCCCAATTTATTGCCAATCCTTAAATATTTCAACTCTGTTGGGAAGCGAAGTGAACCCAACAAACGCGCGGCCATCACGAACTGGCAGCGTGTACCTACACATTTTTCGTCATCAGCTGGTGGGCAGTGGCGTGGCTAGTACACCTATTTTAATACAGTCCACTATTTTATTTTAATCCCCGTCTCAACAAAACCCTAGTCCCCGACACACCCCCAACATAATAGGAGTTGGAGTGCGTTGCCGGCGTTATGGGCGGCGCCGATTGCTTACCATCAAGTAACACGTACGCTCATTTGCCACCCTATCTCGTGTCCGTTACCCTTTTCGCTTTTTCGTAACTACCTAAACTTGGTCGGTTTACCACGGTCATTCACTTCCTAATGACTTTAATAGTATTATCTCATTAATTATCCAATGTATTGAGCTGAAATTTTACTGATATACAACTGATCTAAACAACTAATCATTGACATAACATTCAGTTCATATATCCAAGCCAGTGGCCAAATAACACCGCGTGCATTAAGACCGTGCTCGTGAAGAACTGAATATCATCATAACTTGTTAAATACTTACGGGATACTAATGAAACTTCATATACATTTGAAGGCAGTTACAAGCTTTAAAATTACGTTTGAAGTAAGTCTTTCGACTTCTTATTGGGAGTGCTGGGGCCAATTGAAGTGTTTTTCTATTTAATGAAAAAACCTTTAAAATATGCATTATTTTGGTTTTGTTATTGCACAACAAATTTAAACTAAGTCCTCGGAAGTCGTGTACAAAATATGATAAGAATCCGCTTAACCATTTCAAAGATCTAGCAAAACCAAAAACGTTACCGCAAAATCTCGAATAACTTCGCAACCGAGGAAAGAACAAATACAAAATAAGGCACAACATTTACTTTATCTAGACAACTAATTTTATAGCTAATATTTATTTAAATATTCCCATTAGAAAGAAAAAGGTCTGGCTGTGGTAACGTTACGCCAGCAGGAAATGTTTTTGTGAAATAATTAAAAAACTATAAGCGCAACAAATTTAAAAATGTGCGCAACAATTACAGAAGCCGCACAACTAATTATCTATAAGATTCAAATGACCATTGTCGACAACATCTGGCCTGGGTAACGGACACCCCTATCTCTTAAAAAAATCCTGAACAACTAGTGAAGTTGTGCGGGACCCTGTAGGGGATCGGATTAAATGATGGCGATACCCTAATTTGGTCTATTACACCGATGACTTCTACTTAAGGCTGAGAGCTGCCCTTAAGATTTTTAATTATCGAATTCAGAAGTCCGATGTTCTGAGGTTTTATAATGTTCCCATATAAGGCCACTCAACTACTAATTGCCAGACCTCGAAACCGTTACCATTATTTGGTACTTATATTCGAAGATACCTTTATGTATATGTACATATAATTCTACTGTACGTGTGTATGTAATTGAACTCCTAAACGGCTTGACCGATTTAAATGAACTTTTCTGTATGCGTTTGAGTGGTGCCCTGGATGGTTTAGATTCACATGGTAAATCAGCCAGGTGATCTCGGAAACGGCTCTAACGATTTCGGTGAAATTTGAGATGTAGGGGTTTTCGGGGACGAGAAATCGATCTCGTATTTATATTTTGACGGGGGATGTCATTCATGCTTGCTGTGATAACTTAAATGCTTGTAAACGTTTGGCACAACCAAGACACTGATACACGAAATTCTTTTCCAACTGGAGATGAAATCATATCGATAAAATTATCGATACAATGGATTTTACGTTACGAGTGTTCATGATAAAACTAAAGTTATATACTAGTAAATATACTGATGAGATGATATTTATAACGTTATTTACTAGGTAACGATATTTGCCCCAAACCGGGTTTACCATATTTTTACGGGTATTTATATCTGCAAATAATTTAATACAGCTTTACAGATGATGTAGGACTTAAACTTGTTTATTTATAAATCTGTTTACTTAATTTTTTTTAATAAAGTCTGTTAATTAGCCGTCACATTACTTATTATTCATTTGTCACATTACATTACTTACTATGAGCTGACTAAATACTTGGATATCGATTACTAATGATAAAGAGGACCACCAAAGATGGTGTTATCTTTGGATTGTAAGAGGAGATTTACTGTAAACTATTAAACGTAAAATAAAATTACATTGAAGTGTACATCATATATTTTATTTTATAAAACAAAAACACTTACGTGACTAGAAATATTGGGACAACAATTTTAATAATAAATTCTTACATAGAAGAAATGCGAAACATAATAAAAGCTGAAACAAAATGCAAGTCATCACCCACTTATTTCTTTTTATTATTATAAAAAAGGTCGTGTTTTACGGTACACGGACGGACAGACGATAGAAACGCACCCTACATTCTAGCCTGAGCTGGGGTTGCGGGTGTAAGTTCAAGCATGTACCGCACTCCGAGCTGAAGCGTGGTGGTACTTAGTCAGTAAGAGTCTGACACTTCCTTCGCCCCATCCAGGAAGGGAGAAGTAATTTCATTATTTTCAACCCTCAAAAAAGAGTTTGATCTTTATCAGCTATATTAATAACGCGAACGTTACGCAGCATATTGATTTATTTTATTATATTTTCGTGTATTTATTCCAAAATTTTCTAGATAAATCTAAAAAGATGAAACAGCACTGCACTTAAAACTGTAGCTATATATATAGCGCTTATTCATCAGTTTGTAGAACTAGACTTGTCTAGTAGACTTGTGTGTTAAGTCCAAATCAAATGGGAGGGTTTAACGAGCAGGTAACAATCCTCCTTTACGATCAAAGAATATCAATCCGTTCGTATCACCCGTGTACCGATACAACTTAAGTATCATTTCAAGGCACGATTTGGTAATTGGCACTAAAAGTAATTATTAAAATTTTACTTAGAAATAATATATTCAGATTTTGTTTAATCCCCGTACATCGCAAGTCCCTGCATTAGTATCCCTTGATGGACATGTTATCCATTCAACATAATCTTAATTAGGTCCAATTGATATAAGATTTAATTTTCTTAGGTTTTAAAGTTAAATTTCTTTTGTCAACTGTACCTTGAATATAGATTATATAAAGGTACATAAAAATACGTGTCTTTACAATGACTTGTGTCGAGATCAAATTGAAACAAAACAGGGCCAATGTTTTTTTTAAATACATCTCTACACATTCATTTATTATTATTACTATCAACATTTGAATAATTCAGTTTCTCTGATATGACTTCTTCCACAATTTTCTGTATCATCAGCCTGTCTTCAGGCTTTATGTCTTCTGGTTTCGTCTTGTCGTCGTAAATTTTTCTATCTATTAATCTTAGTATAACCTCTTCCACAATCGTGTCTATATTCTCATTAGTTTTATTTGTATTATTATCTTTTTCTATTAATTCTTCTTTTATTTCTGCATCACTCTGTTCTTTAATGTCTTCTTCTTCTTCTTCTTCCTTATCTACGAGATCTATCTTTGGTTCTTCGGGTATAAATTCAGTTTCTGGTATGTCTCCTCTGCCATCCTTCTCTTCTATTTCAGCAGTTATATCAGATATAATATTCTCTGAAAGCTCATGAGCGATATGTTTGTGGCGTTTCATAATTTCCTTCAGTTTCTCTTTTGCGGACTCAACGACCTCTTTACGTGTTTCAGTTTTAATTTTCTCAATCGCTTTCTTCTTCCTTTCTTGTCTAAGCGTCTTTAAGTCTTCGAAAGCTTTCTTTGCTTTTTGTAATTTAGGAAGTTTATTATCTTCTTTGACGTCTTCTTGCATCGGTTCTTCTACTTCCTCAAGGATATCATCGCCAGGCTCCTGTGTTACTTCCTCCACTACCGATTTAGTGTCCTCTGTTGTACTTTCATTTTCTGACGGTATGTCAACTTCCACAGTCTGTACCTCAACATCCGACTCAGGCTCGGATTTCTTAGATCCTAATTCTTTAATATTATCATAGTTTACGACATCGACAACATCTTCATTATTTAATACCGCCTCATCCTTTTGCATTTGAGTAGGGCTAAGACCAGAAGCACCCGCAAGATTGTGTCCATGAGGAAATTCACGAAAATCTTTGCGCTCCAAAATAAAAATGGCCGGTTTTGTTTTAATCCTAACAGGAGGCATTAGTTTGTAATTCATTGCTACTTGGGAGAACGATTCTACGCTATCTAGGATTACATGTGTTTGGGCAAAGTATTTAAGATTAGGTGAGTACTTGCTTTTTGCTTCGACAAGAAGATGAGTATAGTCTTGTAGTTGTTCTAAAGCTAGCGATTCGTTTTTACTATATCTCCAACTATCGTTAATTTGCGTGAACCTTGTCACACCAGTTTGAGCAGCTAAGTTACAGATGTGTACGTGGACGAACGGTTCATCCTTCATTATTTTGTGGAATCTGTAACAAGAAAAGTGATTTGGTAAACTTTTGTAAGTTTCGAGTGATATTTAGTGATTTTATTGATATGAAAGTGTATTTATTTATGCGAGAAATGTATGAAAAGACTAAAATATTTTTTCAAAACATGCCAAAATGAATCTGCATATTTATTTCATGAACATGCAATCAGATCCACCCATGAACACTGGCAACACTGAGGAATAAGTGTTGCCAGCCCTTGGAGTTTCTACAGCTATTACCTTCGCCCGCGTTACCCGGACGAAGAGTAGCTTATGTTAATGCAGCAGATAATTTATACATTTTATCTCTGTGGCTTATTCTCATTAAAATTAATTTCGCAGCTTTTCCGTCAAAGAGTAACAAACATCCACCTAGGAGTACTTACAAACTTTCGCGTTAATGATATTAGTCGAATATGCAAAAAGTGGGAATAATAGAAATAAATGTATACTTAACGGAAATTAGGTATAATACAGACCTAGTGATTGCGACTCCACCGGGGTAGTTAGTCATGGCTACCAGAATGAATGCTAATGATATGATAATGTTGCCGAGTATCACAAACACTGAGCCCCAAAACAGCAGCTCGAATATCGGTGCTTTCGTTCTCCTAACATATCTGAAAGGGAAGAAGAAGGAAATAATTATTAACATTTTATCATTGGGAAATGACAGGTTATTGACTTTGAGACTAGTGTAAAGTAAAGCGTAATGTAATCCACAGCGCTGTCGAGTAGTAAACAATTTTTTTTTATAATTATTAAGTATTATAGATTTATCTTATGTACACAATATGATAGACTTTCTCTTTGTACATAAGGCAGACTTAATACCATATGCATTCTCTGTCAGTGTTTTTGTGAGAAACCTCAGGGTTTTGTGAGAAATCAGCAAAAATAGGCTTTTGTAAAGATATTATAACAGTTAAGAGTATATTTCTAGTAGGTCACTGGGATCCAATGGATGCAGATCCATACCATAGCCGACCTTGTATAATTTGGGAATATATGAGGCTCACTTCTGAGCGGGTGTTATATAATGAATATGGTGATAAATAATAATAATAATTAGAAAGATAAATGTAAAACTTGACACTTCATAACAATTGAAACGACAATTACAAAGATAGTTGTTGATACTTGTTTTCATGGCTGAATTGTTGAACTGAATTTAATTTATAAACTAGTACAGTAGAGATCAAAGGCCCTTCTTTTGTATAAGATATTGACATATCAATTGCAAGATAGACAAAACAATTATGTAAAGAAAAAAATTGGTTTTATAAAATAACACCACACCACACACCTTAACAAAGACATCAACTGAATAAACAATCACCAAACACTCATCGAGATTAACAGAATATTATAATAAATAAAAATAAATACTTACACATAGGAGCAGGCGGCCGCAGACGCCATATTGAGCAAGGGGAAGACGTAGATGATAAACCGGAGTTCCTTGTGCGGTAAGAAGGAATATAGGAGGATGTAGACAAAGGCTGGTGCAGCATACTGGATCAGTCGTCGGTCTAAGTAAAGTCCTACTGGGATCAGGACTAAACTAGGACCTAGGCCTCGTGGAAGAGCTGAGTAGAAGTACCAGAGGAATGGAGACGTCTGCGGTGTGAGTTAAGGCTGGTGCTAATCAAAAAAGGTTTATGAGCTATTGTTTAAACTTTGAAAAGGTCTTCCGTCATATTTCCTTTTTCATCTACTTTGTAAAACCACTAATCTGGTTTTGTACCTATCTGTTTCCTTTTTTTATCACAAAAATATAATATTAGTCGATAATAAAATATCAAATGAATCCTGTTACATACATACCTATTTAGTATTCTAAATATCATATTGATTATTTTAGGTCATAAAAAAGAAACATAGTTTGGTAATAAATTATTAAGTACTAGCTGACCTGACAAACTATGAAGTACCACCTCAAATATAAGCCAATCTACAGTTTTAGCGAGACTAATGAACAGAAATTATTTTTGATATAATAAGAAAATTCGCTGACCTGGCGATCCCCATACTGTCAAAAAAAGTATAACAATGTCACTTACAGTTTGTATGGGAAAAAAACTTATTTCAGTAAGGTACCTACAATGTTTTCATATTTTCAATCCTAACCTAACCAAAATATACTTATTTGGTCCAACTTCTGTTAATAATGTACAAATTTATTTAAATATAAGAAGATATAAAGAGTAAAGGTAGTTTCTGATATGTGGCATTTAATAAGTTATTTAAAAAAGGATACACCCCATTCAGAGCTCTTGTTCATCACTGTGTTGTACCAGAAGACTTCAGCTTCAGGCCAGAGCAGTCGGCCCCAGAAAATAGAGTCCACAATTACTGTTAGAGCCACTAGGCCTACTCCAGTTGGCACTACTATTTTGAATAGCCTGAAATGTTTACAAAATTTATATAATACATTTTCATCATAATATGCTCTGAACCCATTTTATTAACTACTTTTTGGTTTTGCTAATGGAAAGGCATATAAAACATAGGTCTAAATATTATTGTATATTAATTAAAGTTTAGGAAGACAAATTTAATCAATTATATCTTAACACATTCAGTGCCCACGACGCGTATGTGCGTGCGAGGAAACGCACATACGCGTCGGGGGCACTGAATGTGTTAAATACCTTCCACATGCTTTTTTTACTTTTCCTTTTTTATATTTATATAACATTCTATTTTATCCCATGTTGTGTTTCAGTAAGGACAATGCCAAAATGTATAGTTTATTTCAAAGTTGTATCTTATATCATTATCAAAAAAATACTGTATTAATATTATTTACTTACGTAGTAAAATCAATCTTTTTGAAATGTAGGTCTATAATGAGGAACAGTCCAAACAGCATGGCAAGCTCTGCTCTGAATATCACTATGGAGGCTCCAGCAGCAACAATAAATTGTTTATGTTTGCCAGACACCCATCCTTCAAATGCTAGGAGTACTGAAAGCAACATTTTTATATAAATAGATTTTTATAAGAATAGTATAAGTATTTTAATAATAATAAGATAATCAAACATAGGTATGGCCTGGTATTCTTAAGTTTACAAGTAAATTCAAGATTAATGCTTTGTTGCTAAGTCATAAATATCAGGGAGTTGTCTCACGCTAGAGTTAATAGCATCAACATATTCGGATAAGATAAGGCAAATCCAATTATAGGGATATTCGTGAATCTAGCATCTTATCTTTATGTTGTCTTACCTAAGGGTAACACCATGATGTTAGGAAGTGGCCGGCTCATGTAAAACATGAAGTGGTATTGAGTAACTGTGATCAATGTGAACCACCAAGCAAAAGAGCTCCCAAACTGCTTCAGCAGAGCATTCCTCAGTCGAGTCCATGCTCCTATCACTGACGCAGCCAACATTAAACGCACTACAAACAAACAAGAAACTTGAATAATACAAAAATAGATTGAATCTAACTCAATGAAATTACTAGTAATAACTCTAATCATAAAAGCTGTAAAGTAAAACAGATGCATATATAAAATTTATTAATCTTACTAACCTACATATTGCATCCAGAATTTGTGTACTCCGGTTAAATGAAAGAACGACACTACTGGCGCCGAAAGAGCTGATATAACCAGCGGACCGATGAAAGTGCGCGGTACCACTCCCGGAAACTCATTATGGTCGTACTGGAAGAAAATAGTAATCAATGCATGTCTACATGAAGCTGCTTATGAATCCAAAATTAGAATTTCAAGACACCTGTGAGAGGTTATGTCGATGATAAAGAATGTCGTGTGTGGCTTGGATATTAAAACTTTCCTCTACTTTTGTAAATGGACATAATAACACATGTAAGCTGGCGATAATATAAAGTAATTGAACCATTTCTATTGATAAACTCAACAACAACAACCAATCAACCCATAGCTCGTTCTTCAACTGCTGAGTTATGTCAAAACAAAAATATCATTTTGAGTTAGAATGTCAAAGGATAACGAATTGTCAAAAATAACACAACCATTTTAGTCGATTTTAAGCAATTAGAGGCATTTAACAGCTGATCCAAAGTGATAGACTAATAAACCATTAGTTCGTTATAACATGCATTATTTATTTATTTTAAAAAATACAACTGATACATCAATTATATTTTAATTAAACTTGAATAAATTAATATTAAATTATCAATAAAATATATTAACGCGTTGACAACAAAACGTAGTTTTGACAACAATCGTCAACAATGGTGGAACGGATACCGTGACATTTTGAGGCAGTATTCGTTTTCTGATACGAAAAATATCAATAATGATCAATAATTCACTTGAAATAACCTTTGCGATTATATTGCAATAATATTTCGCTTATTCTTGACATAAAGCATTAAGAATGTGTGATGTTTGTTCGGAGTTTTCGCAGCTTTTAGTAAATTGTAAGTTACATTGTTTCGAAATTTAGCAGTCCATTTGTCTGTTCTATTTAACTATTTGAGTCGAAAATAATATAAATATGTTTTTGTTAAGTGTGAGTAGTTAAAATCTCAGGCAACTTGTGTTGGTTATTCGTGATAATATATTGTTCGAGTGTGGTTTTAGGTGAATCCAGGCTTACCGACGATGTGTCCCAGTATCCAACAATAAGCCAATCTGAGCTAGAGACAGTGCTGAATTATATTCTTTCATGGCCACAAAGGTAAAATATCATATATTTTTGTAAATATAAAGAGTTTGGACTTGTACAGCTGTTGTAATGTGACATTCAATCAATGTAACTGCTATGCTTTGTTTAGCCCTTTGATACTCTTGTTGTCTCATTGTAATTGTACAATTGAGTTTAATTTGGAGTGACTGATATATACTGTAGTTCAACATAATGTATTGTTATTCCATTGTGATAACACAAAGTAACCTTTCAATTGTGGTTGCTAGTCATTACATTTTGGACTTTGAGAAGACATTCTATTTGTTTTTCAACTTTGTTTCAGGCAATGTATGTGTTGCTATCGCGATGTGAAGAATTTTGAAAGATTCTATCTAGTTGTACAGAGTATACTGTGCTTATCTGTTTGTCAACTGAAGCAGCTTAAAGACGAACTAGTTGAAGCAGCTAAAACCGCTCCAGCACCCGCCCCACCGCAACCTCCTGACAATGCACAAGAAAAACAAAAATCTGAAGAAGAAAACACAACATCTCCTGAGCAAAAAAACAGTGAAGAGAAGGAATCTCCAGATGAACCAAATGAACCCGCCGCTGCAGCAGACACTGCAGAAGATTCCAAAAATGCTGAGACACCTTCTACTTCAACTGAAGACCCTGAATTATGGTCTATGCAGCAAAAGGAAAAGCTCATGCATATTGTGTCTAAAGTATTCCTGCTCAACTTTCCTCTATACTTAGCATGCAAGCACTCAGCACTGAGCCGCTTAGATGACCTGTCTGCTCAAGAAATCTCTAATCTTAGTTTATATTGTGACCTACATGATACTGAGATACCAGCTTACTTGCTTCGTAATGTGAGCTTGTTTTGCAAGTTGGGTGGAGTTTGTGCTATGACATCTGTCTTTGAAAATGCCACACAGAGTAGTCTACCGCTGTCAATGGCACATGCCATCGTGGCAGCAGTAGGCAACCTCAAGCTGTGGTTAAACTTCAGAGCGGTGTCACAGCTGTTCATGCCATTGAGAAGCAAGATATTGAAGTACATGTGCACATTAGAAGACAAAGATCTCAGAGTGCCCGCAGTGAAGTCTATGGCTGGTAAGTTGCAAGTACTATTCTGTATACAACTAACTACTTTTGTTAATCATATTAATACTGAATTTATAATCATTCTTTCTTTGATTAGATTTCATGTGGGGAGCAGCAAAGGAGCCATTAGATGTACCCCTAACATTTGATGGTGATGGACTGGCATTAGCCTTCAAGTACTTCAACAGTAGTACCCTGACGATGCGCCTGGCGGGAGTGGCGCAGATCAACGCGCACATTGCGTCGCACAACGAGCTCTGCGCCGGGGAGTCGGCGACAGACGCTGAAGTTGCTGGACAGCAACTGGCGACGTGGCTCACGAACAATAACATCATTGAACATCTATTTGGACCTAATTTGCATGTGGAGGTAATTGTCGATGATTGAAAGTTCTTGAAAGTTTTGTGTAATATGATCTGTTGCAAACATTTGCCCTTTCTAACTACTACTAAAGACTGTACTAATTGTTGCCTGCCCTTAATTCTCTCTATGGGAAGCTTTTCACATCTTTTGCAGTAGAAAGTATTATGAGATAGGTACTTACTATTATATTTAAATTGGCGATTTGGGCAACTGGACAGCATAGTTGATGTAGTGTGGCCAGGCAACTGGTTGCTGTGCTACGGGTTGCGGCTTCGAACCCGCACTCAGCAGATTGTTCGTAAAAGCACCAACAACACACGGGAAAAAATTAATGAAAGAACATAACTACTACTGTGTTTAAAAAATATATAAACTGACACTTGTAACATTGTCCACAGGTGATAAAGCAATCTCATATGATTCTGAAGTTTCTGGCGGTTGAGGGTCGCGTAACACCTGAGCATGTGGAGCTGGTGTGGGCGGCGGCGCAGCTGAAGCACTGCGGGCGACAGGTGTACGACCTGCTCCCCGGCTTTATCAGGGCATTGGCGCCGAAACCATGCGCACATCTCTACAGTCTACTGTGTGCCTTACCACCTAAAGAACACACGGAACAGGTGAGAATGATTCACATTTCAATTCAAACTGGTTGACTGATCACTGTCTTCATCAGTGATGAGTGTCACCCCCAATTTCCTCCTGTGTCCTTTGTGACTTCTATATTTCTTGTGTACAACTGCAACTGTTCTGGTTATAAATTATATACTAAAGAAACAATTATCCTGTTTACTGTAGTTATTCAGAAGATATACACATATAAAAGTTGTAAAGTATCGAATTTGTTTTGGTTTTTGAAACTTGAATCTAATGTATATATAAAGAGTTGAGTAGTACTTTTATTTATCAGATGTTTTATTAGTTCCCTTTTGCAATGAAAATTCGAATCGATTAATCCAAAAACAGTTTATCAACAACAGTTTCTATCATCAATATCCATAGAGACTAGGTGTAACTAAGTTTGGTAATTCAAAAATTATAAAACACTTTAATGGTGAAGTGGTTATTTATAAAATATTTTTAGCATATTACATAATATCTTAGCCGTGCGTTGGTAAATAATTATCAGATTTAACTGCACCGCTCACGCGGTGATTGGACAAACGTCGGTAACGTTTCACGGGTTCGATTCCCACACGGACTCACACTCACTCTATGTGATCCACAAGGTATTATTCCGAGTCTGGGCGTGATGAAGTGAGTACCTACATGGCTATACAATCTACAAACAGTATGTTAAATGGTAATTATAGTGAGACTTGAAACTAGTAAAGTTTTTCTCAGTTTATTCGCGTTAGTAAGTTGTTCTCTTACTTTTTACTATTATTATAAATGCGAAAATTACGATGTTTGGATGTTTGTTACTCAATCACGCTAAAACGACTGGACGGATCTGTATGAAAACTGGCACAGGCATGGGATACACTCCGGAATAGGACGTAGGCTACTTTTTATCAACATACTACGCGGGCGAAGCCGCGCTTTGAAGCTATTTTTCCATAAATCTCTATGTGTTTCTAATTATTATATTTCTTCAAATAATTATGTTGTTTTTTTTTCAATAGAGTCTGTATTTAGCTTCGGCCTTGATGCGGGCGATGTGGTCGAGGGGTGCGTCGGGCACGTTAGGCGGGTCGTCCCCAACGACATTGGTCGACGAGCCACCGCTGCGTCCGCCGCAACCGTCCTGCAAGCCACATCACAACTCCTCGTCCGAAGCCAGCGTCAGCATGGACCAGACCAACTCTGATGATGATCCTGTGAGTCTACTACGCTATAAAGCTGTAACTATTTCAACCAAATTTTATTATTTTCAATGTATATAGTATGAGTGTTTGTGAAGTGGAATCTTACAACTATCAACAGATATCTTCAAGCAAAATTATGTGTAATCTTTTAGTTTTCTGCATGTCTTTACTCTAAATTTCTAAGAATGACCACCTGATAAAAAATATTTATGAAAAAAGAATGTCATCTAATTCATTTCCTTATTTTTTATTTAACCCGTGGTATCAGAGAGCGGATCCGGTCCGATATACCGACAGACAAGAGGTTAATTTACAATAATGTTTATGCGTTTGTTTAAACCTCGTAAAATAAATAACGTTTGTTTGATTATATCCCGTTACTATAATTTAATTTGTTGTCAGTGCGAGGAGCTGAGCACGTCGGGCGAAGAGGCGGGACCCACACCGCGCAAACAAAGTAAACATCAGCGTGACCTGACTGGTAAACATATACCTACAATATAATGCTATAACTAAATCAATCTGCTGTATACACTCTTACTATCTTCTTCCAGCTGAACAAGAGTGGCTCAGAGAGGGAGAGGAGCTTACCAAGAAGGAGTGTCCTACACTCAAATCTTGCCAGAAGTGAGTACATTTTTTTTTACTAAAGAGTAAGGGTATATTTTACAATTTCTGTAATGCAATGTCCTACATAAGTTTGTATTGTCCTAAGTCTTGTCGACAAGTCATCTGATTGGTTGACTGAATTATCAACAACCAATCAGATGACTTGATAAGAGATTAAATTGATTTTAACATTGATCGGCCTTTCGGAAACCGGGTGTAAGTCCAATATCTTAAAAAAAATGATTCACAAAGTGCTAAAATTACTTTAAATAAACTTTTTTAATGGATGTAATTGTGAAATTAAATACAAAGATATCCTAAGACATGCGCAACCAATTTCAACATTATTTGTTCTAATCATTAATAATTATGAATTTTGATAGTTTTCCTAACACTTCTTTTACCTCGATACAGACGTAGCAAGCGCGCGGGAAGCAGCGGAAGTGCGAGTAGTGGTGCCGAGGAATTACTGCGGCCTCGCAAGAAGAAGTTCTACAAGAAAAGACATAAGCCAGGCAAACCCAAGCATTTCCGTGAGTGCATGGTCCATACACCGTCTTACTATTTACTTATTTACATAAATAACATTTTTTTGTAATAGGTATTATGTTGTCATAGCCAATCGAACGTCTGTTGTAAAGTCAACCTTATGTTGTAAGTAATAAAATTGGTTTCATTATGGCAATACTACATTTGATCAACAACGATACTGTGCTGTAGATTGATATAGAAAATTGTTCCTTACTGTTTACAAAAAAGTTGATTATGCAATAAAGACGTGCAGTGGAATTTGTGCTTATGATAGTAAAGGAGGTAGGTTTATAAGTGTCATTATTGTTTAGCAGCAACTCAATTGAAGACCGCTGATTTGGCCGAATCTGTGTCTGAAGTCGAGGAGGAATCGTCAGGCAGTGATACAGCGCACTGTCAGTTGATCTGTGACAATGTTGATGCTAGGTGAGTTACGTCTTAATGATAGTGAGATATAGAAGTGATTTTTTTCTTTTTATGGAATAGATGGGTCGGCAATCGAACAGACGGATTACCTGATGGTAAGCAATCGGCGCCGCCCATGGACACACGCAACACTAAAGGAAGTTACTAGTGCGTTATCGGCCTTTTAGGGATAAGGGTATTGAGTATTTAAGGATTGGGGAGGGATGGTGGATGGGAATTGAGTCTCCGGTATCCTCTCACTCTCGGCGAAACACAACGCTGTGGTAGTTTCACGCCGGTTTTCTATAAGGACGTGGTTTCACTCCGGTTGAGTTTTTAACCAGTCCTGTTATTTATTGATTATTTACTGGTTGGTTGCTGCATAACTTATCGCAGGTTCGATTCGATTCCGTTGTTTTTTCAGGTCTGTGTGAGCTTATGTGATGTTAAAACGCACCTTCGACAGAAGAGAAAATACTAGTGTCCCAACACTAGTATTTAAAAAAAATCTAGTTTTTACCTTCTGACCTTTTAAAAAACGCAAAGGAGAAAGCCAAAAATACTTTTGCTTGACTCGCACAACGGAATCAACAGGAGATAGTCTTGTTAAATCAATAACATTAGGCAGTATTGAATATTTGTATTAAATTACCAGACGATTGATGGAGCTGCGACTAATGGAGAGCTACAAGCGTCGCGGCGCCGGGGAGGAGGAGGAGGGCAGCGCGTCCTCCGCCCTCTCCCCGCACTCACACCCGCACCTCGCGGACCTGGATGAGGACGACTCCGCATGTGAGGAGGAACTCGCTAGACTGGCAGCACAGGTAATGTCTACATTTTGTACTAGGTTATTATGAAGCTAGTGAGAATAGAGTAAAAATTTTGAACCCACAATTGCAAAATTGAAATTCTCATTACGAGTGCCTACTAAATATAAAATGTCAAAAATCCGATTTCATTCATTTCCTCATTAACCTCAATGAATGAGGTGATGAATTATAGAAAAACTTCGTAATGATTGAGATCAGAAGAACTGACTGAGAAGTTAGATCGTTTGGTGTTATTAATTTTGACCTTTATAAATCTTTGTACGAGATATAATGGATGTAATTTTACCGGACAATCTTTAGATATTCATATACGACAAAAAAGCAGGGAATCGCTACACTTCAGTGTTCCGGTGTTTTCATTTATCTATTGTATATCCTGGCTTACAGCAGTTGTAGCGGTTTTCGGAGGATGCGGCGGGGTTGCCCGATAAAAAAAATACTACAAAAAAAATCTTTTTAAAAAGTACTACTATATATAAAGGTACATGTTACTATGTGAACTAGGCGCAGTGCCTGACGGAGTACGGCGGCGCCCCGGGCGGGGCGAAGCGCGCGCGCGGCTCCCCGCCGGCGCCGGCCTGCGACGTGGACGACGTCTGCCGCCCCGGGAACACGCTGCTCTGGGACCTGCTGCAGGACGGCGCCATTGTGAGTTGTATGAACACGATATACGACCACAGCTGTTTTCATCATCATATTCTTCATTCATTTTCATTCACAATTGTAATTGGGTAGTTTCCTAGGTCAAAAATAAATTAATTCGACGTTTCAATGTAATAAAACATTGAAAAATAACTATACTTTTTTTCATCGATCGAATTACACACTAAATTTTAGATATTTTTCAGCAAATTTTTAAGAAATAAGTTAGCTATTAGATACCAAAATACTATGACGTCATAACTGAATGTTTCATACAAAAGTATCGTTTGTGACATTTGGATAAAAGTATTGAATTTGACTAGTTGGAAACTACCGTATTTAAAGCTTATGTTAACCGTGGTTAGCGTAGCTTCCCCACAGTAAAAGAATTTTTTAAAACAATGAAGTAGTATTAAAGCCCTATCAATAAAAAAATGTGGATTCAATGTATAAAATGTATAACTAATTAGTAGCTTTCACCCGTGACTTCGTTCCCGTCTTTTGACTACCTACTCTACCCTACCATACCCTACCCTACGATATACCTGTCATGTATAAATTATAAATGTCCATTTAATGTTCTCAGGAACAATTAGGTGAAGGCTTGGCGCTTGAAGCAGAGAAGGCACTATGCGCGCTCCTGTGTTTCAGTACTGACAAGTTCATCAGGATCAAATTCATTGAAGGATGCTTGGACAATCTTGCGAATCATAGGTGAGTACAAATTTCGACTTAAACGTTAAGTAACACGGTAACTTATAGTTTAAGCTATGTGTAGAATTATAGGTAACATAGATTATATTGCAGTCAGGTCATATGAAATTCAACTTTATTTTTACTGAACAAGGTTGTTTTTAGATTGTGCCAGTTAATTGTTAGTAAAAGTATGTGTTCTGTTTTGTTTTAGATCTGTGGCTGTGTCTCTTAGGTTGCTACCAAAGCTGTTCTCGTCATTCCAACAGTTACGAGGCATGGATATGCATCAGGTATGTTGACATTTAAAAAAAAGCTTTATTTCTCTTCCCATTTTTATTGGCAATGCAATTCTCTTTCAAGGAGAATTAGGAACCTATTTAAAATTGTAGCAATTCTATATTCGAAATTTTAAAAACAAAAATACAAAGCATTTATTCCTCTTTAGATTAGCTTCGAGCAAGGGTCCGTATAAAATGTGTTGAAGTTATATTCCTATAATTATAGGCCACTGTACTTTGCCGGAAATCAGGCCGAAGGCTTCATCCCGTTTAGGATCTCAGCATTATGTTGAGTGAGGGCTGTTTCACGCAAGTGTGATGTATATGTACTTTACTAGCTTCTGCCCGCGACTTCGCCCTTGTGCAATATTAACTTCTTCAAACTTTTGGTTTAAAAACTACCCTATGTCCTTTCTCGAGTTCCAAACTATGTCTGTACCAAATTTCACAGAAGTTCAGGAGTTTAGGCGTGAAGAAAAGACAGACAGACAGAGTTATTTTCGCATTTATAATATAAATTTGGATTTCCGTTTTGTATTTGTAGATGTTTATTTTCAGTTTTTACTATAATTTTTGTTTGTCTATATGTCATACGCGTGAAGACACGTATTTCTTCTTCTTTCTTTTTATATGGTAATAGAGTCTAATTTGGCATGTTCGAGGATATGAGTGTGTGTGATTGGTGCAGGTGGTAATGTGGGCGGAGCGCGAGCGTGGCATGATGCGCCTGTTCCTGGAGGACCTGCGGCACTACAGTAGCAACGCTCACGGCGGGGCGCAGGCCGGGGCGCAGCCCGGGGCGCAGCCCGGGGCGCCGCCAGCGCAGCACTACGCGCATATCACCGAGCTCACCGTGCGCCTGCACTTCCTCACTGCCATCTTCTCACCCGTCGGATCGCCGCAGCATTTTAGGTAATCTTTTTTCTACCTATTCATAACAACCATTCAATGACGCTTTTTTATAAGTTTAAAGAAGAACAGGGTCATGTTTGTATATTTCGATATATTATATAGAAAATTTTTCACCCACTAGTTGTGAACTTAAAATTCTTGAACACTTAACTTCATTGACGAACAGACTGACGGACTATTTTATTTAGCTATTTAGTTGGAATGATTTTTTATACCCCTTGCTGAATTTGTATCTGCACATTATACTGTATATTTAAGCGACGGCCTATCGCTGTTTCGCCATACATAACAAAAAGTTCTTGAAAACTACACACTTTAACGTTATTTAAAATACTAGTCTCGCGGTGACCTTTTCAAAAACCATGCCCAGATGCCCAAGCGTACGGCGCATAGCGGTTCGCGCGCGCCACAAAGGGCCAATAGACCACCACAGACGGGGCCTTAAAGGGCTGATGTTCAGCCACGGTTGCGGGGTAAGCGCAATTTGGCACCGCGACCTCGGCCTAAAGTATGAGTAAGAACGGATGGGTTTTTAGTCAGTAAGAGTCTGACACTCTATTGCCTTACCCTGGGCGGGAGAAGTCATTTGATGATGTTCCACTGAAAAAATGCCTAGACTAATTTAGGTACACCCATTACTGCTCTTAGAGACCAATATATTTTTCCACAGGTTAACAGTTGAACAAGTGGAAGAATTGTGGCAGTGTTTGGTAGTACGGGGCAGTAGTGAGTGCGCAGACTGTCTGTACTCGTGGCTCCTGTCACATACAAAGTCGCCCGACCAACACGCGTTGGGATTGGACGCGTTAAGATTCCTATATGTAGAGAAAATGCCCACCTTGGATCCCGAGGTAAGTGAAACGTATTTTCATTATTTTTTTCTTTTTTCTTTAGTAAATCCTTGTCTGATACGTTTTTGAGGTGACGTCAAATAAAAGTAGGTTAATGATTTTTAGCTGAAATCTGTAAACAATTAAACAATCACATTCCTATCTGCCTACTCTAAGAGAGTAATGGATTTTCGAGGAAAGAACCACACCTGTTCTGACGATCGCGGCCCTGGTCCGGAGAGTTATTCTTTGTCAATCCGACACTCCGTCTCGCTCCACTGAGCGTGGGACGAATCATTTGATGATTTTCTCCCCTCAAAAAGCGTAACTATCGTACTTGCACTTGTAAATGTTTTTATCTGAGTGCCTTCTGACAGCAGCAGCGTTTTCAACGATAGCCCGACTAAAATGCGGCAAATCAAGTTAAATTTATAGCCTCCACTCAGGAATATTATCAGTGAAAGAATTTTGGTAATATGTACTAGCGGTTCCAGAGATTACCCCCTACATTCAAACTTAAAAGTTTTACCTCTTTATAGTAGTATTAGTATAGATTAACATTAATCCATTTTCCTCAGACAATCAGCATAATGGGGCTGAGCTTGTACCAGCAGTTGTGCAACCTAGCGCGCATGGCTCTGGGCACGGGGGACTCTCGCGACGCTGCCCATCCGCATACACTGGCCATGGACCATCTGTGGAAGATTGCACTAAGGGCCAACAGCACTGGTAATACATAAACACAATTTATGCTCTAAAATCTCCTTACAATCGTTTAAGTTTGTGTGACTTAAGTAATTTTCTAATTCTAATTTGATACTTTTTTATTTTTAAAAGAGAAACTACATATCTTTTTAAATTTGTATTAATTATTTATCATTCATATTTCTTAAAAAAAACTAGAAATTGTCTAAAATTAAGTGTTACGACAAAACAATCATTAAAATTATTATTATTATATTACATCCACCAAAGTATTAGGATATACATAGTTTATCTTCTACCCAACCTTACAAAAGCATGTCATATTCTTCCAGACGTATCAATGGGTGCCATACAATACCTGAACAGTTACTACATGGGCCAGCAACTACAGCAAGAGGATGACTTTGTAGCTAAATGTATGTTCCACTTATCCTCTGCCGCTGAGCGACTGATCAGTAAGAAACAGACGGCGGACGGAGAGGGAACATCGACCTCACAGATATGCGAACAAGATGTTAAAGAGGAGAAGACAGTTGACAAACAGAACATCTATGAACATATGACTGAGGAAGCTGCGCTACAATGCATACAGAGGGCGTTGTTGCTGTTGAAGACCCACCTTGATACGTTTAAAAGGAGGTTTGTTGTAGTACTTTGTTTTTTTTTTGTTTGATTAGTAAGAAGTTGTGAGGAATTGGTTTTTGAAATGCTGACTGAGAGTCGTTTTATGTTTATGATCAAAAGTTGTAAGAAGAGGAAATTTTGACGTATCAACATTCTTAATAATGTATTTTTCCCCTTAAGTCTTAATAAGTGTTGCCTTTATAAGGTCAGTTCTTTGTGTGATCTACAAACTGTTGTACCGGGTCTGGGTATGATGAGTATGTAAAATTGTGTGTCTACAAACGTACCCGCGTAGTAGGAAATCCTAGTGATATGCAAAGTTATAAAGAAAGTTAGTAAATAACAAAACTGGTATATCTTAGATGGTGTTTTATAATGTTAGATAGGATAGTTGGGATCAGAAAATGGAATTCCGTAAAATCTTAGATAGGTATAATTTTTAGTATACATGATATAACAAAGTGGTATATCGGCAGGTACGCGTACCACCTGCGGCGCTGGACGCTGGCGGAGACGGGCGCGTGGGAGGGCCCGTGCGCGGCGGGGGCGGGGGGCAGCACGGTGCGCATCACGCTGCAGCCGGCCGGCGCCGGGCCCCGCGCCGCGCTACTGCTGCACCATGCAGACCTCGTCGCGCATCTGCGGGCGCATGTCCACGTCTGGTGGGAGAAACAGGTACCACTACATAATCATGGATATGTTAATATAACAAGTTTGGACGGATCCGAAACTTGACGATGTGTTTTTTTCCGAGTTACTATACTGTATACATGTTTTTTGGTCGAAGTTACTTACCGCGCGTTTCAAAATTCAGCTAAACTAAAAAAAATTGAGACGTAAAATTGTAAGCCGTTATATAAAGTAGCGAAAGAGAAAGCAAGCCAGTTAATTTCGTTTCGTATTTTAATTTTTTAATGAATGTATTGATTTATTTGTTGTAGTCTTTTTTCATCATTATCATTAGTTACTAAGGATTTTCGTCCATTCCATTACAATAACGTTTATTTTAACATGTTGAACGCCATAGGAACCAAGATGTGTGTCAGTAGTCAAGACTTCAGGAGGTGAGGAATCCTCATATTTGGCTAAGAGCTCCCAAGCTCTTAGCCAAATGTACATATCCTTTAGAGAGTTAAGTGGAAGCTGCTACCTTTGTATCCTCTTATAGCTGCTTGCAGTTATCTATACTAATATTATAAAGAGGTTAAATTTGGAAGTCTGTATGTAGGGGGTAATCTTTGGAACCGCTGGTCGGATTTCCAAAATTCTTTCACTGATAGATAGCTACAAAGTTCCTGAGTGCTATAGGCTATAAAACATCACGCTACGATCAAATGGAGCTGAGCAGCGAGTGAAACCGTGCGAGAGTAGCTACTTTAATATATTCTGTTCCCTTTATATTCTTCGTTTCATTTTGTGGTTCCACAAAATAATATAAATAATTGTTTACAGATTCAAGGCGAGGAAGGTGTGACTGCGCTATCGACGGACGGGCCTCTGCGCATGATCACGCAGGGGCAAGAACTCACTATTGACTACGATGAAAGGACGCTTTACGATATGGGGTTTAAGGACAATCAGGTGAACAAACTAATTATAATAGTTGCTTAGTTATTTCATTTACCGAGGATTGTTCGTAGAGCAAACAGAAATAGTCGTCGACTGGTCGATTTGAATAATATTAAAAATGTTCAACGGAGCTCTGCGAGTTTGCTTCGGCCCCTTATATGCCTTTCATAGTCAGATTCATATATACCCTGTTAAAAAGGCTCTTTTCGCTGTAGTTTAATAAAATAAAATGTAATGTATAGGTGTACTTCAAATTTTGTGAGTTGTTCTTGTTTGTTAGTGACTTTGTCTTTTGAATTACTGTGGAATTAAATTATTGTTTCACAAAAAGCAATATTCAATAGCTGTCGGAGAGGAAAGTGCTTTTTGTCATTCCTGCACTGTTCTTTAGAATCCCGGCTTTTATTACACTTTTAGGTGTTGCAATTTTAAATTAGAAATAATTTGGTTTTTCTAACTTCTCTGCAATATCCATTTTTGGCAGTACAACCACAAATTCTTCTTCTTCTGAACTATATTAAAGTTTGACATGCCTGTTTCCGTCAGTTGGTGTTCGTGTCGGTGGGTGTAGGAGGCAGGGGTGCATGGGCGGAGTGGCCCTCCGCCCAGCCCGCCCCAGCACGGGCCCGCTTGCCCACCTCGTTACTCCTGGACCCAACCTACTTCCACCACCTCTTCACGCTCATGCAGGCGCTCGGGCAGATGAAGGAGCCCGGAGCTAATGGGGTAAGTTAATGAGTAGTTATTATTATAAGTAAAGTGTGTTACTACTTAAGTTTATTAAACTAGAAAATTCGATTAATATTTTTCATCTTGAAACTAACATCATTGATCAGCCAACATCGTTCATATTTATATTTTGGTATTATAATTGTTGACTGCACGGTTGGCGATTCCCGCACTCTTTGTGTAATCTACAAATTGTTGTTCAGGGTCTGGGTGTGATGTGTATGTGGAGTTGTATGTTTTTAAACGCACCTACGACACATGAGAAAATCCCAGTGTGGGGCAATGTTTATGTTTATTTTTAAAAAAAAAGACCGTTGCTGGCACCAAACTTTGGGCTTATATCACGATTGAACAGTTTTTACTCTCACAGTATTCGCACTTGTACTTTTGTGTCTGTGTATTAACATAAATAAAGATCTATTTAAGGTAGACTAGTTGTTGTTACTGCCTAACTTACTGACACACACACTTAAAAATAACTAACTTTAATCATATCAACAGGAAATGGTAATGCACACAAAAGCCCAACTACTATCCCGTCGCGTATGGGACATCCTTCAAGCCGTGCCAAACAATCCGACGTTACTGGAAGCCTTTCAAAACCCATCGGAGAGCAAGCTACCAGAATTACTTGACCCCACCAGCCCACAGAAACTCATGTATTCCCTCCACATTATTGATAAGCTGAGCTCAAATAACAGTGGTGCGACAAATGTGAAAGAGAATACAGTGAGTACACTGAGTCCGCTGGTGACAAATGATAAGAATGAAGAAGAGAAGGCTGCTGTAGAGAATTGGAATGAATTATTTATTAAGAAAGGAGGTTTAAGACTGCTATATGATATTATGATGTCGGGTGAGTAAACTTTTTGCTCTGACTTTGAGTTAGTTATGGTAGGCGCAGTTTTATTTTCCCTGTTTATTCAAAAGCTATACTGCGTTCCATAATGTTGCCTTGTTAACTTTGTATCACATTTAAGTAGTCAATCCATTTTCGGTTGCTCTCTTTCCTTTTATGTATTGCATTGTATATAAATGTGAAAGAGCTATACATCGGCACGCACGCGCCGACCCGACCAGAGCACCACTACTTTGCAGAAAACCGACATAAAGCAACGCTCGCGTTGTGTTTAGTAACGTCATTGTGGTTACCTTATACAGCCCCCACATCGTCATGCCCGAAATAATGCTCTTTCTCGTGGCCCCATGCCAGCATTTCTCCAAATTCCCAAATAGACCGAGAATGACCGAGAGTAATCTTTACTCTTCTGGTTCAGTTACTCTACTTGTTTTGCAAGTATCTATGCGACAACTTTATTACCTTTATCAGAATCAGAAGGTCCCTAAATGGTTTAACCTTAACAGACAGACAGAAGTACCTTTATATACTTGATGCAGTAGTAAATAAGTTTTCTTGCATTGTAGGAGTGCTACAAAGGAATGACGACACGGAGTGGCGCCAGGACTGCCTGGCCTTGTTATTGCAGCTACTGTGTAGGATCGGGACGTTGCCCTCCAATGATCCGGCGCAGACTCCAAAATTGCACCCGGTGAGTAAAATAATTTGGTGTATTTACGATGTTATGACTGTAAAGCGGATACTATGGGATAACAATGAGTCATTCTAAAAGAAAATAACAAAAATCTTAATCTGAACGTATTATGTATTATGTTTTTAATTAATGGTACAATATACAGTTACGTAATGAGATGAGAACTTCTTAACTAATAACGATATAAAATGTATTAGTAACGTAAGTAACGCACAGAGCTATCCACATCCACATACAGAAAAAAATGGGTTTTTTCCTCTTATAAAAAAAGAATTATCAAAATCGGTTCATAAATAACGGAGATATCGGCGAACAAACATAAAAAAAGCATATATACGGTCGAATTGAGAACCTCCTCCTTTTTTTGGAAGTCGGTTAAAAATCCTCAACTACTGTACTTATTTTGTGGTAGTAGTAGAATGTTCAAAAACCATTTAATTACAGAGGTATAAAGTTGAGATTCAATAAACCCTCTTTTTCAACTCTACAAATAAGGGCGGCTTGCGCAACATGTGGTCTAAACAGAATTTAGTTAAATGCGTTTATCTTGCTAAATATGTTTAGCCTAAATACAATTAAAAAGGTCTTGCTCACGTCCGTTTGGATAGTAATTTAACTAATCGTAGTTAGGGAGTCGGTAAAGTTACTTCTGTTCCTTTTTACGTTTTCGTGCGATGTACACTTGACTTAGAGCAAAATGGATGCATTTCTTAAAAAAAAATTCGTGAAATGGACCGACGAGCTTTCAACTGTCGCTCAAAGTTTTGTTGTGATTTGTGAAGCGTCTCGTGCTATTGTTGATATATTCTATAATCTCCTCATCGTCGCGTCGTCAGAATACAATTCCCACAAATCCATCTTACAAACTTCCTACCGAACTCTTTAAAATCTTAAAATAATAGTAAAATTTCTTTAACCTCAAAATGATGACGCGCGATTGCTACTAAACGTATTTAGCGTCGCTAAATAGCCATCTTTGGGTATTTAACTTTGACAGTTCGTTAAACGTGATTAGTGCCTAAATTTTTGTTGTGCAAGACGCTAAATATAATTAGCAGACTAAATGCGTTTACGTCGCTCTTAAACTGTATTTAACGACGATGCGCAAGCCGCCCTAAAATCTTTTTAAAAAATATTGATGTCAATGTTTTCAGTCATTACTATCGCTCATGAGCGTTGAAGAGACGACGGAGCGTCTGATATCGATACTGTGCGAGGCGGCTACAGTCAAGGAACCCACCACATATAAGACTGGATTCTGGGGGAGGGCACAGGTATGTGAACACACTGAACCTAATATAGAGGACCTTATGCGATTTTAGCGCCATCTAGTTAACAAATAATGAGTGCACAATTGGCGCTCTGGCTTGACAATTGACTGCCGCGCAACGTGTCGCGGTGTTCGGTTCCGCGGTACTGAACAACTCTGTGTGATCTACTTATTGTTGTTCCGGGTCTGAGTATTATATGTGTCTGAAATGTATGTATGTAAACGCTCCAATGACACAGGAGAAAATATTAAAGTAAGGCGACGTTTTTTTTAAAAAAAAAAATATATATTTTTTTTGTAAAATTCAGCTGCTCAGTCCTTATTTTTTTTAAATAGAATAAGTTCTTATTTTGAAACGTCATACATCGTCATAGATATTATGTTTTTAATACAGGTGGTACAACATGCGATGCGCATGTGCGTATGGTGGGCGCGGGGCGGCGGGGACGCGGTAGCTCTGGCCTGGTCGCTGCGTCGCGCCGCGCCGCGACTATTACTTGACGACGCGGACCCTGCCGTATGTAGCTCTATATTCTTTTCCATCATTTTTTTTTTTATAGGGTTGGACAATAAACTAGCAGACATATCACTTGATTGTAAGCAATCAGCACCACCTATGGACACCTTCAAACATCGGAATCTCTGTATACTCTCCCCGAGTTGAGTCTCCAAGAACGTCATTTGCATAGCGAAACGAGGCAAGAGTTTTTTGCACGTTGGTTTTCTTTGAGGCTGTGATATCACTTCAGTCGAGTCAGCCCACTTCAACTTTTTGCTCTATTCAAAGATAAGAACGAAAAGCAAAGTTTTGATTGTTTGAATTGCTACTCTGGCTTTGAAACTACATCACTGATTTGAAAAATTCTTTCCCAGTTGGGAAGAAGAAATTTTTCAGAAATATTTTTGAAACATGATTCATGATAATGTATTTACTATTGAACTGGAGGTGTAAATTGTGTGCGTAGGTCCGTCGCGAGGCGGGGTCTGCGCTGTACCGTCTGTGCGCGGGGGGCGAGGTGGCGGTGCTGGCCCCGCTGCTGCAGCTGCTCCTGCAGCACCTGCCGCGCGCCGCCGACATGCGGCCCCATCATGCACACCATCACCACCATCATCACGACGTATGTACACACACCTCATTATTATGCATTTGTGACGCATCATAATTCAAATAAAACTATTCTAATTCAAATTTATATTTCAATACGTTAAGTCTACCTAGTGCAAAATTGTTTGCAAAATTAAAAAGTATAAATTAAAAAAAAAAGCTTTTCATATAAATATTCTGATAGAATAATACTTCAAATAATCAATGTATCGAATGATATTTGATGACGTAAGTATATAATGCTATCATCATAAAGTTGTGATCTTGTACGAAATTCATAGAATATTACTTACATTTAAAAATTTTAACATTCCCAATAAAGATACTGAATTTGACTCATTGTCAAGTGGCAATTGTTTCAAATGTTTATACTTGATTCCTTTGCCATCAGGTTGTACATCACCACGCCGAAGAAGGCAAAGAGCCGTATGGGCCAGCTTGTCGAGATTATTTTTGGCTCGTTTGTAGACTCATTGACGGCTTGCCTGAAGACTTTTTTAAAGGTAAATAAAAGTAAATACAATCTTTTCCATCTTCGAACCATCGATGACCTTGAAAATGTTTACCTTCTAGTTCCAACTCATTCCAAGGTCATCGAATAAATAATAATACTTTAGAGATTCGCGGTTATGTTGAATCCTTAATTTGAGTTTTGAGTCTTCTAATTGGTGGTCTAGGGAATGAGTGAAACACTCAGATCTAATTTTTTTGTTTATTTACTTGTAATTTTTTAAACTTATTTTTAACAATTGGCTCTCAGTCGTTGATCATTTCTCTATCCTCTTATTTAGTATAAAAATTACTTTTTTTTAAAGTAACCATCGTGTGACATTTTCTTTTTATTGAAAACTAGCGGCCCTCCCCCGCTTCGCACGGGTCCAACTGTCTCGCTATCAAAGGGTCACTTTTTCCTAATCTTCCTCTCTACTTTTCTAATATTTTCTTTGATAAGAACCTTCTCCTGACAATAACAAATACAACAAAAAAAGAATTAGCAAAATTGGTCTAGGCGTTGTTGAGTTATGCGCTTATAACACATTTTGCGATCCATTTTTATTTATAAGAAAGACTAGCGGGACTCCCCCGTTTCACACGGGTCCAACTATCTCGCTATCAAAGGGGAAGGTTTTCCTAATCTTCCCCTCTACTTCCCTCGTATTTTCTTTGATAAGAATCTTCTCCTGACAAAAACAAACACGACAAAAAATAAATTATCAAAATTGGTCCAGGCGTTGTTAAGTTATGCGCTTACCAACACATTTTGCGATCCATTTTTATATATAAAGATAACGACTTAATCACATGAAGAACCTGAAACTAGTAGAGCTTTTCTCAGTTTATTCACGTAAGTATGTTGTTATTTTTAATAAAATAAAAGTAACCATTCTAAATGTCAAAAAAAATCTACAGAGGGCGCAACATCAGAAGACAGTGGCGCCCCCGATCTGAACGAGCTCTGTGAACAAATACGCGCGTCTCTAGAAAAACGTGAGATCATAGAACGAAGGACTGAGCCTTGTTCCCCAGACGATGGACTGTGTGGCCAACTTAGCTTACTCACGCATTTGCTCAAACACCCATTAAGGTTCAAAATGTCCGAACAAGGAACTAGGACGTTGGAAATGGTAAGTGTTTTTAGATAAATTGTTAGTAATATATTTATAAGGATATTTAGAAAGATTTTTACCATATGCGTCAAGTAAAGTGTTCGAGCTGTGCATGAGGTTCTTTATATTGATATTTTAACTTAACTTGTCTAAAGTATCGAAGTATTTTCTAGATCACAGCCTAGAGCATTCTCGGGCGCAAGTGCACCCGTACCCAAACAGGCATTTATCACTTTCTTTTAGAGTTCTTTTTTCATGACGCTATCTGTAGTCATATACGGGTACGTTACGCTATGCACATACAATGTGGCATGTTCGTACGTTATAACTATTGTTTGCGCAATATCTGAAAATTTGCGCAATACTGCAAGAGTTTGCGCAACAGTTATGTTAGCTTTCATTCTTTTATTAAAAGGTGTTAACTTCCTTTTTGATACTCCCTTTCCTATTTTGATCTAGATATTGCTCAATCAAAATTAATTAATCTTTAATGTTTTTAATAACAGGTATTCGGTTTCCTCTTCGATGTTCCTAACCCGGAAAACCGCAACTTGCCCAAGTGTAAGTCGCAGAAATCTCGTTCTGCCGCCTACGACCTCTTGGTGGAGCTAGTGAGGGGTGCACCCGACAACTACATGGTACTACACAATAAGCTCATGGAACATCATAAACCTGGTAAGTTTTAATATCGAATTAAAACTTATAATCATTTGGTCCTTGTTAAAAGATCTATCCAATTATTAGGAGCTATGTTCCCTTTTCTTAATTATTAACAGATAGGACTTGATAGCGTTTACGCCACAAGTGTTCTTTAACTTTCAAGTGAAAAATTATTTAAAATTCTCAAGCGATTTAAATAGATCTTGGTACTCATATGCAATTAATCAATGCCTTTTTTTGTGGGCGTGGCTAGAGGGATCGTCTGTCGCTTAATGGCTAAAAATCACCCCGTTCTGTCTCCTGCTCCAGGTCGAGGCCGGGCACATTATCGCGTTCGAACCGCAATCCTAGAATATACACTAATAAGTTTTAAACCATGATATATATTTGAGTCGTACCTACTATTAACTTTTTTCATTAAAAATAAATCAGTACTTTCCTTGGATTTTTACTTGAAATTGTTTTACGTAAACCCACATGGCGGAAACGTTCTTAAGTAAAATATTCGATGAACCATATCAGATAACTTGTAAAGTAAAATACATATAATACTAGCTACTTCCGCGCGGTTTCACCTGCTTTTTGTCGTAGGGTGATGTTTTATTGCCTATGGTACTATATGTACAGGCACATTGTAGCTATTTATCAGTCGAAGAATTTAGGAAATCAGACCAGCCGTTGCAAATATTATCCCCTATATAATAGCATAAAAATGATACCTCTTTATAATATTAGTATAGATACTTAACGACTTCTTTGTCGATTTCCCCCCGAGACCATAAAACAAAAAACTTTTTATGAAACAAGAAACTATCACACTAACTATTTTTGGTTAAGGCTACTGTCTGGACGCAGGTCCTCAATCCTCCTACCCTTGGGACTACTGGCCTGCCGAAGAGTCTCGGTCTGAATGTGGCTACGTCGGCCTTACGAACCTTGGAGCGACGTGTTACATGGCCTCGTGTATGCAGCATTTGTACATGATGCCTCAAGCCCGCGCCGCCTTACTGCAAGCGGATCCCGCGGCCAGTCGACATTCTGCTACGCTGCATGAGATGCAGAGGATGTTCGCTTATTTAATGGTGAGTTTTAAATATTTTATTTTACTTTGTTCCTTCATTTATTTATGTTGTGTAGTATTTTAAACGAAAAATTGATTTAGATGTGAATTTTGTTGATTAGTATTACGTAAACGTAGGTTGTTCCCAACCTTAGTTTTTTTAAAACCATTCATTTTGATACACATACATAAATTGGAAACAGACAAAAAAAAAATTCTGTAGCAAGGGATCCATCTCGGTATATGCTGTGCTTAATACAAAGCACTGATTCTGAGATGGCCCCTGACTGTTGGGGTAACAAACTCACCTTTTTATTATTTTTTAATAATCCCTGTAGTACCTAACAAGAATATAATTCACTACACTTTTCTTGTTATGATTTAAAGGACTTTTTGGTAGATTTGATCATTTTTCAAAACTTATTAGATGCAGTCACGAAGTTTTTTGTTGGTGTTTATTTTTCGATGTTTTGTTACTGTTTCGTAAACGAGATAATAGATAGATTTGATTTCTGTCAATATTCAAATATCGTGTTCAGGACTAAAGTAATGATTCTATTTGTACAGGAAAGTGAACGCAAAGCGTACAACCCTCGCAGTTTCTGCAAGGTATACCAGATGGACCATCAGCCCCTGAATACTGGCGAACAGAAGGACATGGCAGAGTTCTTCATAGACCTGGTCTCCAAACTCGAGGAGATGACGCCGGAGCTCAAGAAACTAGTCAAGACTTTGTTCTGTGGAGTGCTCAGTAATAATGTTGTCTCACTGGTGAGTTATGATGTGATCTAGAAATATGTGTATGATTTTAATTCTCTATTTCATCGGCACATTAGATCATCCAAGTTGATCGCTATACAAAAACGTATTTTATTCTAAGATCAATAGAGTACAGTTTATTTGTTGTAATATCTATTTTACTTATTGTAATGGGGAATTGGTTTCGTTGTTTGGTAACTTTGTGAAGAATTTCTTAGCTCATGTTTATAAGCGGTAACGCACTTGTTAGTCCTTTGATTTTGCCAGCACACTGCTCGTTTATCCTTCTACTTATACCATAAAAATAACAATTTGATCTGCTCTGCATCACCCAAGGCTCGAATAGCAGAAAATACCTAAGGCATCCAGTCCGCATATATACCTATTGTCCATGAAGTTTATATATATAAAATAATAGTTCATTATGGTACAAGCGTGTAAAGTTGGTATCTAAATACCGCAAAGGCGCATTGAGGCCCGAGCCATGAGCCGAGGACGGTAATCATCAATACACACGTGTATTATACGACGTTTTTCAACACATTCCTGAATATATAATAATACTTCAAAAGAGAAAACGAGACGAGTTTTAAAATGTTTCGGAATGGCGGGAAAAATTAATCAGTTATTCCTATATCGGCCATAGACTAAAAATGGTGTTTCTTGTTTTGCGTTTTCGCGGATAACATTTTAGAACAAGTGTAAGCGTAACTCGACCAATAATAAAAAAATAACTCTATTACTCACTTGTGAATTGTGTCACAGTTTGGTAATAGGTGTCATTACCTGCCTAATTGCGATGAGATTAGAGCCACTTTATGAGGAAGTGTGTTGACAAATATATGAACACCCGTGCCCTGTACTCGTAGGACTGTCCGCACGTGTCCCGTACGCTGGAGGAGTTCTACACGGTGCGCTGCCAGGTGGCGGACATGCGCAACCTGCACCAGTCGCTGGACGAGGTCACCGTCAAGGACACGCTCGAGGGGGACAACTGCTACACCTGCTCGCATTGCTCCGCTAAAGTCCGCGCTGAGAAACGGTAATATATCTTTTTTTTTTATATATATCCATTTTATACATATCCATTCTATGTACTACTTTTGGTTAACATTTGTACAACTTTTGGTTAACATTTGTACAAATTGTGGTGTAAAAAAGGAAATCTAAGCTCAGGATTTAATTTTGTGTATCCTTTTTGGGATTATACTCGTCATATGGCAATAAAACTTGTCCTGTGAGTTAAGTAGGTTTCTGGCTGACTCTTCCAGGAAGTATATCGATCGGATATCATCATTTGTTCCTGATGAGTTTTTAAATATCATCATAATTCCTACTAGAGTAGACTAAAAATGTTATAGTGGTGAAAACGTATTTTCACAACCATTTTGAATGCCTTTTTTATTGTTATCGTTTATCAGTTTAGATAATTATCTAAGTGCAAATAATCTTGGCGAATCTTTTTATCTAAAAGCAGCGTCAAAAAGTATCTAAAAATGTTTACAATCAGATAACCTGCCTAAGTCAATGTTAGATAATTAACTAATTTCAAACCTCTTTAATATAAATAGACGTACCAAGATCGTTCCCTTTATTTAATCACCTGAACCGATAGACTATATAAAATAAAATAAATAAAATAAAAATAGCCTTTATTCAACCACAAAAACATGCTCACAACATTACAATTGTATTCTAATCAGTATTTATTTCATTTGTTTAATTTCATATATTTGTCTATATATATAATTTTCATTTAATTATTTATTAATTTTAAATATTATCACTAAAATAGGCAACTAATCTTTTGTGGATGTCGCCTCTTTGGCGTAGGCCTCCCCCAGCTTCCTCCACTCGTCTCTATCTCGTGCTTTCCTTCTCCAGTCTGGACCTCCTCTCTCTCTGAATATATCTTCCCATCGCTTTCTCGGTCTACCTCTTCCTCTTTGTGTTCCCCTCGGTGTCCATTCTGTTAACTTCACAGTCCATCTGTTGTCTGCCATTCTACATACGTGACCTGCCCATGTCCATTTGATAGTTCTTATCTTTTGAAGTATGTCGGTTACTTGCGTTATTTTCCTTACTGTTTCATTTTTAATTTTGTCTGATATTTTGATACCCAACATACTTCTCTCCATTTTCCTTTGATGTATGGCTAATTTATGTTCATCTTTTTTGCGCAGTGACCATGTTTGACAACCGTATGTAAGGCAGGGCAGTATAACTATGTCGTGCAGCTTACTCTTAATTTTTATGTCAATGTCTTTGTTTTTCATTATTTCCTTTAACATCCAATGTTTTTTCCAAGCTATTGCAATTCGTCTATTTATTTCTTTTTCGGTATGATCATTGAATGAAATAGATTGGCCTAGGTAAATATACTCTGACACGTACTCAATGGCTTCTCCGTGTACCTTAACAACTTCGTTTTTTTTATTTGTAATTATTTTTGTTTTTGAAGTATTCAGCGACAACCCAACCTTTTTACTTTCTCTCGCCAGATCGTTAATCATTTTTTCTAACTGTATACTATTTTCTGAAAATATTGCAATATCGTCCGCGAACCTCAAGTGATTTAAATATTCTCCGTCTATTTTTATTCCTAGTCTTTTCCAATTAATATTTCTAAACACTGTCTCCAAAACCGCAGAAAATATTTTGGGAGAGAGTGGGTCACCCTGTCTAACTCCTTTCTTTATTGGAAATTCTTCTCCATCCCTCTCTAGTCGTATTTTAGATGAACTATGTGAGTAGATACTGTATAGAAGCTCTATGTATTCGATGTTTACGTTTTGCTCTACTAGTGCTTTCCAGATCGCGCCATACTCCAAGGAATCAAAAGCTTTGGCAAAGTCTATAAAGCAGATATACACAGTCCTTCCATATTCGTTGCTTTTTTCTATAAGTTGTGTAACTACGTGGATGTGATCGATCGTCGAGAATTTCTTTCTGAATCCTGCTTGTTCACGCGGTTGGTTCTCGTCTAGTATTTTAGCGATTCTGCTCAGCATCACCTTCGAAAAGACTTTATAGACATTGCTCATGAGACTGATCGGCCTGTAGTTGTTCAAGTTAGCTCTATCTCCTTTCTTATGTAGTAATGTTGTTGTAGATCTGGACCACTGAATTGGAGTCTTTCTTTTTTCGAGTACATTGTTAAACATCGTTTGTATGGGTCTCAGTAGAGGTTTACATAGAGACTTTAAAAGTTCATTTGTTATTCTATCATCTCCGGGCGATTTGTTATTTTTTTGTGTCTTAATTGCATACTCTATTTCTGAAAGAAGTATTGGAGGTACTTTTTCGTAGTCATTCATCTTTTCTTGTATACATTCATGAATTTCAGTTGTTAATTGACTTGAATACAGTTCCTCGTAGTATTGTGTAGCTTCTTTTATTATGTCCTGTCTTTTAATTTTACTATTACCAGCTTTATCTGTTATATTTGGTGTCCACTTGGAAGATCTTTGTAGCTCTATGTATGCTTTTTTCACCGCTCCTGTTGTTTTCATGTATTTTTCAAAAGTAAGTCTTCTATGCTCTTTTGTGTTTTTTGAAATTTCTCTATTAATTTGTTTACTTATTTGGGTTATTTGGTTTCTCATTTCTCTAGTTCTTCTTTCTTGGTATAATTTCCTTCTTTCTTGTAGTAGTTTCTTTATATAAGAGTTTCTATAGTCATACATGTTTTTTCTAGTATTAGGTATTTGGTTAAATAAATTGGTCATTTCCTTTTCAAAATTGTTATATTGACTTTGTATGTCGTATGATCTCTCTACTGCTTGCTTGAACTTTTCTTCCCATTGTCTTCCACTCTCTCTCGTTAAAGTTGGTAGGTCTCTAGTGTAGTTTCTTGTCGAATTAATGAATTTCCTTTTTCTTCTCATTTCTATATGTAAGGTACAGCGAATCATTCTATGATCCGTGTAGAAATTTAGATTTTGTATGATATTGAACCGATAGACTATAGTCACTCCAAAAAGACTTCCATTTTAAATTTCCTTGAATATTTATTTCTATTACAGGGCGTGTTTCAAGAAGCTCCCTCGTATCCTGTGTTTCAACACGATGCGCTACACGTTCAACATGCTGACTATGTTGAAGGAGAAAGTCAATACGCACTTCTCATTCCCCATGCGACTCGACATGTCCGGATATGTCGAGAAACATCTCATGCCGGCACAGTATCAAGGTAAATATCGGTCATAATGGCTTTTACGAAAACGATTTCGATATTACTCGTAACATTATTTATATGGTGAATTGAGGGATCGGGAGTGAGAGGGATTAAGCCACCGGTAACCTCAGTCACACGGCGAAACACAACGCTGTGGTTATTTCACGCCGGTTTTAAACCCCCCAAATTCCGGTCGAACCGACCAATTAGTGCCAAAGCTTACCTCTCCCAAACTTAAAAGTGTTATAATATTAATCATACATGATTTAATTATTCAATGTTGATTTTGCAGAGGAAAAAAATAAGTTAGCAGAAAAGAAAGAAGGTGACGCTAGTCCTACGGCCGCAGATATAGAAGATAATTCTGAATTTGAAGAGCATTATGAGTAAGTTTACTTTTAAATATTGTATTAATTCACAATATTTATTGATAGTTTTTCTGTTTGTAAAATTACATAAGGAATTTTACTATGTTGCGCAAAACACGAAAAATATGCGCAAACTTAAAATGACATGCGCAAGTTCACTGAACTTGCGCAACTTGTTGAACTCTGAGTAAGACGATAGGGAGTGTCAGACTCTTACATACTAAAAAGCTGCGCCAAGCCGGGGCTGCGGTTTAAAATTGGGTAGTTTCCTAGGGCAAAAATAAATTAAATCGAAGTTTCAATACAATAAAACATTGAAAAATAACTTTTATTCATCGATCGATGGATACACAGATATATTTTAGTTAATTTTTAAGAAATAAGTTAACTATTTGACGCAAAAAAACTATGACGACATAACTCAATTTTTTTATACAAATTTTGTATGAAAAATTGAGAATATTGATTAATACATACAATTGATTAATACAAATTTTGTGTGAAAAGTATCGTTTTGACATTTGGATAAAAGTATTGAATTTGACTAGTTGGCAACTATCGTATTTCCTAGCCCTAGAGAGGTAGCCGTTTGAGTCGACAATGTAATTATTATACCTGAACAATTTCCCCAACCAGATACGAGTTAATAGGCGTGACAGTGCACACGGGCACTGCGGACGGGGGCCACTACTACTCGTTCATACGCGATCGGGAGCACGAACACCACGACCGCTGGCTGCTGTTCAATGACGCTGAGGTCAAACCTTTCGACCCCGCGCATATTGCTGCTGAATGCTTCGGCGGAGAGATGACTGTAAGTATACAATGTCCTTTAATCATCTCTTTTTGCTCTGAAATACAAGATATTTTATTCAAACTTAGTTCTATTTCAATAAACCTACATTTTAAATGTGGAAAAGCCATGCTTTGGCACAATTTAGGTTTATCTAAGATATCAGCCTGTGTGATAAGACCATCCATTTTACACTCTATAATTATTTAAGCCTGTTCTTCTTTGTAGATTTTTGCATATGTGTGCAATAAAGTATATGTATGTAAATAAAAAAGTAAAGTCTATTAAAATGGGTGATACATTGATACATTCTCGATATATTTTTTTTGTTCTTGATATGAGAGAGAGAGAGATGATCTGATTAATTGGAGACTTATTTTCTTGTAATCTTGATAAATAACAAAAGACAAAATCAGGGATCTGAATTGAATTCCTTCACAGTGGACTCCGTTCCGCCTGTATCTTACTGTAATATTATAAATGCGACAGTTACGATTTTTGGATGTTTGTCAGTCAATAACGCCAAAACGGCTAGACGGACCTGATGAAATTTGGCACAGGCGTAGGTTATACTCGGGACTAGGACATAGGCTTTTTATCAACATACCTAGCGGACAAAGCCGAGGGTGGAAGCTAGTTAGATAATAAACACTTTTTTTATTTCAGAGTAAGACATACGACTCGGTCACTGACAAGTTCATGGACTTTTCGTTCGAGAAGACCAACAGTGCGTACATGTTGTTCTACGAGTGGAGCCCCCCGCGCAGTCACCGGGGCTCCGACTGCGGACAGCAGGAAGAGGCACAGGTACCATTCATATACAGATATACCATATCAAAAAAAAAAAACGTTTTTAACTGTTTGACACGGTGAATCGATTAGTTTCAAGCCACATCGGGGGCTTATAATCACGAATCTACCAACGACACGTGTCGCGTTAAAAACCGATTGATATCATGATAATAATAAATGGAACACTGCAGTTCTCGAAAATGGATATGCCACATTGTATTGGGGTCGAACTATCATCACTGATAGGACAATTGCAGCCAACAAACCAATTGATGAAGCCGTCGCGTCATATCTTGATTTAACTCAAGAGTATTTCTCCATGTGGGATGTAGACTCGGCAATCATTGTGCCGATAGTCGTGTCTGTCAATGGTCTCATGGCTAAGAACCTCGATAAGCACCTAAGTAAGCCTACGTTAGACGGTTGGGTCAAGTACGTGATGCAGAAAGCGTTCCGTAGTCCGTTACCGGAGGAAACTGCTTTTTATATTTTAAAGTATTTTTCTTAGAAGGTTAAAAGTAAATAAAAGATAATAAAATGTAATGGGACAGTGAAAACCATTAAAAACAAAAAGCTATATTATAATAATGAATCTTATACATTTATTGTAAAGTTCAAATTATCACAACGCAAATCTTTCACAGTCGTCAACAGCAGAGGAAACTAGTCCGAGCTCGTCCGTGGAGCGAAGAAGTAGCGATTCGTCCCCCACTATCAAGCTACCACCGGACCTACTCAAGTGGATATGGGATGATAACATGCAATTCCTACATGATAAGAATATATTCCAGCATGCATATTTCACGTAAGTTTTGCATAGAAAGAAGATAAGTTTTTTAATTGTTTTAAGTCTTATGACGACCGAAAGAGTGTACTAATGTTGATAAGAAATAATGGATGGTAAAAGTTGACGTCTAGTAAGCTGTAATAATGTTAGTGTGGTTAGATAGATAAAAGGTCTTCTTTATATCCGATAGGAAGGTCCTTATAATGTATGCTATGAGCTCTTTGAGCCTAAAAAAGCAGAGGACATAGGAAATAAGACATTTTTAATTAGGATTTTTTTTTATTGCCACTTGATCACAAATTAGCCCCTTGACTGCCAGTATTTAAGAGGAAATAAAAATGCATTGTCTCATGTAGATCCACTCTGGCACACCAAGAGTTAATTAATACCTCAAAAATATAACATTTACGTATACGTGATGTACATAGAATAACTGTAGAAACAGAAAAACAATATTAGTATCTGGTTCGCTTGACTGCGGATTCTAGATCAGTAGATTTAATGCCTATCATTTGTCCATCTATGGAGTATCTGTGAAAAGAGATTTTGTATGTGAAGAAGCTTTAGTTAAATCCTCATTTTTGATCCAGGTTTATGGGTCAGATGTGCAGCTCAGTCCCCCAATCCCTGATGACATTACGTCCGGAGGTCACTGAGGTGGCAGCCAGACTTTCCACGTCATTCTTCATCGAAACTTTCATTCATGCCAAGGAAAAGGTAAGTGAACTATTTACCTTAGTAATAAAACTTTATCCTAGAATCTTCCTAAATAAAGAGCGGACTCCTAGCGCAGGTATTTTGAACTTGACTGAAAAGTGAAATGTGACTCTGAAATATTTTTTAGTTTTACTATGTCATACATAATATGATTATAAGTACATAATATAATATGTATTTGTTTTATTTTGTATCGTATTATATTTATTTTCATCTCTTCAAAAAGGTTCGAATAAATGTACTATAGTTTACTTAGTTAAGTTTAATTAAAGTACAAATATGTAAATATACTTCATATACAATTATGGCTAACGATAAAAAGCCAATTATTGTAGATTAACTATAGTGACACATGCAAACTTTTTTAACAATAACGTCTTACTCAATTGAATTAACACACTGAGAAAAGCGTCGGATCGACGACGTGGCGCGTACGCTAGTACTACATAAAAGAGTTGAAACTAGTAGAGCTTATTTTATTATTCACACGGTTAACTTCGTGCAATAATTTAACTTTATTAAATTCAAAATAGCAACTGAATAAACTGGGAAAAGCTCTACTAATTTCAAGTCACAACGGGACCCTTACTCAGGAACAGCGTACGCGTCGCGGCTACGTTGCGCAACCAACTGTAAATTCGTTATGTTTGCTATAATTTGATCTTTTAGCAAATAAAACCTTTCTTTGCGAAAGTTCTTGTGTACTGGGTATTTTAAAGGATAGTAATGTGTATGTATTGTATTTTCTCAGCCAACAATGGTGTCGTGGGTGGAGTTGGTGACGAAACAGTTCAACGCGTCGGCTGCAGCCTCGGAGTGGTTTCTAGGTCATATGGCTGACGATACGTGGTGGCCGATGCAAGTCAGTAACTAATAATAATTATTTTACTTAGTAAAACTCTGAAATCTTTATAAGGTGTATGTCTTAGAATAAACCAACCCTTTAAAATGCAACTCAAAATATTTTTTTAAATAAAATCGTTGTCACGCTCTTCTATCTTCTTGTGTCTTGTGGGTGCGTTTATAAACATACAATTTATATAAAAATCACATACAGACCCAACAATGATTTTTTGATTACACGAAGTCTTGTTCCGTGCGGGAATCCCAACCCGCGACACGTTGCGTGGCAGCCAGTTGCCTAGCTACCAAAATAACTAATACAATATTTACAACAGATATTAATTATATGTTTGTGTTGTTACAGGTACTAATAAAATGTCCGAATCAGATGGTCCGACAAATGTTTCAAAGACTTTGTATGCATGTTATACAAAGGCTCAGGTGAGTTCGATTCCTTTTATTTCATAATATGTATATTTAATAAGCTATTATATACCATGAGCTATTTTTCTGCTCGTAAGTATCCGAAACAGGATGCTCGACTTAATTCGAGCTATACTGGAGCCTTAAGTCTAGCATCATGTTAAATTTGAAATAACATTATAAAAGCTTCTAATTAATAATTTAACCCGTTCGTCGTCAGCTATAAAATGACTGCAAAATCAAATAAATCCTGATAAAGTCTGTATTTTTGAAAACAAGTTCATAAATTATTTTATTTAAAGACTGGCAATGTTTAAATATATAAACTATGTGATTTATATTTGTTTTTAGATCTAGTCATTGCGCCTTGTATTTACAAGGCTCGGAGGAGGGCGAGGACACCAGCAAATTGGGAGAAGCAAGTTGTGTTACTAGGTTTATAAGGATGTTATTGTCATTGGTAAGTACCTACTACTTTTCTCATGTGTCTCTGTCTCTGCATGTTGCAGTATCTAGATATTCTGATTCTAGATATTCTGGTTTTTAGAACTTACATAACGTTTTGCACGCTTAAGTTGTTTACCATATTCGTTTTCATGCAGTTTGACATGAAGTTCCTTTTTTTTTTTGGGTTTTTCGCTGATATCATTTTAGCGCAAATGTAAGCGTCAATCATTACTCTATAAAAATAAAACGGCAACTGAATAAAGATAAAAATCGATTACTCAATAGTGGATAATTGTAATTCACACACACACACACAATTGTCACATTTTTATTATAGGTGTCATTACGTGCCTATCTTCCATGGGATTAGAGCCACTTTGTGAGGAAATGTATTGAAAAATATGATATATGAAAATATATATACATTACAGATGGAGAATGGCGCACGGTCTCACTTGCGCCACCTAACGGAGTACTTTAGCCTGCTGTACGAGTTCAGCAAGATGGGCGAGGAGGAGGGCAAGTTCATGCTGCGCATCAACGCCATCTCCAGCATGGTCAACTTCTATCTGGGGCAGAACTCCGCAGCCGTCAGCTGTGTATGTACTTATTCACTTGTTAAGTTAATCTGTAACTTATTGTTTATAACCTAGAATACAATTTTTGTTTTAGTGTATAATTTAGAATTTCGAATAGAATACGTAATCATTATATTTAAGATGGATAAAATAGTACAGGGTTTTTTTGCAAACATTTATATTTGTCAGCCTTTTGAACAGGAAAAAGTTCTAAAGCATATTAAAATGTGACCTTGAACTAGTATACGTCCTGTGTATTTAGTTTAAGCTAAAACAATTTATTTTGGTCTTGAATTATTCGTAGAAGTCCAGAGAAGGTTTGTAGGTACGTAGAGAAAAAATAAAAAATGTAGAAAAGGTGTAAAATCGATATACACGCGGGCGGAGCCGCGGGCGACCGCTAGTCAAATGTAGATATGAAACCTTGTTCTAGAAGTTTACGGGTTTTTAACACGGTTCTTTTTCTATTTCTAGCATTAATTGTAGTATAATTATAGTTATTTCGAGTAGTAAGCTTTTCTAAAAAAACGAATAATTAATCCTCTTTGCTTGCTCAGCAAACGGAGTCTCCGACGGAAGAAGCGGGCGGTAGCGGCAGCGGTAGTACGACGGCGGAGACAGGCGGCGACAAGCTGCGGCCCGGCGCCCTCGACAAGATGGTGGCGCTCGTCGCCGGCCTGCTCGAGCGGTCCAGGGACGCCGCCGGACATCTCGCCCTACTGGAGCCCGACGCCAGGGCGCTGCTGCATGCTAAGGTACCTGTGTAACTACGTACTACTTATACTCAGAATGTTGAAAATGTTTGAGGCTTCAAGGTACTAAGCATGACGTGTCACGTCCTGGTGGTGAATGATCAGCATCGCCCATGGCTACCAGTACCACTGTAGAAGACACAGGCGCGTTTTTTCAAGGTTTAAAGGTCTTATGGATGGGGAAAAAATTGGGGATTTGGATATTTTCGGATATCGGTAGATATATATTCAATACACTTACGTGAACACGACATTATATGAATTGACGTCTTTATAATCCTGTTAAAATTATCAATATTTTTTTATAATTGAACGCTGATACCTTAAGCTAGTCATAGTCATTAGTAGAGGAATTATTAAAAATTATTTCAACGTTTTATTTCAATTCCAGGGTTTTCCGTTCCTGTACCAGCAGACGCGCGACTGCCTCAACCTGCAACAGACGCGGTCGCTGATATTCGCGCTGTGTCGCTGGAACGAGCCGCTCGCGCAGAAAATTGTCAACATGATCTTCCAGGCTATCGCTAAACATTCTGAGGTATATACTGTACTTTGTTTTAATTAAAAGGTAAAAGTATTTATTTCAACTAAACCGTGTATAGGAACTGTTGAAACACTAAGAATAGATTAACATCCGGTTTCTGAAAGGCTTGTCTACGCTAAAATTAACTATACTCCTGTTAAATCTCTTGTCAAGTCATCTGATTGGTTGTTCATAATTCAGTCAACGAATCAGATGACTTGACAAGAGATTAAATTGATTTTTGATTTTAACATTGATCGGCCTTTCGGAAACCGGGTGTTAGAATAGATTAATTATTGTTATTAATCGATGTAGATTTTGTGTGGAGAAGAACGGAAAGATACTTAGTTATTTAATATTCTTTATAATATGTTTTACAATCTTGTTTTTTAATTTATTTATTCATATTAACTAGCTTCCGCCCGCGTCTTGGCACGCGTGTAAAAGTAATGTATACTGAGATTTTAAAAAATAGCATTGTTAAAGCGATAGCTAGACTAAATACTTAAATCAAGTAGTTTCATAGCCATGTACTCAGGAACATTGTAGCTATCTATCAGTAAAAAGATTTTTTTTAATTCCGACCAGCTGTTCCAAAGGTTATCCCCTACACACAAACTTACTAATTTTACACCTTTATAATACAAGTATCATATCACTGGCCACTCAACATTGTAAATTCAAATCACTGGTCCATTGGTATACTTTATTTCAGTGAAGTTGAACATTTTTGTCTCGAATTTTAATTTTTCGAACTTTTGTTATGTATTTTGCTGTGTAATTTAGTTCAATTATGATATAAATATTGTGGTTTGTCTGTTTGCAGAGCTGCGGAGCATTTTTTAAGTTACTAACGCTGCTGGTGGAGGGCAGCGGGGGCGGCGCGGGCGCGACGGGCGGGCTGCCCTGCTTCACGCAGCTCGTGCTGGCGCGCCTCTGGGACGTCGCCGACGTCTGTCCGCACGCCGCGCTCGAGTGGCTCGCGCTGCAGGTAACCATATTACTATACTGACTGTTTTAGCGTAAACGAGGGACAAATTTAAGACTCGATTCTGGTGATATCCATATAAAAACGTTTTCACAACAAAAAAAAAATACTTCTTCATGCAAAAGCTGTTACGATTTGTAAAATATTGTTTTATTATTATTATTGAATAAGATAAATTCACTTTGACCAAGCTTTGAGAGAGGCTACGATTACAGCCTTCATCTTTCCTTAAGAAAAACGTGCTTTGAGAAAGCGTGGCACGCGATGTTGAATTGTTTACCTGGAAGTTTGCCTTTACCCTCTCTTATGAAAAAGGTGTTTTGAGCAAGCATGGCAAGCGATGTTCGATTGTTTACTCAATGTTCGATTGCAGGTGCCGCGCAACAAGGCGGCGCACGCGTGGGCGCTGCGCACGGCGGAGCGCTGGCTGGAGGCGCAGCTGCTGGGCGCCGGCACCGCGCGCGTCCGCGCCGCCGCCGCGCTGCTGCTCGTGGCGCTCGTGCCCAGCCAGCACTTCCGCGCCGGCTACGCGCGCGCCCGCCCCGCCCACCTCGCCGCGCACCACGCCAAGCTGCCCGACACCGCGCACCACACGCTGCACCAGGTCACTACACCTACTCTTATTCTAACCTATAATGCAGTCTATTTGCATCTTATTATGACTTAATAAGGAGTTCTTACAATATAACATTCAAATATACCTACATTTTTTATTTATCCTATAAAGGAATTTCAATAGAGAATATGTTTGTTTCAAATCAAATCAATATTTATTGTGGATATAGGTAGTTACTTAATATAGATGACAAAAACATAATAAATTGTAAACAGCAATGGCCCCCCTATGGGCATACAATAGTTAATAAATACAATACAATACAAATAGAATTATACAATAGTTTATCAACTTAAAAACAATTGCAACGCGATGAACGGTTCGTCGTACCGACCCTTTGTTAAAATTTTCTTCCCATCTCCATACTATTCCTTCAAATATATCTACACTAATATTATAAAGAGGTAAAATTTGGAAAAAATCTTTCACTAATGGATAGCTACAAAGTTTCTGAGTGCTATATGCTATAAAACATTTTGCTACAATAAAATGGAGCCGAGCAGCGGGTGACACCGCGCGAGAGTAGCTATATAAAAACGAATCGCAAAATGAATTGATTAGCACAAAGTTAATTGGCAAAATTCCCCATTCGTTGTTAGCGAAATAATTTGGTCCGTGCAAGGCGAGAACAAAAAAAACATCTTATAACAACGCTTGTGTTCTGCCGACTAAACATTTCATTGTATTTATTCCTTTATATTATGAAGAATTTTGAATATTCCAGGTGTACACGATGCTCCTGGGCAAGCTGAAGGCGGCCCGCAAGTACACGGACATAGCAGTGCATGGCACCATGAAGCTCACCGCCTACTTCGGGGTCATGTCCTACTGTGTCGTCAGCAGGGTCGAGAAACTAATGGTTCGTATATTTCATGTAAAATTATTAACTATTTTAACTTATTTTGGTTCTTATGTTGACGTATTAAAGATATATTTTGTTTGTAACATAAAATCAAAACATATAATTTTTAAATAAAAAAAAAATGTTCTTACAAGTCCCCTAGAGAAATATAAAAAGTTTCTAGAACTAAAGACATAATCTTTATTTTAAGTCACTTTTTTTTAACATCTTGTGTGCCGGTATGGGTGACACGATAGAAAACACATTGTGGTTCGCTTATATCACGGGTTAAAACAGGTTTCTGTCAGTTATATGGGTAGAAGGGATACCTAGTGAATGGAAAGATAAATTACTGAAACAATTTAAACCATGAAATTCATCATATTCTTTGCAGTTCGGTCAATACTTTAACGACTTATGGGAGCTCTACCACCCAGCGATATCAGAGCCTTCAGTAGCAGTTCATCCCAACAAACAGGCTCTGCTTACATTCTGGCATGCTGTATCAGTAGATTGCCCCGAGAACGTACAACTAGCCGTCGCGAACCAACGACTCACGAAGCACATCGCCTTCAACTATATACTGTAAGTATTTTTATGTGTTTGTTATTGACATAGACATAATGACAGAAGTTTAGAGAGATTTTTGGGTAGCGAAAGATATTTATAATTGTCTCATTGTTTACAAGAATGTGGGTTTTAAAACGAGTAAGGTAAAGTAGAGTAATTTTTAAAGTACTGTGAAGGTTTTAGGTACTTACTGTAAGTATACAGGGTGTAAAAAGACACTTAACGAAGCCGAAAGCCACGTATTCTACCCATTATTTGTATAATTTTTTTCATTAAGACCATAGCTGGGACTCCACGGGTTCTCGAGATATTGAAGGTCAAACATGCATTTTTAATTTTCTTTTTTGCGCAATCGAATACTAAGTATTATTACAAAACTTTTTTCCAAACAAACATTACCTGAGTTTTCGATTTTTCTAAATAAATTACGCATTTGAAGTTACGAACAGTAATGTACGTAATAAATGAATGCAGACCCGCACAAAAAACATCGTGCACCTCAGTAGGATTTTTATTTTACAGTTTTTTTTTGTAGTTGCGAAGTAAAACGTCGACCTACGTACTTATCACAGCATTTTAATGCTAAGCTGTGAACCTACGCACACAATGACACGAAGCCCGTTTGCTTTACATTGAGCGCAATATTTTTTTTTTATACCTACAAACAAAAGTCGTTACCCAGTGATAATTTTAGCGTAAAGCTATTTAGTTAGAACTGCAGTATGCGTAGCTAACGGCTTCGTTAAGTGTCTTTTTACACCCTGTATGTATGTATATTGTATATCTGTTTTTTTTCTATACTTCTTATCAACGATTTCATATCTTAAAACTTGTGTTATATGTTATAGTCAAATGAAATAAAATAGTTCATAGCAAGAACCAAATCAAAACATGTGTTTAGTTTGCAATACAATCGCTTTTTTCACATACGTAGTTTTTATGAATGCGTAGGTTGAGGATTAGATAAGGTCGCGTCATAGCAACAGACATCGCATCGATAAAATCTCAGCATATTATTACAGTAATTTTATTTTAAATGATATATATTCGATTCTTATAGATAGTATTAGTATAGTGATTTGATTAACGTGTCAAATTTTTATCAACTAGTGTGCTATTTCGGCACGTATATCAGCGGGGATATAGCTCAGTGGTAGAGCATTCGACTGCAGATCGAGAGGTCCCCGGTTCAAACCCGGGTGTCCCCTTCAAAATATCTTTTTGTATATTTCTTTTTTATTGTTAGTATAATATTTTTGTACATATTCCCAATTTTTTTTTCTTATTTTTAGCAAATATAATGTAGTCGATTTTTGTTTGAGTTTTGAGCGCAAATCATTTTGAATCCTTTTGCTACAAATTCAAAGGCTAGTTTAGTTTGGATAGCCAATATAATTCTTGTTTTCTTTTCGTGTTTTTTCTTATATTAAGAATATGTTATGTTATGTCTTATATTATGTGTCCGTTTGCGAAACTGAAATAAAAAAGTTTACTATTTACCGTACCGTATATTGACATATGGATGTAGTAAACTTTTTTATTTCAGTTTCGCAAACAGACACTCCAATTTTATTTATATGTGTAGATTGGGTATGTGCGACACTTTAAAACAAATAAATTCATATTTGCAATTATAATATTCTAAACTTAGAATCAATTTATTTTTCAAACACTAACCAAGGACAGATATGAAAAAAAACTTAAAAAAAAACCTTTACAAAGTAAATCAAACAATAAATCGTCAATAGAATTATAATATGGGATGGTTTAGCGTATTTGCAATTTATAAATAAAATAAATATTTCACATCTTAGTTTATAAAGTGTCCATGTCTTTAACACTTAATAAACTTATAAGCGAGTAAACAATGATTATTTTTACTTCAGCGCGGACCACGAGGACGGCGAGGTAGTGGCGTATAACCGCGCCATGTTGCCGCCTTACTACGCCCTGCTGCGTCTGTGTTGCCGACGCTCGGGGGCCTTCGCCCGCGCCCTGGCGCAGCACCAGAACATTCACTGGGCCTTCCGGAACATCGCGCCACACGCTCATCTATATCCCGGCGCCGCCGATGAACTGTTAAGGTGACTATTTATACTTTTTATGTACTTGAATGCTTGAGGTTGTTTTCTTCATACACCTCATTTTTCTTAAACGAAATCGCCTGTGTCGAGTTCATTTTCTTATCTTTTTCTTTCATTGCGTTTCCACTCTCGATGTAAAGTAATTGAAATTGACAGATATTTATTATCAATTATAAAATGAATTAACAAAAAAATATATTAATACTATATACATTTTTTGATTAATTCGACCAAAACTACAATGTGCAAGGGATGCATTCGGCATCTCATACAACTTCAGTCTATTTTTTGGCCAAGAAATTATACAAAATGGTGTTAAATTAATATGACACTAACAATATCTCTTACTATACAGACTAGCGCGTGTTCTGGCTGCGCGGGGTGGGGGCGCGGGCAGCAGTGGGGGCTCGGAGGGGGAGGGGAGGGAGGCAGCCGCCTTCCGCCGCAGTACTCTCGCCGCGTATCTACAGGGTGAGCAACAATATACATTAACAAATTTCGTTAATTACATGTGCGATACAGATAAATATAACTTGTTAAAACATTTATATGTTATAGATGGTGTGTATAGACAGTTGTGGGTTGCAGGGTTGAACGGCAGGACATGTTGGTCCACGCTGATATCTGCCTTCTGCACGCTCGTTGAGAACGAGGATGATAGGCTTTATGTTGTCTATAATGGAGGACTACAGATGACGTTCGAAGTGAGTGCTTTTCTTTGATAGTTATTTAGGTACTAGCTTCTGTCACACGGTTTCACTCGCTGCTAATCGTAGCCGTTTTATCGCCTTCCTCGATAAATGTACTAACAAACACAAAAATAATTATTCAATTCGAACCAGTAGTTCTGGAGATTAGCGCATCCAAACAAACTCTGCAGATTTATAATCTTTATATATAAAAGTTTCGTGTCACGTGTTTTTCCGCGATGGATTCCTAAACTACTAAACCGATTTTAAATTTGATTTGCATTCCATGTGCATTTTTATCCAACTTGAAAGATAGGATAGGACATCTCAATTTATAGTCACAATATTATTTTGACAAGAACCACAGCAACGCGTGGCTGGGTCTGCTAGTATTTGTATAGACTATTACTGGTACATGAATGATTTATATAAAGACATTGAACACTTATATGGCATAGTGTATGTTAGATATCAAGTGCTGAATTAAACCGTCTTATGCCAGAAGGTTGCTCAGCGATCGCTGTCACGATACCGTACCGAGGATTTTATATTTCGTCCTTTATATTGCGAGTTGTACAATTTTCAATGTTACGGAGCTCTCTAACATCCATGTTTTCCAGTTGTTTTACTCTCCTGTAAAGTTGTCATTTTGACCTAATTGCAAAATGAACGACAATTTACCTCTCTACGTGGTTATAGTGTAAAGAGTCACTTACGATAAAAAGTCTTAGGTAGGTGACTATATTCTGTCTGTCTGGTGGAATACTATTCCACCTATGACTTTTCGCCGTAGAGGAATATAAATGGAATGCCGTGTGCTACATACATATTTTTTTGAACATCTTGTTACGTAGTATGTTTTATGCAAATAAATGAGTTGAACACGGACTTGAACAATGGCAGGCGCTGCACAGCCTGCACGCGGTGTACGTGGAGGGCGCGGGCGGGGGCGCGGGCGGGGGCGGGGCGGCGGGCGGCGGCGGCGCGGGCGGCTGCGTGCGCGCCGAGCTGACGGCGGCGCTGCGCTGGGCGCGCGCGCTCTGTCGCACGCTGCGCACGCGCCGCGACCACAAGGAGGCGCGCGCGCTACTCCTCGCCTGCAAGGACTGGCCCGAGTGCGCCCGACGACTCCTCACCATGCTCAACCTGCACCACCGGCACAACCATCTCAGGGACGCCGCGCTAGGTCAGTCTCATCTTAGTTTTATTTATATACTTTTTTTTTATAACGGGGAAACCTTCAAAATGCTCCTAGCATTTTGGGGAGAAAAACTAAGTAGGTCTTTCTCAAACAATAGGGTGCGAATACAATTGAAATCCTCTAAAATATTTAAAAAAATGCGACATACACGAATATTAATTTATTATTTTATCATAATTTCATATTTCGCGCATACAGCGCGAAAACGCGCCAAACAGCGGACGCCATGATTCTTTTGTAATCATGATGTGGTTACGTCCTATTGCTAGAGTATAATTATATGATTTATATTTTTGTGCAGGTGTTCTACGTGAGATAGTAATGATAGGTGGGGGGGCGGCACTGGGCGCGCTGGTCCCGCTGGCGGCAGGCGCGGCGGGCGCAGCGTGTGGGTCTCGGGCGCGCCACGCGCACGTGTGCGGGCCACGCTCCCAGCACGCCGCGCACGCCGCGCTGCCCCAGCACGCGCCGTTACCCCACGACAAGCACAACGCGCACAGACTCGCCACCTCATACCGCCCCTACCACAAGTTCATAGGTCAGTTCTCACTTAGCGCTAGTGGCGCAACGAAAAAACATTTTGCGCAATGGTAATGCATTTTGTGCAATTAAAACGTTGCGCAAACGGCATCCATGTAATGATTCATTGTAGCAAAAGTCTGAATTTTTGTATTGGAAAAAAATTATTTTCTAAAGTCAACACATTTTCTATAACTTAATTACAAATGATTTTGTGTGTTTCTCTTTCAAATGATGTAATTATTGATTGTAATCGCGTAAAACACACTTGTTGTCCCCCCCAGACACGTGCTGCCGCGTGGCCCGCAGCCAGCGCTGTATGTCGGAGCAGCTGGTGCTGGTGTCGGCGCTGTGCGCGCTGGAGGCGGTGCCATTGCGCTTCAACTACTTCGCCGCCTTCTGGACCGACGTCGCCAACTCTCCGGTACATTTTATCTTTATTTCCTCAATAGCTAAACTCTCGGCTTCGTTCCAGTCATTTCACTACCCTACACTACCAACCCTATCCTACCTATTCTACCCTACCCTATGTCCTTCCAATTCTTAGCTACCTCCCTACCAATTTTCAGTCAAATCGGTTCAGCCGTTCTTGAGTTATAATTCTAGTTGTACTATGATTAAAAAGTAGGCTGTAAGTTATTCCAGACTAATGTCTGCCCGGGTTGCGGGGTAAGCGTAATGAGGCTCCGTGACCTTGGCCTAGAGCAGGAGAAGGAATGGGGGGATTTTAGTCAGTAAGAGTTTGACACCTCTCCTCTCTTCAACTCGCCTCACCATGGGCGAGAGAAGTCACTTGATAATTATTTTCCCTCCAAAAAGGAACTTTTTTGATTTTTCAACAGGCTTTAGGCATACATATAAGATGTATGCCTACATAAAGTCTAGAGTGTATTCCCTGAAGGGAAGGATGTCTGGGTTTATTCAACGCCCGGATAATAGGTTCTGTTCTTATTGCATAGCTTACTACTAGGCGAGATAGTTGCGAAAGTTACGATGTTTGGATGTTTGTTACTCAATCACGCGAAAACAGCTGGACGGTTCTGGATGAAATTTTGGCACAGCATAGGATACACTCTGGAATAGGATATAGGCTACTTCTTATCAACGTACTAAGCGGGAGAAGCCGCGTGCGGAAGGTAGTAGCGAATAAAAAAGGAGGATTGGTGAGTGAGTGAATTGTGTTTCAGGCGGACTCGAAGTTGGAGGAGATGTTGGTGGAGTGCAGCGTGGCTGCGGAGTACGTGGACGCCGTGCTGCTGGACGAGAGGGACTCCCTCGAGGATCCCGTCATATACCAGTTCATGCAGCACTACTACCCAAAGGTAACTCATACTAAATACTACATTAACAGCCTGTCTTCTTGTTCTTGCTAGACTATGAAAAACGCCATAATATCAAGCTGGCGAGTTTGTGATTGGAATATAATAAAAAACTGTGTGTGATTTTTGTTCCGGGTCTGGGTGTGATGTGAAATTGTATGTTTGTAAATGCACTGACGACACAGGAGAAAATCCTACCGTGAAGCAATGTCTTTTTACTAAAGAATATAATTCTGTAGTCTCTGGCCTCTAGTCGGTTCACAATATGAAAGCTGATAAATGTTTCTATTCTCTGTATTTTAAATTACATTCAATGAAACATTGTTAGCTTTTTACTTTACTACCACTGTATTGTGATATTTTTTTAAGGAGACTCGGGTTTTATTTACTCTTCTGTTAAAGTATAGTCAATCATAATTGATCGTGGAAAATGTACGTAGCAAACTTGAAATATCCTATTAAAGAACATGTAACAGCTAAGGGTACATGCAAGCTTTTATAATCCTTCAGGAAAGTGATACATATAGCAATGTTTGTTTGTTATAGCTGGGCGGGGGCGCGTCGAGCAGTTCCAGTAGTAGTTCTAGCGGCGGCGGCGCGGCGGAGGCGTTGTTGGAGGAACTGGTGGCGGGCGGGACCCGCGGCCCGCTGCGGCCCCTGCTGGCCGCCGCGCGGGCCCTCACCTTGCTGCACGCGCGCGCCCCGCCCGACCCTGCGCGCGCCCGCGACTTGCTGAGGGCCACGCGCGCCATTAGGACCCGTCTGCAGCAAGCCACTGGTCATTATTATTACTCTTCATATTCATTAATTTTCTTTAACATTAATTTTATCCCCTATTCTCATTCAAATACATAAATATCATTTCATTGAAAATTCTTTCTACCTTTGTGGCAAATTCAAAAATATCTTTCGCTCTGTAATAATTCCTTTTTAATGATATAATAAACACACATACTAATTCTATAATTTGTTCTACAACAAACAGAAGAAGAAAGTTCAGAGCCGGAGAACGGATGTACGGGAGGACCAAGCAATACAACGACTCGAGCGGGATCCGGATCCGGCAGTTCTGGCGATGACGCAGCCTCAGAACCGGCCGAGCCAGACTCGGAACCGGACGAGGCGGCGCCGCGCGGGGCTAGTGGGCTGGCGCACCTCGCACTAGCTCTAGACGCCTTAGACGCCCTCGCCAACGCAGCCACGGCCCCGCCAGTACCGCCACACCCCCCACCGGAGCCCTAGCCCTCCGCCCCCGCCCTCGACGGCGGCGACAACGTGCTCAACCTGAGTTCACGTCCAACATAACTGTTTGAACATGAACCTTGACAACGGTATTTGAATTTATTTTCTACAAAAACCTGCCAAACGTGTTACAAAGTATTCAGTACTTTTACTTGGACGTTGGCAACGTGACAATGCATTATTATTAATTGGCGTTTCATATTAGGAATGTTATCAAAATTATCGCGGGCGCGGAGTAGTGAAACAATGGAGGTAAAACCCGGAGACTTAAAAGCGTTTGACGTCGTATTAACTGTTGGAAAAATGTAGCGACTAGATGCGCCTGTTACAAGTCGTATATTTTTCACTAGCTTGATATAAACAGTTTTATAGCTCTCCATTTGCTTACGTCTCTGTGCTCGCCAAACGAAGATCTCGCGCAGTTTTAACAAAAAATTGCTCTTAATAATTGTTGTAAAATTGAATTAAAAGATCTGTATATCTCACAGACAATTATTATCAAGTTGATATACACAATAGAAGCAAGCAAACAGTGTGTATTTCTGGAATACGTTGCATAGACTGTCCTATAAATATAATATTATTGTTTAAAATGAAAAACATTGACATCTCATGAAAGTGCAAATGATGTGAGAAAATTATAATGTTTCGGTTGTTTATAATATTATATGTAAGTTTAATGTATATAAATAGATTTGTGATCGTTGCGTTTCAATAAGTATATGAATATAATTATTATTTAGTTAGGAATTGAAAATGATACACTGACATTTTTATGATAATGTTCATTTTATTTCGTGTAAGGAATTTTGTATAAAACATCTATGGTTACATTCCAAACGGTATCATCACAACATTAATTGTGCGTAGTATATGGTAACACAATTATTATATTTAGTCTGTGGCAGTCTCTTGTCTCATATAGTAATGTCATACAGCCTGCCACAGATTAAAAAAAAAATCACTGCACTCGCTAAAAAGGAAACTTTATGCTTCGATCGAGTGCAATACAATTTGTAATTAAAATTCGAAATATGAAATCGACGTGCACAAGTCATATTCGGCATTAACTTGATGTACTTTGAGTGCATAATGCTGTAATACGATTTTTGTGTGAAAAAATAACAGCCTTATTTTTAAATTAAGCGGTGATATCATAGCTCTCGTCTGCTAATTCCTGTCTATGATGTTATCGCTTAAAATATGCGAAAGAGTAAATTATTTCGAGAATTTACTGTGTAATGGTGTTCGATCATAGAATTCAAATATCTCTATTTCTGCGAGTGCAGTGTAATATTTATAAAGCAGTTGAAAAGTGTTTGAGAATTTTCTCGATTAGTACTGATCAATATCGGAATATTCTTAATGTCACTTTACTGATACATAATTATGTCATTGATAAAGAATTTACATTGTTAATATTAAATGTGTTTATATCACAGCCAACTTTGTTAATTAGCTATTCAAATAACGGATTGATTTACTGAATTTCTTATTCAAGTCTTTTCATAGTCAAGGGATTGCAAACCGAATTGCTACCAAAATGGTAGGTTAGTTGAAATTGTAATCGCCATCACAAATACTTACATAGGCTAGGCCGTTAATTCCATGTATTATTAAGCAAATTGGCTGTGATATTTGCATTAGTTAATCTGAAGGATGTGTACAAACTGATTTTTTTTATCGAAACTAAAACATGACTGCTTCATCTTTTTAAGTATTAGTGCTTCTCTAGAACATTGACGATGTTCTAAAGAACTACTAGCGCAAATGCTTTTATTTATTTAATTTGTAAGCTAACTAGCTAAACGCGGCTGCTACTAGAGCAAGGACTGTAGTGTTCCTAGTTTTTACACAAATCTAAATTAGATGGTTCTTTTTAAATTAGGAATCTTACGGCCAACGTTCTTTTTTATAAATTTTTGTATTGTGATTATTCGACTTTTAAAATGTAAGTCGATAAATCGTTAGTATTTCTAAAATTGCTGCTTTTTATTAGAGTTAGGTACATACTGACATATTCAGTTTCCATAATATTTCATAGTTAATATGCTCATGTAGTGTAATTTCATCATTGTACGTTGTATGTATCATCTTTTATTTCACTACACATCCAGCTGTGCAGAACCAGTATAATATGACCGTGTAATTTACGAACAGATGATTTATAGCGAGACCAAGACAAACTGGTTTTGTATAGCATATAATATTAAGCTATGAATAGCAGAGCTCTAGCTTCCAACTGATGTGCATTTGTAACTAAGTGTTTGTATCTGTGTGCATGAATGTCGCGAAATCGATATAATTGTATGTCAAAATTATTATTATGTACATTTAGGCTGTGAGCATTTTGTTAATTTATCTTAAATATCGTATCGTAATCTAATTAGTCAAAAGTAAATACCCCACCCTGCTTAGTGTCTATGTGTGGAAATGCTAATCGACATAGAACAAAATGAATCACCCGTCCAGGCGCGTACTTTTATTTCATTGGCAAGTATATTGTGATAGCTTCGTTTATCTATGAAAGATTTTATCCAAATCCTATATTTATGGAAAATCTTTTAAGAAACCTTGTCAACTTACTCAATATTTTAACAGCTATTCGTGTTTTTTTTAAATATAACTCTTAATTGTACTCGCGTAGGTGACAACACAGGATCACGTACACTGCCCAATTCAATAAGATTAAAAGTATTTAGTAATAGCTGATATTATCTCAGGTAGTAATTATGGTCGTATGATTGTATATAACGGCGTTTACCTGACAAAGTTTACGAAAGAACCTGTCCATTTTTTATCTTTATAGTGAACACTAGCCAACCTATTTACGCTATAGTTCATCACAAATCTACTTGTCGTTTTAGTATGTGGAAAATAAATGTTGTACGTAATTCACAATGTATCGTAACGTCTTATTATCTATAGTTAATTGTAATCTCTCGAATTTCAATATTTCTACACGCGTACCACCTTTGTAGCTGTGTAAATATAGTTGCATGTGGATCTCGCTATCGAAGGAAAGCAATAAATTCGAATTAACACTGTACTGTGTCATTTAAAAGTATATTATGTCATTTCTTTTAGAATTTTAGTTCGATTCGTGTACCTAATTGTTGTAGATTTTCATATCGTATGGTGTCGAGTAGATGTGAATAGTGGACACTGCTGGTAGCGTGTCGGTCGTGTGCGGAGACAGTCACGGGACAGTTGGAGGGGTGAAAGTAATGTGGTGCTATCTTTGGATGTTTGGAGTGACTGGAACATAAGACAAAACGTGTATTTAAGTTTGTCCTGTTTTTAGAGCTTATTAATATATACAACCTAATATAACTATGCTGTAATTATCTTTATTAATTTTAAGATTATAATTTGTTTTGTAATAAAATGTGGCATAAGATGATCGCAACCGTTTTGTGGTCACATTGTACCCCATTTCGTTTCACGGCTTTGAATTTGTGTATTATATTAAAATGTGTTACTGGAACTAGAGTTTCGGTCGAATATAACTGTGTTACTGAATACAATTTGTGAAAATTAATGAAAATACTGTAAATCGGACTGGAAAGCCAAAGTAAACAGTATTTTATAATTATGGTTTTTTATTTTGGTAACTGCTCTGTGTAGTCCCTTCCCCGTAATTCCCCCCTAAACGACTGACTCAATAAATGTACACAGAAGTGTACATAGTGTGCTTATATTGCCAAATCACATCCAGTTATGAGTCACATAAATCAAGGGGTGAGCCTATTGTCTTCATGGGGTCCGATACCTCATCGCTACTAATTAAAGATTTCCGAGAATCTGGAATATCCCAATAATGCTTTGCTTCACCCGCGAACCGATACCGAAACCTGTCGCTCGGTACCTAGTCGCACTTGCGATCAACGAGGCAGATAAAAAAAACGATTTATCTAAAATATTCTGTATTAACCATGACAAGATTTTATCTGTGTTTTTCTAAATAATATTTCACGTATACTTTAATAAGTAAACGAAAGATTCCTGTGATGTTCCGTGGAGGAGAATCCGTCTCGTATCCCGTGTGGTTCGTTAAGGGTTGGACCTCATCTGGCAGCATGGGGTCGCGTTTTTCCGTCGCCCTTTCTTTTTCTGTCGCTTAGAACTGCCATTTGCTAGACCGAGACAGAAAGCATAAATGCGATAGCACGCGGCGGAATCCTCTAGGCGATCAGCATCATGGACAAAATGCAACGGTCGGCAGGGAGATTCCGGAACGCTGAAGCGTGCGGTAGCAGGCTAACGCATTCTTTCACCTTTATTGTCTGCGGAATGCGATAGCGCATGTTCGCATGCGGCAGCATACTACTGCAGCACGTGGTAGCACAGGCGGAACAGTGAACAGTTCCCTGCTGCCAGTTGAGGTCCAACCCTTACATGACGTGGTGTTTTCTAATGCATTCGAGATGCGTACTCTGCTAACTCATTTATTTACAGATGGGTGTTTATATCTACCTACATACTACACAATCATTTATTTCTTTGCAGAATAAACATTTTCATAATGTTTATTCTCGGCTAGCCGTGCCTCCCAACCTCGGTCTCCCCGAGATAGTGTAGATTCCCAATAGTGAAACCATTTTTCATAGACGTCATTACTTTCAAAGCGTATAAATTCGAAACAAAACGGAGATAATCCTGTAATAGTAGCATGGACGAAAACTTATTGAGCCACTATCTTTTTCATGTAACAATGTTCAATGAAACAACTTTTTTATAACTTACTTATTTTTTATTTGCACTAATTTATTTTTTATTTCGATAGGAAATTTATCTACAGATTCATTAGCACAACTTAGACAATATACTTTTTTATAAAATAAACTACATTCTTTATTGACACAAACAGGTTTATCACAAATTGTGCAGTCAGATCCAAGAACAAGTATTTCTCCCTTTCCTGGTGGACTAAAGGGATCTTTCATTACATAACTTGGATACTTTAGTACAATATTGCGTGAAAATGGAGGATTTGTTCCTTTGTAATGAGCTTTCTCATCAATTCCACATGATGTACACTTGAAATCATAAACTGTTTGCTCTTCCTTTGGTTTGGTGACTTCCATTTGTGAATAGCTGAAAAAAATGCATAGAATAAGATTTCAGATTACAACACAATTGTTTTGGAGGATGTTTTACAAATGACAAATTATCTGTAAATGTGTTATTAAGTATTTAATGATAAAAATAAGTTATCCATTCCACACCATAATATACCTACATTTATTCACAAGACATTGGTATTTGTCTCATATTTTATACTATGAGTCATATTCGTTTTTTAATGTGTGTTTTTCTTTAGGAGCCTCCACAGGCCACCAATGTGGCCTCACAATATCAACGGGTGCTAGCCCAATAAACAAGTCTTTAGCTTCAAGTGCCTCCTTTATTTTTACTAAACCTATTCCATAATCAATTGATTTATTTTTTAACTTTCCTATTTGAGTTTTTCCAGGATCAACACTTGCATATATTGGAGCATCTTTATCAAATGATTCACTGTCCGTCCTGTCGTAAAATCTTACAGGCATTAATCTTTTCCTGACAACACCTGTGTGGTGAATCCGAGCAGTTAATTCTTGTCCAATGTAACACCCTTTATGGAAGCTTATTCCATGGAGGTAATCACAGTTAGATTCTAAAGGGAAAGCAGTTCCAGGGAATAAATCCTCAGCCCCCTCACCTACGCCTAGTTTATACCTCAAATTGTGGTAGTCTACATCAGTATTCTTAATAACAGTATCTTTTCCTATAGCACAGTGCAGATCAAGTTGAGCAATATCTGAAGTAGTTATCAGTCTAAATCCAAGATCAGCAAGTCGTGGATCTCTGTATACACTAATACTTCTTATGACATCAGGTTCACATATTTCTTCAATATCTAATGGAGTTATCAGTGCCCATAAGGTAAACAGTTGACTTGCATCTGATATTTTAACATCTTTTTTCAGTTTGTAAATATTTAGGTGTCTTTGTAACAATCGATTCACACTTTTGTCACATTCTATCAAGTATGTGTTGTCACCTCCCCATTTATGTAATAAAGTATCATACAAAATTCTGCCTTTGTTATTTAAAAACATAGCATACATTGATTGTGCACCTTCTTCAAAATGTTTCATGTCGTTCGTGATGAGGCCTTGAAGGAATTGTGACACATGTGATCCGCTTACTTTTATCAAGCTCCGGTTTTTTAACGGATATAACACTTTGGATGAATCCTCAGACGTCGACGAAGACCTAAAGAAGTTTCTAGACCATTTGTTCCTAAACGTAAACCTATTTAACTGGCTCGTAATCATGATGAAATAATTTGAATAACCTCTACTAATTTAAAATGTCCTAAAGTTACACTGATTTCAGATTTTCAGAAGAAATTTTCACATACTTTTTTGGTTTTTTTTCCGAAGATGACAATGACAACTGACGTTTGTGAATGTTTTTCAGACTTTTAATGTGACGTTTCTGTAATTTTTACTTTTCTTCAGGTTTTTTTACCAGAAAGTCACATGCAGGTGCCTAATATCAAAAACAATAACAAATAGTAATCAATACAATTGAAACGCGAATGACAGAAACTGCCAAACAGCTAATTGACATTACAGGCCGCTGTCAAAATAAAAAACTATTATTATTAGGTTGGGGAAAAAGTCTTTTCGGATATAGTATGTATGAAATGAACTTGTAACAAAATCTCTTGGACTATAATATTTTGACTCGAGCTGGTATTGGAAATTGAAAGTTTAAACAAAGAACATAACTCCAAACTCAAATTTCTCCTATTTCGGTCTCTTCAGAATTCTTTGGCAGTCTTAGTTCAACATCACGAGAAAACAAAAACCACTTGTCGCGGTGATTCAATCAAAAGTCCCAACATGTCTATACAAATTCATATATATAGACAATACGGATGTGATTTTTTAAGTTTCCGTATATCACAGCACAGCTACTTTTTTTTGAAACTGCAGACTCTACTTTTGAAACATGATTGTATTCTGTAAGCCTCTTTAAGATTTTCACACAGAAATAAAGAAAATGCCAAAAATTTCAAAGGAAACAGATTTTTAAGTTCTTTAACCCACACGGAGTAAGTAGCCTCACCCATTCATGCACCTCTTCACATTTTTATTATCTGAATATCTTTCAGCCTAGGTTTCGGGGCAAGCAATAATGTACCGCGGCCTCGGCTTTAAGCAGGAGAAGGAACGAGACTTTTAGTCCATAAGAGTCTGGCCTCTCGCATTCTCGCCTGGGCGAGAAAAGCAATTTGATGATAATCCCCTCAAAAAAAAAAAAACTGAACATCTTAGTAGCTCTTCCTTGTTAAAAGGCGCATCGTTATGTAAGTGCATTCGTCCCCGAAAAAAAACATAGTTACATTTCCTTTTTCCATTTATTTATTTATGACTTAATGCCGTAAGCATTATCTAGCAGTCTGACCAGGGTGATGCAGATGCATATAAATAATGTATAAGTATTATACATACAACATATGTATAAATAAATAGATACTACATACTTATATTTATATGTACATATATACTTATAATAAATTAGTTTCTTTAATAGATGCTCACGAACTTTCTGCTTTAAAGTCAAACGCCCTGACACGATTCTCGTAGGACATTCTTACGCCTTACAAAATTAGTCGCCAATTTCTGTTGTGCTGATAATTACCTATATTAATGAACACATGCGTAGCAAATATGAGGCGTCTAGAGAACAGAAAGTACCCTAAAATCGAAATAATTAGATTGCACATCCAGGAGGCCTGGCAGGTTAGTCTACCCCTCAGCAGGAAAAAAAAATTAGGTTTCTGTCCGTGTTTAATTACGAACAAACACTATTTGCACGATGTAGGATTTGTGACATCAACTCTTGATTTTTATAATTGTCGTCGAATTTTCTGTGTGCGTCGTCATAAACGGATATTTGATATAGATGGAGGGACACTGAATTATTGACATTAAATTTCGGGGGTTTGTCTCATTAAGAGACAATTCTAAAATCCAAACTCTAGAAAGAATCAATTAAAAACCACGTTTTCATTGTTAATCTAGATTTAATAGAACAAAAGCCTAAAAATAATTATAACAAATACAAAATCAGTTTGTCAAAATGAAGCTGTATATAGCTTTATGTATTATAAAATACATTTCATAAATTTCAAAGCACCTATAGGTTTATTTATATATTTGATTTAGCAATAGCAGAAGCGCACACTTATCCATACCAGATCAGTCGCGGGTTGCGGATTATCAAGCAAATTGAGGATACCTATATTAAAGATATGTTTGACAGGTCTTATGATTGACAGACTGTATACTTAGGTATCGCCACAGAACAGAAAATTATCGCCAACGAAATGAAATGCAGTTGTATAAAAAATGGCGCCACTGTAGCTTTTCAGCTTATACTAGTTTGTAGGTACTAAATTTTTAATCCGCTTCTTATTCTGATTATTTCTGATTATTTGCGCGTTCTTGTGCCGTATATGTCATCTCGATTTCTTCGGTGGTACGTGGAGACCTGACTGGTGTGGCAGTGAGTGAGGTAGGGGCGGTGTCCTGGCCCTGCTCTACGGAAGCTGTTACCAGTTCCGTGGTCACTGTAGGTTCGGATCGAACAGATGCGTTGTCACGTTTGCTCGGCGAGCTTTGGTTAGACCGTTGATGGTATTTCTGAGTCTTCAACAAGTGAGGGATGACTTTCTGTAAAAAAATGTTTTAGTTGTTGTAGTAGGTAGGTACTTAGGTAGGTAAAAACGTATTCAATCGTTTTATTTTAAACTAGCTTCCGCCTGTGGCTTTGCCCGCGTCTATCTATATTTTTTTTTGTGAAGGGAAATTTTTCAAATTGCTTATCCCGCCCAGGATAGGGCGGGAGGGAGAGTCAGATTCTTGCTCACTAAAATCCCCCCTGTTCCTTCTCCTGCTCTGTGCTAAGACTGCAGTGCTGCTTTGCCCCGCAAATCTATCTACATACCAAATTCCAACCAAATCGGTCCAACCGTTTTTGCGTGAAAGAATAACAAACATATGTCCATACATTGTTACAAACTTTTACATTTATAATCTTAGTAGAATTTAAAAAAGTGACTAAGAATGGATAGGTACCGATATTTTATATTAAAATGTATTGTATTGCATTTTTAAATTGAAAGCCTGGTTAATTTTGTGAAGTTTGACCTGCTGTGGGTCTTTAGCGAGGTAGACATCAGTGCGTCGCAGCACGAAGTCTGGCGCAGTGAGGCAGCGCGCCAGCAGTAGAGCGGCTGCACACGCCCAGCTGGCCAGCACTCCTGCGCAAGTTGCTCGGGTAGCTGCCACCCGCGCGCCAAAACCCCATGTAGAGTTCCACCCCAGTTCCAAGAATGGATCCACTGATGAGCAACTAGAAACATAAAGGGAATATTTAAAATTCTGATGCAACGCATTTGGCCAATTAATATTTATACGTTGGGTTAAATCTAAAGATTGTGTTGTCTTAATAATATGGACAATGTTAATGGTCATTGTATAGAATACTGTGTCATTATGTTGCCTTTTAATAAAACGGAAGTCCCCAATTATGGGAGAGTCATGCTAAACCAGAATGAGCCTGTTCAACCACACTGACACAACTGAGACAGACCACAACACCCACGTTGTATTTTGCCGCGTGCGTGCGGATACCGGAGGCCCAATCCTGCTCCTCACGTCCTCAGTCCTCAAATCCAAATTCATATCTAACAACCCACACAAGGCCGGTAATGCACTTGTAACTCCTTTGGTGTTGCGAACGTTCAAAGGTATGATCCAGCTTAAAAATCCCCATAAGTTATGAGTAGACCAGCTCAAGTCTCTTTACAGCTATGCCATTTTGTTTATCCGAATCCTCCATGGAATGTTGAAACTTTAAGGTGTGATAAAACTACAGGTCTAACATCTGTTTCTTAGATTGTTTCAAATAAGAAAACTTTTTAGGCATTTAATACTTACGTAGTAGAATTGGTGACCTCGTAAAAGGCTGCACAAAAGGCGTGCATACCTTTGTTTGTTAAGGCAAAACTGTGGCCAGTCACTCCTACCATCACCAGCGCGAACAGAAGCGCTGGAGTCAGGATTCTCCATGGTTGCTGAAGCCTGAAAAATATTAAATATTTAGGTATGGTGCTAAATGGTAAATACACAATGGTCACATTCACAGCCATACAAAGCCATTCGCCCGTCCTATGGATTCTAGATTTCAGATTTGTGATGGGAAAATCATCGAATTACTTCTATAACCCAGACCCTTCCTTCTCCTGCTTCAGGCCGAGGTCGCGACCCCCATTTGTGGTGGTCTCTCTAAGGCGCGCGCGTTGCCCTTTTCCTAAGAGCATTGTCTATGAAATGCTGATTAAGAGAATTTTGTTAGTGAATCTGTCAAGCAGAATTATATTTTCCATAACTCACGAAACAAATTAGTTTTAATTAGTCGTCGTTAACAAGACTTCAAATCTGCCGCGTGACCTCCTTGGATTCAAGCCAACCAGCGTTGTTCTAAATACTTACGTATTTTAATAATTCTTTTTTCTGTTCGGAAACTCTAAATAGAAAAAATAACGACTTTTAGAATATGGTTCTACTGTGTAGGCAACTGCGTACTTAGTCAAAATTCAAGGTTAGCTCCTAATTTAGATCATTAGAACTAAGGACAATTTTAATAATAAGTACTTTAATGCGCTAGTCCTAAAAATTACAATACCGTTGATAGTTAGACACATTTTCACCACGTCGCGAAAGATTCATACATATATTTATAAGAAATACAAGTGTGGGAGAGCCATGCTTGGGCACAAGTAGATCAGCTCGACCGAAGTGATATCACTGCCCCACAGAAAAACGGAAAAATCTCCAAATCTCTAATCCTCAAAAAGCTGGCAACACACTCGTAACTCGTCTGTAGTTGCGGGTGTCCATGGGCGGCGCTGATTGTTTACCATCAGGCAATACGTCAGTTCATTTGCTTTCCTATCTCAACAAAAAAAAAGTGCGGAGAGAATAATGAAAGTGACGTCACGGCCTCAAAAAAGAAAAGCTGACGTAAAAAAAACCTCTACGTTTTGGTTTGCCGTGCGAGTGCGTGACGTTATCGGGGTGGTTTTTAGTATGACACTCTCTCGCCTCACTCAAGAAGGTAGAAGAAATGTGATTTTTCCCTTCTTAAAAAAAGGCCCAAGGAATACATTAGTTGGTAATTTCGAACTACTCAGATAGACGTTTTATTTATATGAACCTACTTATATTTTCCTGTATTTATTTGTTTTCCTCATGTATTACTTAGTTAATTCTGCGATCAAGTACTAACTAATCTATGTATGTACTAGCTAGCTATTTGAAAGTTGAAACACGTGTTGTTTGGATAATACTGAACCGCTTTTTATGAAACTTGATTCTCATCACCACATACCTAGTATAAAACAAAGTCGCTGTCTCTCTCCCTATATCCCTATGTAAGTTTGCTAATATTTTTAAAACTACGCTACGAGTTTTGATGTAGTTATTTAAGTGACTGGAGAGAATGGTTTCTTTAAGATTAACCAAATAGTGGAGAAATTCAGAATCATCGTAGCACCCATGAGAAGCCGGTGCGGATATTCGGTATTCGCTAGTGCATAATATATCAAGGTTAGAAGGTTAGAACTTTAACCACGTTACACATATTTTGACGAAATAACATTTTTCGCAACTTACCCTGTCCTGGCTCGTCCTCCTCGAGGACACATTGTGAACATGGTGATCCACACTGCGGCAAATATCATAGACATCAGGGGCATGTACTCGGCAAACTGACAGTCTCCATCGGACTCGAACAAAGTCCTAGTTGTGTCTAACGCTAGGCGATGCGTTTTGTTTTCTGTAATCAGTTTGAAAAGGGAATAAGTACATGAGTTTCATTTGTTTTGATGTTTATCGGAACAAAAAAAGTAATGTTCGTTTGGAGAGCTCGTTTTTTGTGTAATATGTGTGTGTTTTGTGGAAATAATGTCGAATTAATAGATATTATGTTTGTCAAACACTAGGGAGAAAGGTTTATAGGTACGATATGAGATGGGTGATTCTTCACATCAATTTAACATAAGTATATTAACGATATCCATACGATATCATTACCGTCAACTCAAGATCAACAATTTTGCAGATTGAAACACAAATAATGATTTTATTCAATTAAATCCGCACTATTTTTGTACAGTAGATAACTATTGTTGTATTGACATACAGTAAATTTAGTATGTCTTTACTAAATTTATTTAAAAATAACGGCTTACTCGCGTGGAATAACTGTCAAAAGCTCTACTAGTTCCAGGTCGAGTAATTCAAATATGCGTTCCGCTCATAAATAAGAGTTCCGCTGTGACTTGAAACTAGTTGAGGTTTTGACAGTAATTTCACGTGAATGAGTCTTTATTTTCAATAAATAAAAATCCGTAAGCAAACAGCTGTTTACAAGCAATCATTAAAAAAAAAATGTAAATCCACATTATGAAAACTCCTACTCGTGTGTAGTGGATGTGTTCACAAATATTCAAATCCACACTTCAAACTCAGACTAGGAACAACAAATTTATGAATGACACAAAGAGTTATTCCGTAATAAGTATATAGATACTTATTACGGAAACTCTTCACATAGGTGATAAGTAATTAAGATACTTAACAACTCGGGAGTAAAAAGATTTGTTAAATAAATGTTAAGGGTTTTTTGAAAAAAGACCCAGTTAAGTCGAGCAGTCGAAACGAAAAAAGGCGCCAAAACGCCACAAGGTGTTCAACAATTCCATATTCTCATAACACAACCTCAATATAGTCTACACTTTACAGGGTAGGATAATATGCTTAACTATTTATGAACAAACAAAATAATTCACGCTTTTATTTGGTAAAACGCATGCGTTTCAAACATGTTTGAGTTTGTGGAATTTCAAGTTAGGTACCTAATTAACAGCATAATCAAAACCAAATCATAATTGTTAGTAAATTTTGCCTCGCAATGTTAGTAAATATTATTTTCGCGAACAAAACAATTCAAACGCTAGGGAAAGTAGTTGTATTGACGTTACTTATGAATTTCCTTTTCACGGAGAGTGTTACAGATAAAAAAGTAATCCAAGGTTTTTTGGCGGGACGTAATACTGGCCCTTGACAAAAAAAGAGAAAAAAATATTATCAGTTTTATAAAGCTATTGTTCCAAATTTAATTGCAAATCGTACCTACACTTTTTCTATTTTCTGTGTTTCTACCATCGATCACTAATAAAGAACTTAGAAGAACTTAGAAGTTCTTTATTAGTGATCGATGGTTTCTACACAAAGTTTTATGCCACATATATTATCCCAGTGCCCACCTAATAGGTAATAAAAACATTTGCATAGATAATAAATCACTGAATGTACTTCTAATTCTATTGTTTCGTGTTCAAATGCAACGCTTATTTCTGTAGTCGTTCACATGGAGTTAATGGCTCATAAAACTTATTCTTCGATAAAAGTAATGATAAAAACCTGCGATCAATAGCCACATAATACATACCGGTGAGGAAAGTATCGCCATCTGCTGTTGGTATTTCAGTTGTAGTCGTTTCATTATCAGCTGTTTCTCGCTTCACTTTTTCACTGTCAGAGGGAAGGACGGTCGAGTTACCTTGAGCATCGTCAGTCACATTCTTAAAGTCATGTATTTCACTGAAATTTTGAGCTCTTAGTTCTACGGTGTGGAATTCCAGTTTGCGCGGGAACAGTACGCAGTTGTTGTCCACCAGTTGCATCGTATTCTGTAGGAATACATAGTTGGTGATGCCGAAGATGGCGGCACATACGTACAGTATTATGTGCCATGCTGAAATAAAAAGAAAACATATGTATATTATTAAAATCCTTAGATCGAAAATAAAAATAGACCAATATGTAGCAAAACTAAACAACAAAGTAACTAAGTAATAAAACTTCTATTGCAATTCGTAAGTCAACGTAGTATTACTTTTTTTTTCGATGTACGACAAGTTGCACTATTTTTGCACAATTATGGAAAATCAGTTACAGAATAGGACATTCTATAAATAATGAGTAAACGATCTTTGACGAGGTGATTTGACTGATTTCAACGCAACGCATGGGTTTCATCACTACATACACAGATTAAAACAGTCGCTTTCTCCGTCCCTATATCCCTATGTAGAGAGGTATGCCAAAATCTTAAAAAACTTCGCAACGGATGTTGATCTTGGTAATTTTATTGGGTAGATAGATTGGAGAGGAATATTTATTTGTATGATAATATCCATTAAATAGGGTAGAAATTTAGTATCAGCATTAGACTCGTGCGAAGCTAGGGTGGGTTGCTAGTATATTATAATGGCATACGCGACATTGAAGACAAAATAGTTATAGAGTACAATACCGCCAACGTACCTATCTACTATCTTGTCGAGTCTGAAGTTAGCCGAGTAGCTGCGCAGTCCACAATTTTGTTCCTCAAAGATCCATTGCGCAGACAAACAGTACTGTAGTTCTTATCATTTAATCACTAAATAAGGATTTTTATGTAGCATTAACGAACTATGAATTACTTCTGGGTCATAATCAGCCTATAAGTGCCCATTGCTGCGCAAGGGCCTCGTCTCACAAGGAGAAAGTTTGAATAATCATCACGCTTGCTTAAGGGGTTTGGCGATTTCAACCTTTTAATAAGAAATTATAAGTTCAGGTTTACTCTCGAACAGAAAACCGGCGTGAAACAACAGCGTGACAGCGTGTTGTTTCGCCGCGTGAGCGAGGTTACCGGAGGCCCAATCTTTCCCCTCCCCCAAACCTAAAATCTTCTAATCCCTAATCCGAAAACGTCGGCAACGCACTCGTAACGCCTCCGTTGTTCGTAGTCAGCGCTAATTGTTTACCATCAGGTAATCCGTATGTTCGATTGCAGTCTTAATAAGTACATAAAAAAAAAATTATAATTTACCGGGTCTTTTGGGTCATCGTTTGAAAATTCAAACGGTCTAAAAAGACGTGTTTGCTTGTACAGTGAGGTCATAGTGTAATGACACAACACTGATAAACGATGAGTACATGCGGCATCGAACCTGTTATCTTTTTGATTGCGATGCGAATTTGCGATTAGATTTTAATTTTATTGACCTGAATTAACTAGGTACTTTTACGCCGGAGCAATACCTGGCAGGGAGATTTTATTCATCTCAATATAATATTAATATTATCGATTTTATCGACAAATATTCTACTTCATTTTATCGATAGATATAGGTAATAATAAAATTGATAATTAATTCTAGAAGTACCTACGAGTAAAAATTGCATTTTTTTTTTAATATAAACGCGTAGACTATTTCATAAATCTCTAATACCTACGTTAGTAGACCTAAACTGGGTGCAAAGCGCGTTGTACCGTCAACAAAATAGGACTACAATATGGGTATCATGACTTCAAATCAAATTACTTGTACAGGTAAATCCACAAACTTATCTACATATAGGTACTCAATCCTCAATCCTACTACTTATAATATTATAAATGTGAAAGTTGTGAGAATGTACGGATGTATGTTTGTTATTATTTAACGCAAAAACGACTAAACCGATTTGGTTGAAATTTTGTATGAAGATAGATAAAAAGTGTTGATTCAGGGTATCATATGATACCCTGAATCAACACTTTTTATCAATTAAAGACGCGCGCGGGCGAAGCTGCTAAGAGGAATTTTGTTTTCTTGATAAAATGTATCTACTAGTATCTAGGTAAGTATATACACTTCACAATAACTGATTCATATTTCCCAAGAACGAATGCTATTTATATCCCCAAGTATTCATACCGTACTCATACCTAACACTGAAATTGAAATATTCGTTATACCTATTAAATTCTGAAACATCGTGTAAACAGCATTTACGCACACACGAACACAAATTTCCATACCTACATATGTTCAAGTTTACTGAAAATAGCTACTTACGTGAATTAACTGAGAAAAGCTCTACTAGTTTCAAGTGACGCCAGGACTCTTATTCATGAGCAGCGTGCGCGTCGCCGCGAAGTTTTCGTGACAAAAATCGTCTTTTATAGAATTTTTCGTATTTTTTAAAAAGAAAACCTGTACCGCTTGTGTAATATTTCATATTAAAATGTAAAAGCATATAAGACTTTTAGAAGAGACAACAAGCTTGTTTCGTTGTTAAATTATGATAGTTAATTTTTATATGAACTATGAATGTTGAACGCAATCGTTGATGTTGATGTTAAGGCGCACTAGTTTATTAAGAGCCTATTCAGTCTAGCCTTGAAGACACCTAAATTATATTCGGACGGAAAGACTGCAGCCGGCAAACTGTTCCAATCCCTCAATTTACGCGGTATAAATGACGAGGCAAAACGCTTAGTCCGGGCCGCAGGTGTCTCAACAACGTAAGGGATATTTGCCGTACAACGTAAGGGATGTCCGAATTTGAAATTGAGATGGCGGAATCAAATCGTGCAATTCCTGCGCACACTCGCCAAAATGCATCCTGTAGAAAAGCGGATTTCATTTCGGATCATTCCAATTGAAAGTAGTTCAATGTTTATGAATACGAAACTCAAATTGTATCTATAGGCGAGTACTTAATTTAAAAGTAAACTAGCACCATTTATCGTAGAAAGTAGTTCAGTGATGCAAATTGAGTCACCATTATCGTAAAATGGCTGTTAGAGATAACGTTACATTTACAACGAGCGTATCCAAACATGAAACTTATTTAGATATGTACCTACGAGTAAAAGAAGAATCATCATCTTCCTGCTCTTGTCCCGTTTTATTTGGGGTCGGCGCAATATGTTTTTTTTCTTCCATTCTGTCCTGTCACTCGTCACGCTATCGCTAACTCCTCTGTCTTCCATATCACTTCTCACACAATCCATCCATATTTTCTTTGGTCTCCCCCTCCCTCTCCATCCATCCACATTTATATACTCATGACTTTTTTTGTTACATGCTTTTCATCCCTCCTTTTCACATGGCCATACCAAGACAAACGGTTCCCTTTCAACTTACTTACGAGTAAAAGAAGAATGATACTAGAATATTCAGACATATGTATACACAGGCAATAAATAGCCTCTTAATTAAAATAAAAGTGTGGGAGAGCCATGCTTCGGCACGAATGGGTCGGCTCAACCCGGAGTGATATCACGGCCTCACAGAAAATCAGCGTGAAACAACCACAGCGTTGGGTTACCGGTCTCCCCTAACCCCTAAATTTCCAAATCCCTAATTCCTATAAGGTTGGCAACGCACTCGTAACCGTTGTTGTGGGTGTCCATGGGCGGCGCTGATTGCTTACCATCAGTTAACATGTCTGGCCGTTTGCCGACCTATCACATAAAAAAAGAACAATATTTTTTGCTTATTGGTTACTGATATAATATTGTGCTTCCATTTTGGCTACACACAAAACCATAGGTAATTTATGTTTTCACAAAACCAAGAGGTGTTTCCAATGTCACCGGGCATGGTATTGGCGTATTTTTTTATGCGATATACATATATGAAGAGAGAGAGAGAGAGAGAGAATGGGTGTATAAGCAGATGCAGCGCCGCCCATGGACACCAATAAGATCAGAAGAGTTGATCAGCCTTTCAGGGATTTCAGGATTTGATTTGCGGTTTGGGGGAGATGGAACAGTAAGGTGTTTAGTTCGCAGCTACATACAGAAAATTACTGAAATTTTTGATGCATTTTCAAGAAGAATGTATTCTGTTTTGATGATAAGTCTTAGCGTACATCTAAAGAGAATTTGCTTTATTATTAGGAGAATAAATGTCCAGATCTATTTACTTGTAGTTACAGTATTTCTTTTGTTTATTTATAAAATTAAGCCAATTTTATTCTTACCTTTCCACACACTTAGCTGACTGGAGGACCTCTCCTCCAAGTCGTAGTAGTCGTACAAAAGTATCGTCATGATTCGTCACTCCATGGTCATGGAAGATCTGGAATAGAGAGAAAATACTCCTTGAATATTATAATGAAGGAGTTCTTTTTCCTTATAATCTGAGTTTTTTGCTTCCCTATTTCATCATTGTGCGTTTTTTTCGAGTACATAAGATATATTATACATATAGGTAGGTAAGTTACTGGATCCATTTTGTCGTATTCACTTGTTTTGTTTTTGTATTTGTGGACAAAAAGAAAAAGGTTAGTACAGGTTTCACCTACACAGACGTCTAACGTTAATTAATAGATGTTTTTATGTATTTTGTGTTCTTTTTTTGAAAATAAACTATCGTGGGCATCAATTAAATAAATTCAATAATTTTGTGTTCTTTTTTTTTAAATTATCATAGCATAGATTACAGAAAATAAGTAGGTAAATGTTAAATGGAGTCTACTTATGAAGTCCAGCTAAGTTTTTGTTATTTGACCCAATAATATAAAGTTAATTAATTAAATAGATCATCCATTTGTAACTACTGTTGTAGGTCAATTAGCGTATTGAATTGACGCGTCCCTGGGGTCTATAATTTACGATCAGAATTAATGTTCCGAGTTCATTCCTTATGGAATCGAAAAGTCCGTATTTTACCGAAAGTAGGACAAATTCGTCATGTAATATTAGAAATTCGGCGAATACAATTGGCGCAATGTCAGTTTAAATTAAGATTCAAACACAATTGGCTATTTTTAGATGAAATATGTGTTAGTGGCTAGTTCGTAGTTCACTATTCTGTTTCCTGAACGCTATCGTTTGATGATTTTTCCTTTGTGTAAATGGTTATTCCGAACCAATACACAAATATTTGCCAAACTTTCCATACTTTATTGTGTTACTTAGCTACCTACGCATAATTGACTAATAGTTTCCTAGGTCAAAATAATAAATTACTTTGTCTTAACCATACTTTAATTCATTAATTTGCCGAAAAAAATTTCGATTTTTTCTTGCAGATTTTTCAGAAATCATTAGATAGGGTAGTAAAAGTTCAGGACCTCATATGTTGCGACTATATACAAATTTCATAGGTGCCTAATAAGTATCGTTTTTGATATTTCAATAAAAGTATTGAATTTGACAAGTTGAAAACTACCTTAGTCTCATCAATAAAAACGTTAAGGTCATTAAATAATGTAAAATTAACCTACTTTTGTATAATACAAAAGGCCCCCAACCTTTTATGTGTGCTTTGTATGCCATTTAGACGCCGGCGCCGCCTTTCGTGCGTACAAATAACGCATCAACGCGTCAACTGTCAGTCTCTCAGCCAACATTGAAATATTTCAAACCATCACATCATCGACCGTAAAAGAGATGCATGAGTATGTCCAATTTGAAATGAGATCAATGTACTACAAAACCTTGGCCAAATAGTTCTCCTGTCTTGACTGATGCAACCGCAATCACGTCAGCGGATTAATGGCTTTTTAGTTCTTTGTGGCAGTGTACCAAGGGTAGAAAGAACCATAGACCCTCTATGGTTCTTTCAATAAACTACTTATTTACTCTTTGGTATGTTTTTTGCCAATTCAACAACTACCAAACACTCTTCGATTTTTTTTGCAAGCGGGTCACTTGTTTGTAAGTGAGCAGTGCCGCCCCTGTTTGCTTCTTTCAATAACCTACTTATTTACTCTGTGCCAGGTTTTTTGCCAATTCAAAAAGTACTAAAAACATTCTTCGATTTTTTTTTGCAAGCTGGTCACTTGTTTGTAATTGAGCAGTGCCGCCCCTGAAAGTCTCATTCAACAGTAGTAGATAACCCGTATATCCTAAATCAGTATGATCTTTCCATGATATTACCTTGGCTGTTAATCTTATTACTTTGTTTGGAAGAACATGCAAACATTTAAAAAAATTAAGAAATAATAATGACATGTAGGTATGTATGTGACTAACATTTGAAGACAATTGGGTAGTTTCCTAGGTCAAAAATAAATTAGTTCGACGATTCAATACAATAAAATATTAAAAAATAACTGTACTTTTATTCATCGATCGATCGATACACTAAGTTTTAGATATTTTGTATCTAATTATTAAGAAATAGGTAAGTAAGCTATTTGACGCAAAAATACAATGACGTCATAACTCAGTTTTTCATGCAAATTTCATAGAAAAATATCGATTTGACATTTGGATAAAAGTATTGAATTTGACTAGTTGGAAACTACCGTGGTCATCAGGTAAGTTCGAATTTTGAATTATGCCACAGAATATGTACCTATCTAATATAGTTTATTCATGAGAGGTCGGCAAACGAAGATAAGCGGTAATCAATCGGCGCCACCAATGAACACGCAACAATGGAGGAGTTACGAGTTCGGCCAGCCTTTTGGGGATAAAGGGTTTTGGAGATTGAGGTATTGAGGAAGAATAGGGGTAGGGTAGGGTATTGGGTTTCTGGTAACCTCACTCACATGGCAAAACGCAATGACGCCGGTTTTCTGCGACGCCGTGGTATAAGTCTGATCGAGACAACCCATTTGACATTTGTTGGAAACTCGTTAAACACAACATAACTGCAAAGGTCCAAGGGCAAGGCTGGAGTCGAGTTGAGACAGAAATAATCGCTGGAAATAGTAACAGGAAATTCCTACATAAACTATGTATATACTACGCCAAACGTTAGTTATTGGGATTTGAATTATGTTATAAAATGTATTTTTAGCTTTAACATGTTTTGACGGCTGTGTGCTTTTCAACGTTTACCGTTATTCTTTTATACATAAATACCCAATTGGTTATAGTCTATAGAGTTTTATAAATATTTTTTACTAGATTCTGCCCGGAGTTTTGCTTGCAGTACCAGAATAAAATTTATGTAAACCTTTCCGATATTCCAGGTTTATAATCTATTTGTATCAAATTTCATTCAGATCGATTCAGTAGTTATGGTGAAAGAGTGAGAAACAACACAAGATCATTCATCTAACTAACGGTCCATTGTTACCAAATTTCTAATTATACTAATTTAGATAATCGTATTAAATAATACCTGTGTCAGGATTCTATTTTTTTGCTACGACTTCTTCTACACCATCTATTTGAAACAAGGGAAAATCATCAAATGACTTCTCCCGCCCAGGGCCGGGCGGGAGGGAGTGTCAGACTCTTACTGACTAAAAACCCCCCTGTTCCTTCTCCTGCTCTGGGCCGAGGTCCTGGTGCCTCATTGGCGCTTACCCCGCAACCCCGGCTGAACATCAGTCCTTTAGGGACCCGTCTGTGGTGGTCTATTGGCTCTTTGGGGCGCACGCGGAACGCTACGCGCCGTACGCTCGGGTCTGGTTCTGGTCGGGCGGTGAGCTGCCCTTACACGCCGACCGCAGACCCGCGCGTGGCCGGAGATCGTCACTTTATCCCCGACACCCGTAGTGGCGCCTGTTGCGGCGGCTGGGGTAACCACCAAATGATTTCACCACTTCGGTGGGGCGAGGCTCTTATAAAAACTAACTCGTTCTCGTACTGTGTATATGGACAGCCGTACATTATAGCGCTAGCACCCAATAACCCGAATAAGAGTTCGACCGATGAAACATTGAACCTCTCACGTCAGTAGGGCCGATACCGAAGTCAGCGCAGTATTTAGATATTGGCTAATGTCACCAGCATTGAAATAAACTTAGAATGATTGTCTCATCGCCTCGAATGTATTGTAAGCCGATGAAGAGTCACGATCAGAATGACTTGGCTTGACCTAATTATGTATCTACAGGCTGACATCAAAAGTACTTTCATTTACCATTTTCTTTTTTTTTGTGAGGGGAAATCACCAAAGGAAGGTGTGACAGACTCGTAACGTTCCTTCTCCTGCTCTGGGCCGAGGCCGCGGTGCCTTATTGCGATTACCCCGCAAATCGGCATTTTACCATGCGTGCTTTACTTCAAACCAGTAGAAAGACAAATGTCCAAACTATGCCTTTTCTTATGGGGAAAAAATTTGAAAAGTTTCCTCTCTCACCGTGGGTAAGGTAAGTAAATGTGTCGACCTCATATTGACGAAAAGCCACCCCGTTCCAGCTTTTGGTCCAAGCCCGGCCGTGGTGTGTCATTGCTGTTAGCCCGTCACCTCGCTGAATTCTTGTTGTTCAAAGATGGCCGAAAAATATGGCATGTCTCTATACTGTGTACTCAGCAATAGTCACCAATGCTATAGCCACCCCTTTTGGTTTGTAGAACAAACTACCTCAGCTATAAGTTTGTTTTTTGTTGGTTCTCTTAAATCCCTCAATAAGGTTAAATAACATTCCATTCCATCTATCTAGACCTACTCTCTATGTTTTCATTTCTACTAACATTACATTACGCACATTGACGATTGTGCATTTTTAATTCATATCTTTTACTTGCAGAAAAACTCAAAATACTAAGAACCACCTGTAAAAAACAAATCAAATTAAAAACGATTACACGTAATCGAAACCACCCTATATCCCTTTTAAGTCAGATGAAAATCATTTAATTCTATTAGACTTAGTTTAAATGTAGGTATTGTAATATCGATGAAATTTAGGTAGAATCAGCATTGATTGCACCTGTGCGAAGATGTGGCGGTTCGCTAGTTTAGATCATAAATTATCTTAGCTTCTCAGATCAGAAATGAAACGAACTAACCTATTTGTTCTGAATTGGAAGCTTTCGTATAATAAGCGTCTTGGTTCAATACTCACGCGAGCACCGAGGTCACCCACTTCGGATGTGGTGTATTTCGTTACTATGGTCACTGCTCGAGTATAATCGGCACCTATATTTAACAATTACGTAGTATCTACCTTCTACCTAACTGTGTATGAATATACCTACCTACTATGGCTGTAAGTGCTTTTGCCCAAAAAATATTGTTTGTCTCTGATTTTTCCAACATGGCGGGTGCCGCCAAAATTTTACTTGCTTTGCTTTATAACAATTATAAAAGTGTTTCAGATTTATTATCTTAGAAGACGAATGAGCTAAACATTACTTTTTAAATATGTTTCAAGGCATTTTTAATCAATT